TTATATATTTACAAAGAGCATTATTTTCATTAAATATGTACCTAATTATTGTAGTTTCAATTGTCTTTCAGCTTTATTTTGTTTCCTCTGCCTTATTTGGTTAGTAATTATGTCTTTCATTTTTGTTGTTCAGTTTTTACTCTTTAATTGTATTTTTATATTTATCATTTATATTTACCATTTATATTATTACCATGTATATACGTCCTTATTCTTTATAAATATATATTATTTGTATTTTTACATATATTATTTATATTTTTTGTTGTTGTAAAATGCCTTTTTTATAGTGGATTTCAATCCGTAAATAAATAAATAAATAGCTTTTAGTCATCAACTTCTTGATTGAATTTGAGCGTCATCAGCATATATATGAAGTTGGGAGAAACTAAAACTTAATGGAAGATCATTTAGAAACAGGAAAAGTGTAAAGGTCCAAGAATAGAGCCTTATGGTACACCAGCTGAAATTGAATTAGATTTTAACTATGAGGACTCTTGGATAACCATGAAGCAGGAGCAGGACCCCACAGGAATTCCTCGATATAAATAAAAAGATTGGGGAAGAAGTACAAGGACCCTTGGATTTCTACAAGGCAGGGACACCAGAGGAGTTCCTTGATATATATGAAAAGATTGGGAAAGAACAACAAGGACCCTTGGATAACTATGAGGCAGGGATTCCGCAGAAGTCTCTCGATATAGATGAAAAGATTGAGGAAGATCTACGAGAACCCTTGGATGACTATGAGGCAGGGACACTGCAGGAGTACCTCGACAGGGAACCATAGCCAAACAGGTGGCAGGAAGTCCGCCAAAAAAAGAAAGAAAGTTAATAAATACTTCCTCAGTTGGCTATCACGCCTCATCAATAACATTTAAATGTTCATATTATTAATGTTTTATTTGCTTTTTAAGTAAGATCACTTTTTTTTTTCAACAAATTTTTCAACATCAGATATTGTGGCTTGATTCAACAAACCATTTCAGACCACATTTGGAAAATAGGATTGACGTGGAAATATTCGAGATGGGTGCCACATGAGTTAAGTGAGAAGAATTTGAATGATAAAGTAATGATCATATTTGAACACGCTCTTCCAGAGATATCAACATGTTGGACTGGTGAGATGCTTACAATCCAGTAACCCTCTCCCACTGCTGGAAGAGTTCAACAACGATGCCCTGGCCAACCCGTCAGACTTCCCAGTCCTGAAGCCAGCAGGGAGTTCGTTCAGGCGAGCATTTTCAAGAAGATGCAGTTCGAACCGGACATACTTTATTGCCTTAAAACCCTGAGGGTTTTGAGAAGGGAACACAAAGAGTGAGAGGGGAATTTGTGACACAGTAAAGAGTCACTCTGCTGTTCAGGTGTGCAGGGTTCGGTGAGAACAATCATAACAATCTTAACAGACACAGCCTCTTTGTTTAGGTTGAAGAGAAGGGAGGAGGTTGAGAATAGGACACTGGCGGACCACCAAGGGTCGACCCGTGATCCTCCGCCTTTACAGAGCATGCAATGACATTATAACAACTAAACATATTTTACTATCATGCCGCATATTTCATGACGTAAGAAAATTTTATTCTCTCCTGAATACAATGTATGAAATATTACGGGGCAATCAAGAAAATATCGCCAAATTAATCAGCTTTTTGAGAGCAGGAAACTTAATAAATAAAATATGGTCCACTGAGAAAATTTCTGATATTCCTACCACCCTCCGATTATAACTTGTTTCTGTTCTTACAACATTTTTTTGAAGGAATAAAATTCAAAAATGAAAAGATATCAGACAAGCACTGGTTCAATTTCTCACCTCTAGGATGGCAAGAAGTCATAAATAATTATGAAAAATATTATATATTAATAGTAATATATATTAATAGTAGTCTAACTGACCATATTAATTATTTCAGTTAATTATTCTTTTTATGGAAGGTCTTGGTTGAGATGAAATAGTTAGTGAATCGAGTGGGATGCGAACTCATGACCTTCGGCTCAATATGCCACTTCTCTAACCACTTGAGCTATCATGACTTTAATCCACTCAGACATCACATTCTCATCTCAACCTCCTTCCTTTCGCATTTTACCTCTTTTTGCTATTGCTCAAATGTCTTTAATCAGGATTCGATTCTCAGCGACTTATGAAGTGGCCACGGGGAGCTATTAGTGAAGTGATTACTTCTTTACTTACTACATATTAATATTAATTTGAAAAATGGCAAAAAGAGGGAAAATGCGAAAGGTTTTAGGTTGAGATGAGGAGTTGGTGCCCGAGTGGATCGAAGTCACGATAGCTCAAGTGGTTAAAGGAGCAGTGTATAGAGTCAAAGGTCATGGATTCGAATCTCGCTCGTGACACTTTTCTTGTCAACAAAGACCTTACATAAAAAGAATAATTAATATGAAAATTATATTATTCGATAAAGTTTATTCGAGGTATTAAAAATTTATTATTTTGTTTTATTCTAAAAACGGACAGGACTTTCCAATAGACCTATAGTAGTCTTTAACTGAAAATGCCTTGATGACATTTGTACCTTATTTAAATAAAAAGAAAAGTTGTAAAATGTTTTCCTTTTTATTCTGTATATATTTCTCTCTCCGATTTGACCGAAAAAGCAGCTTATTTAGGTAAATCGATGTTATTTGGAAGAAAAAAAGTCACCTTGAAGAAGTCTTGACCGGTCGAGATCTGTCGTGGGAATGGCGCTTAACGGCCAAGCATGCAAGTACACTTCCGCGGTAAAAAAATTTTACATTATCAAAATCCTTTCTAAAAATAATATTACAAAAAAAATTAAAGAATATTTAGCAATTGATTTTTTTTTATTAAATTAAATTAAATTATTCAAATAATAAACTGGGAATCGTCGGCCTATCGTATCAGTGCCAGCTTGATCAACAATCTCCGCAATGAACTTAATTATGCTTAAATTTTTAAAAACGATTAGACTTAAGTTAAAAAAACTTACGATATTCGCTTTATATTATTTTTAAACGTTTTTCAATTTTTTAAAATTAATTTATTAGAATTGTAAGATCAATTATCATTGATGAAGGAGGAATAATATTCCCGCTAAATCGGTCACTTTCACAAAGGCAGCGAAGGATCGAACATGAGAGATTTCCTCCCTTAAAAAAGGTATTTAAATTAATTAATAAACAATCGTGTAAATAATTTTCAAATTTTTCTTGTTTTTTTTTTCTATTTTCTGTACATACATAAATTTTATAGTCAGGGGGGGGGATTTTGCCCCCGAAATACGAGCCCATCTCAGGCAAAGTGAGGGGGCCCAAGTATGTGCACTATAAGAATCAGAAAATATAATTATTTTATGGTGACTGATACAAGGATCGTCTAAAGGATTTAAAATGACAAATATTTCTGCATTATATGAACTGAAAAGTGAAGGTAAACGAAAATTAGAAAGGGTGACCCTCAATTACATAAAAACAACCCATACGTGATTTTTTGGAACCATCAGTCAATCAGTGTATATGACAAAAACAACATCAAAAAACCACTCTTCATCTCATACTCATCATCGAAAAAAATAGCAAAAAATCTCTAGATTTTTTTATTATTATTTTTTTGCCGTATCTTGTGGCCTCCTTGAACGGAAATAGTAGAAATCGTAAAATTAAAAAAAAAAATCTAAATATTTTTTAATCCATTTTTCCCGATTCAAAAGATTAAGTGTGGTCTTTTGTACGGTTCTTTCGAGTTTACTCAATTGAACCTTAAAAAAGCCACACTTTATCTTTTGAATCGTAAAAAAAAAAATTGATTAAAAAATCCCGAGATTTTTTTAAAATTATTTTTTTAGGCCGTATTGAGTGGCCTCCTTGAACGGAAATAGCCCAAATCGTTGAAAAAAGTGATTTTATTTGTTTCCCTCTCACTTTCGTCGGTGGTCGCGCAGCCAAGGCCGCGCACGGGCCCATCGCTGTCCGCCTGGGTCCGCCGTCCGCGTTCAGTCGCGCGACGCTCCCAGCAGCAAGACGGCAAAATAGAATACGACAAAGGTAAAATCCGGCCTTTTTTAATAGAATTATTTTTCTCTCTTTCTTCTTTTATCAATTATTCCAGGAAGCTAAAAAAATTCTATCTAAAAAAATCATGCTCAAAGTTTCGACTGTGTGGTGCACGTTGGGAAGAAGTTTTTCAAAAAGGTAAAAAACAAATTACCACACGATATTTTTAAGTAGGAAAAAGTTAAAAGAAAATACAAGTCAGAATGACTTGGAAAAAATTATAATTACTAGACATTAAATCCTCCAAAGGCTTACAACGAGTCTTCTTCAAGGATAAAGTTTTTTTGTTTTTTTTCTAAAAGTCAAAAAATAGAGAAAAAAGAATCATTGACGGGCAATTTCATTAACGCATAGATGTTCTGACCGAGTAAAGTGGGGTCAAAATATTTTTTACCCCACTAACGAACTAATTCGGTTTAGTCGGAAAGTCGCTCATTCTTTTGGTCACTCACTCAATCACTCACTTAGTCACTCACATCTTTCTTTCACGCTCATTCACTCAGGCTCCCACCTAGACATTCACTCACCACTCTATTAGTCACTCAATTACTTATTCATAACTCTCTCACTCAGTCTCATTCACTTCACTTAATCATTCAGTCACTCACTTAAATCACCCACTCAATCACTTAGTCACTCATCTATGTCCCTCGCTCACTCATTCACTTCCTTAGTTACTCATTCACCCACACACTTAGACACTCCCTTGCTCACTCATTTAGTCACTAACTCACGCAGATAGTTACTTATTCACCCACTCACGTATGTCCCTTGCTCACTCATTTAGTCATTCACTCATTTAGTCACTCATTCTCTCCCTTAGTTACTCATTTACCCACTCACTTAGGCACTCATCTCTCTCCCTTGTTCACTCATTTAGTCACTAACTCACGCACATAGTTACTTATTCGCCCACTCACTTAGTCACTCACGTATGTCCCTTGCTTACTCATTTAGTCACTCACTCATTCACTTAAGTCACCCAATGTTTTAGTCATTCACGGACACACTAAGTCACCCACTCACTCACTTAGTCACTCATATCTCTCCCTCTCTCTCTCATTTAATCAGTCACTCATTCATTCATTTAAGTCACCCACTCATTCACTCAGTCTCCCACTTACTCACTCACACACACACTCTAATCTCTCTCTCTCACTTAGTCACTATACCACGCTCATTCACTCAGTCTCACACTCACTTAATTACTCATATATATGTCATATATCTATCCCTCACTCATTCACTCACTTATTGTCCTCCTGGAAAATCGATGATGCTGAACTCAGAAATATTTCCGCATTTTGCTGAGTTTGTGGATGCAATAATTGGTCTTTTTGGAGGAATTAAAAATTAATAAAATAAAAACAAATAAATAAAAATTCTGTTAGCGTCATAAAACTGCACATAAAATATATTAGTAATAATATTGCAAAAAAAATTGACATTATGGTGTTTAAATTACATGTAATATTTTATGGAACATGTTGAAAACTAAAAACATTATTTTTAGATCACATCTCTCCCTCACTTTCTCAATCACTCATTCACTTGCTCACTCACATTCACCCCACTCACTCATGTCTCTCTCAATGGTCCATCAACGCAGTGGACTGTGTAATGTACAACGAGAAACAAATTAAAATAAAATCATTGAAAATGAACTCACCCTCTGTTCATCATTTTCCTTCATCCATGAGGAATCTTGGGGGAAACAGGGAAGGGTAGAAATTGCTGAAAGGAAAAGCTGTATGGAAATCCCTTACCTCATGTTGGAGCTTACTGACGAATATTCGACAATCCACGATGACGAAGTGCAAGACAATTAATTTATCGCCCAAATAAGAGCAACAATGTACTCATCTCCCTCACTCACTCATCCCAGCGAGAGAGCTCCCATGCTCCTTTACTCAGTCACCCACTTGCTCATGTATATCTCACACACTCGCATATTCATCTCTGTTAATTATTTTTGTTGCAGTAACATTATGAGCACAAACAAGAGGTTGATATTCCGCAAGCACTTTGTCGGAGAGCCGAAGACATCCGACTTTGAGCTAGTCGAGGAAAAAGTCCAAGAATTGAAAGATGGAGGTAGACTAAATTAAAAAAAACTTTTTTTTTTTAAATTCTATATAATGATTTTTTTTTAAGATGTGGAATTCAAAGCGCTTTTTATAAGCGTCGACCCATATATGAGGCCAGTTTCGGTGATAAAGGAAACCGGTGGGACCATGTTTGGTGCGCAAGTTGCCAAGTAAGTCAAATTTTATGATTTTTTATTTTATTTTACTTTCTTTTGTGGTTAAAGGGTGGTGAAGAGCAGACATCCAGGTTACAAGGCCGGCGATAGCATTGTAGGATACCTCGGATGGCAGACGAACGCCGTGGCGAACCCGGACAAGGTGGAATCGCCATTCGGTGGTTTTGAAAAGCCTCTTGTCCTGCCAGATTTCAAAGGGCTGCCTTTATCGCTCGCCCTTGGCGTTCTCGGTATGCCAGGGTAGGTTTAATATTTTTAAATTAAATATTATTATTAAATGAAAATATACATTAAGAAATACTGCTTATTTCGGCCTGATGGAGCTCTGCAAGCCGAAAAGCGGTGAGACGGTCGTGATAAGCGGCGCAGCAGGTGCAGTCGGATCCTTGGTCGGGCAGATCGCCAAGAACATCGGCTGCAGGGTAGTCGGATTTGTCGGATCCCAGGAGAAGGTCGACTGGCTTGTTGGCGACCTTGGATTCGATGGCGCGATCAACTACAAAAAGGAAGACATCACCGTTTCACTCAGGGAAAAGGCGTCGAATGGAGTCGACTGCTATTTCGACAATGTATAAACATTTTAAGGTGGGGGAAATGTATAAATACATTTTTTTAAATTATTTACAGGTAGGCGGTACAATGAGCAGCGTAGTAATGAGCCAGATGAATCCATTTGGTCGCATAGCAGTCTGCGGTTCAATATCGGCATACAACTCTGACCCAAACAACCTACCCAAAGGTAAAAAAATGCAAAATCTCACTTGCCTCGTATATATATATTTTTTTTATCCTTAAGCACCCTTGGTCCAAACTGATGTCGTACTCAAGCAGCTCAAGATGGAAGGATTCCTTGTACAACGCTGGCTCGACAGATGGAACGAGGGCATCGAGAAAAACATCGAATGGGTCACACAGGTAAATAATTTTTTTTTTAAAGTACACAAAAAATAATTAATTAAAACTTCTTTCCAGGGAAAGCTCAAGTACAGGGAATTTGTGACGGAAGGCTTTGAAAAGCTGCCCGAAGCACTGGCGGCCACGCTGAGGGGCGACGGATCTGGCAAAGCACTCGTGAAAGTCTAAACTGAACCCTTCAACCTGCAGATCCTACATAAACATCCAACGTATATTACAAATAATAAAACATAAAAAGAAAACTTTTTTATATAGAATTTTTATTAATTTATGTCTATCGCATTTGTATATTACATTTATAAACAATAACTAAGGGAAAATAATTGGGGGGAACAATCAAGCGCCGGCCGTTGTGGCCCTCTTGCTGCGCTCCATCAGCCTTCGTTCCCTCTCGTAATCCTTCATCCTATCGAGGTAACTACAAAAAGAAGAAGAAAAAAAAGCAATTTATAAAATGTACGAAGTCCATGATTTTTTTTTTTTTTTCTTACTCCTCATATTCGCACTGCAAGTACATGTGCTTGTCATGATGGCAACTTAGGATGAAGGGGAAATTGGCCCTTCGGCATTTCTGGTAGTCAAGGAGCAGGTGGGAGCAGTAGTCACGTTTATCGAGCGGTACCTTCGCCGAGTATAGCTCATCCTGCGTCGCCTTCATTTCTGCGTTAGACAAGACAAAAAAAATTGACATTATTTTGGTCAATGGATTAAAAAAATGGAAGTCCTTTCCAAAGATCTTCAGAAAAACGATTCATTTTTGTACAAAAAATATTCAAGACACTCCGTCCGTTTTTTTTCTTTTTTGTTTTTTTTTAATCTAACGACGATTTCAGGAATTGAATACTATTTTGAAAGAGAGAGGTAGGCAGACACAGTTGGAGAGAGAGAGGGTAATAGAGAGAGAGATAGACAGAGAAAGAGAGAAGACAGTCAGAAAAACAGAGAGAGATGGGTAGATGGAGAGTGAGACACACACACACACACGAAGACAGTCAGAGAGACTTATATTTAAAATAAAAATATTTACAAAAATAAAATAAAAAGTATATACACATGGACAAAGTCTGTCTGTTAGAGGTGCCGAAAGAAACAAGAATACATGTATAATGGCGACTTACTATAAACATAGGTTGTTACTGAAAATTATAACAATAAAAAAGCGCTAAAATCAAGAAAGCATAAACTGAATATGAAAATTAACTTACACTAAGGCTAAAATAAAAATGAATAAGAAAAAAGGAACAGAAAAATGTAAAGAAAGATATATTAAAAAATATATATAAACTCAACATTGGTTACAAATAAGACCAATTAAGATACAAATAATCAAAAAAATAAATTGATTTACATCAGAAGAAATGAAAATTAACAGAAAAATTTAGCAAATTATAAGAAATAACCCACTAATTCTTACTTTAAAATAAAAACTGCAGAAAACCAAAAAAAAAGGTAAAAATTAAATTTGTGTACTAATTTGTATCTGTAATTCCAATGCGTATTGGATCAGTTCTTTTGGGGTTTTTGTACCATTCAAGCAATTAAGGGATTGTATACAGATTTCACCCAGGATTGTACCCTCAGCTAGAAAATGAGCAATATTTTCAATCACACCTGAGTTGAAGAGAGAACATATCCCAGGGCCTCCCCTAAACCACTGAGTCAAATTCAGATGTAATAGCTCACTCTGCATTTTAAATAGCCAATGCAAATCATTTATGGTTTAACCGTTTAAATTACCTTTTTAAAAATCGAATAAGGCAACACAGTTCTTTACATAGCGATAAATGTGGAGATGAATGAATTTTCAAATGGCAACTCTCACTATGAATTTTGGAAATTTTATTTACGAGATTCCCATTTAAAAATATTTTGTAAAGGAGGAGAAAACATTATTTCATATCCATATATGCTTAGTCATCAGCTTAGTCAATCATAACTGACCATATTAATTATTCTTTTTATCTAAGGTTTTTGGTTGAGAGAAAAACTAGTGTCACAGTGGGATTTGAACCCATTACCTTTGGCTCAATACGTCGCTGCTCTAATCGCTTGAGCTATCGTGACTTCAATCCCCTTGGACACCAACTCCTCATATCTCAACCTACAACCTTTTGAATTTTCCCTCTTTTTGCCATTTTTCAAATTAATATTAATGTATAATAAGTAAAGAAGTAATCACTTCATAAGTTATTGAGAATCGCATCCTGATAACAAGACATTTGAAAAATAGCAAAAAGAGAAAAAATTTGAAAGATTGAGATGAGGAATTGGTGTGAGACGTCATGACAAGTGGTTAAAGCAGCGGAATATTGAGCCGAAGGTCATGGGTTTGAATGCTGCTTGATAAGTGACTTTTTCATCTCAACCAAAAATCTTAGATAAAAAGAATAATTAATCGGGATAATTTCATATTTGCGGAACAGCGCATGCCAGTGCGCAAACCCAAGACAATTTCTGTTCAATAATTGAGATGGCTGTTAACCAGGAGAGATTTGCAGTAGAAGACGCACAGGTTTTTAAAAATGAATGAAAAGTGTAATTTCAAGTTGTTAATAAAAATGAATTCACATGTGGTTTCTACGTGAAATAAATAATTTGGAGTCACCGCTGGTTGGCGAAAGACCAATTTTGGTGAATGCATTCGACCCGTTTGCTCATTAACCTTCCTGCTGAGGATTTAAAAAAATGAAAGACTGTTTCAACAGATACTTCAGAAAAGGGATTAATTTTTGGACAAAAAATATTCAAGGCACTCCGTCCATTTTTTTTTTTTTTTTTTTTTTTTTAAATCTAACAAGAGGATTTTGGCAATCGAATTCAATTTTTAGTCAATGGGTTTGACCCGTTTCCACATGAACCGTTTTCTGTTGAGGATAAAAAAATGGAAGTTTGTTTGACACATACTTCACAAAAAGGATTAATTTTTGGACAAAAACTATTTTTTAACTATCTTTTTTTAAAGAACTTAATACACTGATGTTGTATTGGATCTTCTTGAGGTTATTATCCTAACCATCCCCAAACTTAATACACTTTTAGCTAAGATATTTATTAGATACCAAGGATAAGATCAACACCCAGGAAGGCTATCTTTATGGTTATCCTGAGTTGTTTTTTTTATAAATTATAAAAGGCGATCAACCGCTTTGGGTCATTTTCCGCCTTAAAAAATTTCAAGCCGGGTGGAGATTGGGCCACAGCTCAGGAACCCCCCCACTAGCGGGAACCAGGGCCCCGGCAGCATCACACGCTCCGGACACCCCCCCCCCACAACCTTCACCAGGTGGGCACCCAAACCGCAACCCAAGACACCACCCAACATTGAGTGGATTACAGATTATTGCATACTGAACTTGAATGATTTTTTATTAAATTATTATATTATTTTATCTTTATATTTCCGAAATTAGTTTAGTTTTTTCAAGGAAAGTTACTAGTTTGTTTATTTGGTCAAAGTCATCACCAAGCGAGTCTTTGAGATTGGTTGGAATTTCCAACCGATGTCTTTCTGCTACATATTTTTTGCAATTTGTCAATGTTATTCTTTCTGCACAAACATCACAAAGCGGAGTCTCTTTTTTTGCCATAAGATAAGAATGAGTAAGCCTACCAATTCTAAGCCTAGCAAGGACAACTTCTTCATGCCTGGAACTTCTATGAGATGAGGCCCAAGGTTTTACACTATTTTTTATCTCCCTCAGTTTGACATTAGAAGTCGTTTCCCACTCCGTTTGCCATAACTGCCAAGACTTTCTTTTATGCCAAGCTGCCACATCGGATTTTGGTGTTTTTGTAGTTTTAACTCCATTAAGGACAGCCTGCTTTGCTAAATGGTCCACCTCCTCATTGCCAAATATTCCGCAATGTCCAGGAATCCACATGAAAACTACTCTATTTCCCTGATTTTGCAGAGATTCAATGGTAATTAGGATGTCTTGTATCAACGGATGTACAGAAAAGTTGTTTTTACGTGCTAATAGCGCTGACAAAGAGTCGGTACAGATGACAATCGTTTCCCTGAATGGGGCTAATGTAGTTAAGCATCTTGCTATTGCTATAATCTCAGCAGTATAGCTGCTACATATAGGTGGTAGGGTAAACATATATTGTGCCTTATTATTATAAGTGAAAAAAGCAGCACCTGTCCCTACATCATTTTTTGAGCCATCAGTAAAACATAGTGTGGGATTCGAAAAGATATATATTATTTTATAAAATTCTTGATTGTACACGTAGGTGGGAGTACTCTTCTTAGAAAATTTAGTGAGGTCTAAGCATAGATTAGGCTTTGGAAGCAGCAAGGGAGATTTAGGTGAAATTCCAATTTTATAGAGAGGGGGGATCGTAGCATTTATTAATTGTAAATGAGCAGCCACTCTAGATGGAAAATGCTTTCTTTTACTGCGTAGGGTATCTTCAAACAGAATAGAGTTTTCACTTGGAAAAAGGGACACTAGAGGATGGGAAGGGCATGAGAGAATTTTAACTGCAAAGTTCAAGTCAAGTCTTAATCTTCGATGTTTGAAGGGCAGTTCTCCAGCTTCAGCATGCACACTAACAGATGGACTAGATCTAAATGCACCTATGGCTAGACGCAAACCTGTGTTTTGTATCGGTTCAATCATGGACAATGTTCTGTCACTAGCAGAGCCGTATGCACAACTCCCATAGTCCAGTTTAGAGCGAATGAGACATCGGTAGATTTTTAGCATGCTAGCTCTATCAGCACCCAATGTCGTTCCACCAATAATTCGGAGAAAATTGATGGAATTCGAGCATTGTGCTTTCAGTGTTTTCAAATGTTTAGACCAGTTAAGAGTACGATCGAATATTACTCCTAAATATCGGACAGAATCAGCAAAGTCTACAGTTATGCCATTAATTTTAAGTGACATATTAGTATGAGGCCTTCTCTTTGCAAAAAGGACTGCTTTAGTTTTTGACAATGAAATCTTGAAACCATTTTTGGTTAGCCAATCGGAAGCAACATTCAGAGCTTCCTGAATATTTTCTTTCATTATATTTAGATTTTTTCCCTTTAGATAGATAACAATGTCATCAGCATAAAGCATTATCTGAATTGGTAACTTTAGTTTTTTAGTTATATCATTAAGTCCTATGCAGAACAACATGGCACTAAGAACACAACCCTGTGGCACTCCATTTTCTTGGATAAATTCTTTAGATTCAGCCGTCCCACATCTCACTCTAAATCGTCTATCAGATAGAAAATTTACAATAAATTTTAGCACATTACCATTAATACCCATTTTAATAAGTGAGTTTATTATTAATCGTCTCCATGTTCGATCGAACGCATTTTCTAGATCTAGGAAAACAGCTAGGACTCTATCACCATTATTAAATGCATTCAGAATGTCAAACTCTAATCCAACTATATTGTCAAGTGTAGATCTTCCTTTTCTGAAGCCACTTTGCCAAGAAGGCAATGAATTATTTGATTCAAGAAACCACTGGATTCTATTAGCTACTAATTTTTCTAATAGTTTGCACAATGAACAAGTCATTGAAATGAGTCTATAACTAGTTACTAAGAGAGGGGATTTATCTTTTTTGAGAATTGGAACTGCTATGGCATGTGACCAAATTTTTGGAAATAGACCTTCTAAAAAGATCTTATTCATGTAGTCAAGTACCACTTTTTTGTCTTTGCCCTTTAGGTTTTTTATCATGCTTATGCATATACGGTCTAGGCCAGGAGTTGAGTCTTTTCTACTTGTCAATGCGAGTTCAAATTCGTTAACAGAAAAAGGTTTGTTTAAAGGGTTTGCAGGATCTGATTCATGATTAATAGGGATCAACTCAATTTTATATTTGTGAACCAAAAGATTGGGTGCGATGTTGTTGTCCGCAGATAGGTTATATAAATTTTTTCCTAGTAAGTTCACGATTGCATTTTGATCAGTGACATATGTATTTTGGTCATAAAGACAATTTAGAGGGGGTGAAGAATCAATACCTTTGATTCTTTTAACTGTATCCCAAAACATTTTGCTGGGAGTGTGGCTACTAACATTATCAAGAAAGTTTTTCCATGACTGCGTTTTACTCTTCTTAGTAATATACCTGAATCTCTTTTTCGCGTGGTTTAGGGAATTCAAAACTTCGGTAGATGGTCGCCTAAGAAATTTCCTCAAACATTTCTTCCTTTCCCTAAACGCACTTTCGCACTCTCCTGTCCACCATGGTACAGGGTTGGTTTTCTTATTATAAGGAAAATTGCTGGATTGAGGAATGGCAGTTTCAGCTGCTTTAACTATGCATGAATTTAATTCTACAGTCAAATCATTAATGTCTGTGTCATTTAGTTTTAAATTGGTCAGATCTACTATGTTTTGGAAAAGGGGCCAGTTTGCTTTGTCTATTTTCCACTTACGTGGTCGCTGATTTGCCTATCCTGAGTTTAAAAACCAACATTTCTTAATTCCAACAAACAGCAATGCTTAATGTTTTCCCTTTTATGATTTTATTTATTTTTAAATCCTTCACCTTTTTCTTTCCTCCCGTTCGGAAATCCGTAGAGTGGGTCGAATTTGGCCGGTTCGCTTGGATGTGGGACGGGGTCGTCGCTGAACTTGTACGCCGCCCCGTTCTGCAAGTTACCCATGTCGTCTTCGTATCGCGTTTATCCTTCTCCTGAGGGGTCTCTCCAGTAAAAGAAGATGAACGAAGATGGGTTGAAGATTGAAGAAATATAACACGACTCCTAAACGAGAAACCTACGCGATGGCCAGCTGGAGGGACACGGACATGGATTCTCTCGGTACGATTGATCACGTGAGACCTTTAAACAAACAAAAAAAAACAAGCGAAACCGAACGGACGGCACTTTCCGTCCCGTTATTTAATTCTTCCCTTCAAGGCTTCAATCTTAAAAGAAAAATATTCGACTTAACATCGATGTATCGATTCTGACTCGATCCAAATTCGAATCATATTTTAGAGAGAATCGTCATCACCATTTATCGCAAAAATCATATTTTGGTATCGAGTGGTACAAATGGTATTGCTTTGGTACCCAGATTCGGTCGACAAAGATTGTAGCATTGATAATCTTTGTTCATAGATAATTGTTTCGGTAGCTAGTGTTGGTTTAAGCTAGTATACAGCTTTATACCAAATCTTGATACCAAATTTGCCAAGATACATATATATACATTTTAAAATTACAATCTTCGTCGTCCAAATCTGTATACCAAAGTTCCACTTTGTTGAACCAGTACTGGCTAACAAAACTATTATCTGTGAATCATGACTTAAAACCAAACTGCAACACTTAGACCAAAATTTGATACCAAAGCTATACCCTATGTACGGATACTTGATACCGAAGGTATATTCTACTTCCACCATGGTTGGGTACTAGAGATATTCGACCAAAGCTGGGTCCAGCATCTACAATCGTTGGACTAAGACTTGATACCAAAAATATATTCCATTGCCACTATGGTTGGGTATCAAAGATATTCTGCCAAGACTGGATATCCAAGCTGCCATCCATACAGTAAAACCTCATTTTAACCAATTTTGGATGCTACATCTGGAACCATTGTTCCGAGTCCACATCTACAACCACTGTTCCAAGACTGGATAGCACCTCTACAACCATTGTTCCAAGACCACATCTAGAACCATTTCCAAAACTACATCAACAACCATTGTTCCAAAGACCACATCTACAACCATTGTTCCAAGAGCACATCTACAACCATTGTTCCAAGACCACATCTACAACCCTGGTTCCAAGACAGGATATATCTTCAACAATTTTCCAAGACTGGATAGCACCTCTACAACCATTGTTCCAAGATCACAACTACAACCATTGATCCAAGAGCACATCTACAACCATTGTTCCAAGACCACATCTACAATCCTGGTTCCAAGACAGGATACATCTTCAACAATTTTTCAAGACTGTATAGCACCTCTACAACCATTGTTCGTAGACTAGATATCACATTTCAACTATTGTTCCAAGACTTGATAGCACCTCTACAATCATTGTTCCAAAACCACATCTACAACCATTGTCCCAAGACTGGATACCAACTCTATACGCACTGTACTAAGACTTGATGCCGAATTTAGGCCAACGCTTATCTATTTAGACCGAAGCTAAGTGGGTTTTTTTAGAGAGCTTCTTTTTTTTATATCATCATATAATGTGATGGATTAAAGCTAAGGCGTGTCGGTGACGTTGAGACGATGGCCGTCGGCCGGCGACCTAGACATCGATACGACGCGACCCGATCACGAATCGATGCCCGTGCCCAGACACGACGAGCGAGCGAGCTAAACAAAGATGGCGGACGCGAGTGAAAGTGAGTACGAGTTTTGACCAAATAAGCCAAATAATGTTTTTTTCGAGCGTTTTACCCCCGGGGGTGGCGTGAGGCGGGGAAGGCAGCCGCCCACACCGGCCGCCTCCTCACCGGACCTCGGCCTCCCGGGGATAACCTCGGCTCCCGCCGCCCCACCGTGGGTCCTGTTTAACCAACTAACTTGTTTTTGTTTTCCTTTTTCTCCAGCTGAGGCTAGGTCCAGCCAGGACAGCTCGGTTTCCTCGACGGAGAGCAACGGAGAGACGGTCACCAGCCTCGAGTCTAGTAAGTCAGCCGACCGGCCTCGCTTCTTTTAAACAATTTTGTTTCTGAAATCCCTCCACCAAGGTTTTACTATTATATTATTATTATTTATTTCCCCCCAGGAAACAGCAACTCCGGTAAAATAGAGATACAGCTATCATCGCCGAGGAGCGGCGCGCTCAACAACAGTTTCAGACTTTTTTCAAACGTTTTCGGATCATCGCCAGGTGAGACGGTCACGTGATCGCTGTGACAGCTGTTTTTTCCGTCAATTACATGTTTTCTTCTGTCCAATTTTTTATTTTCAGCCCTAATGGTCACATACTTATCAGATAAAGTATGTGTTGGTTGTCCAAAAGATAAAAAAATATTGGATCCATTTTTGCTCAAAAGATTCAATTTTTGTCCGTCCCACAAACCCATTCTTACAAGATAAATTCTTTTTTGTTAGCCTAAGGAATATATATCATTGGATTCATTTTTGCCCAGAAGTTGCAGGTTTTTTATTTTTTTACTAATCAGTTTTATATTTGTTCCATGTTTGTTTCAATTTTTGGACGTATTTATATTTATTTATTCAAAGGACATATTTTTAACAGATAAAGCCCTTTTGGTTGTCAAAAACAAAAAAAAACATTTGATCCATTTTTGTCCGACAAACTCATTCTTATCAGATAAAGTTGACAAAATATATGTATATTTTTACGAATCAGTTTTATGATGGTGTCAAGTGTCACAATGTCCCATCAATTTTTGCCCAAGGGGTATATTCTTATCAAATAGTCTTCTTTCAGTTGTACAAAAATTAAAAACATTGGATCCATTTTTGCCCAAAAGATCCATTTATGTATTATTTTAATCAGTTTTGTTTGTTCCAACTGGTGAATAATGTTTTTTTTGTTTGTTTTTTATGAATCAGTTTTATGTTAGTTCCGAGTGGTGAAAATGTTCCATCAGTTTTTGCCCAAACAACATATTCTCATCATTTTTTATTTAGAAATCGTGAGATGCAGTCTGGTGTGATTCTCATTAAATAAAGTTTTCTGTTGTTTATACAAAAATTAAAAACATTGGATCCATTTTTGCCCAAAAGATTTGTAAGGGTTGCTTAAAATTACATAAATTTTTTAAATATATTTTTTGACAAAGGATCCAATTTTGAGTCGCATCCTTATTTTATCCATAATATCCTTTGTTTATACATGGACCCATATTTATGAGAAGAAGTTCTTTTTATGTTCGTCCAAGGGTTGATATAACATTGAATGGGGGACTGCGGTAGCCAAGTGGTCGTCGTAATTGACTTTCGGCTTGTAGACCCTGTAGTCGTGGCCCTTTTTTTCACACGACCCTTTTCCCTTTTAAAGAACACACATTGCATATCAGTTATGTTCCTTGGCTAGTACGCAAATTTTTGTGTTGCATCCATTGCTTTGCATTATTATAATTTTTTGTTCTATTTCAGTTAAAAGCACATCTTCTAGGACTTTTGTATTAAATCCTCCGAAACTTTCGAACCCTTTCGCCAGTTCGCCAGGTAACTCACCGTGTTATTTAATCGTTATTATTTCTTTGATTTAATTATTTATTTCCTTCAGAAAAAAATGAATCGGCAGATGACCAGTCGGATGACAAGACGACGAATCCCGTCGACGAAAAAAACATCAACCACTGCCAACACGATAGAGAAGACAAGACGAAGCCGAACGACGGCAAGATGAGACAGGACATAGTCAAAAAGATGGCCGAAGGAGGTAAAAGCGTATCATTCATGCCGCTGCGCGGCGAGCCGGCGACACCGTGCAGCGGAGCGGCGATACAGCCTTTTAGCCAGTCTTCCTCCCCGGCCCTTGGGTTCGTCTTCGGACAGAACATACACGAAAAAGTCGTATGTTGGATATAAATAAATGATATATTTATTTTTATTTATTTTTTTGTGTGTGGATTTTTTCAGGAAGCAGCAGCCCCCGGTGAAACGTCTACATCCGTCACAGAACCCGTTGGGGCTGCACAGGTTCACATAATACTTTTATATACAAATATTCTATTAGAAAAAAATTATTAAATTTCTTTTTAAAAGGAAACTGAAGAGGTCAAGACAAATGGTGCCACTTCTGAAATGCTCTTTTCGTCGAGTATTAAAAAAGAAAATTCCGAAAAATCTACAGTGAGTTTTTTAATTTAATTTTTACTGTTCTAATTTTTTATTAACTGCTTTTTGATTCAGGATACGAGTGGGAAGACGCTGAGCGAAGCAGCACGCGAATACGAGGAAGCAAGGGCCGTCAAGAGAAAGTTCGAGGAGGTGCAGGTCGTCACAGGCGAGGAGGAGGAATCGAACGTTTTGCAAGTACGCCGCCTCCCCCTGTTTTTATATTTGTCCGAGAGAAAAAAAAATTTGTTTCCTATTTTCCACAGATTAACTGTAAGCTGTTCTCCTGGTCTGAGTACAGCTGGGTCGAGATGGGACGGGGTACACTCAGAGTCAACGACACCCCATCTACGAACCCGCCTCAGCACAGGTTAATAATGCGGACTGTCGGAAGTCTGCGAATAGTCTTAAATACAAAGGTAAACTCTTATAGACAGTAACGATTATCAATAATTGCCTATCATGATACAGCCCCAATATTATAAACGCGGTACTTCAAAAATTAAATTTTTCCTGACGTTTTCAGATTTGGGACGGCATGTCCGTCGACAAGGCGAGCAGTAAAAGTCTGCGAATCACCGCCATGGACTGCCGAGGCGTTGTCAAAGTCTTTTTGATAGTTGTAAGTATTTTATTTTTAACTATTCATAAAATTTAATTTATTTTTTTAATCAATTTTTTTTCCCCCAGTCGAGCCCTAAAGATATCGACCAGCTCGAAAGGTGCCTTTATTGGAGGGTGCGCAACCTTAAGAAATTAGAAGAGGGCATAAACAAGAAAGCTAAGGACGGCGTGTAAAAAGCAAAAAACAACTATGTTAAAAAGCAAAACATTATTTTGTCATTTTTTAGTTCATTTTCCTTTTTTTTTCTTTCTTTTTTTAACTACATAATCCCCCCTGATCGATTTTCAAACCTTCAACCCGCCGCAGCAAACAAAAACCATCCCCCCCCTCATGAAAAAAAAAATGTAAAATAAAAGATTTTAAACAATATAGGACAAATTTGACTTTTTTTTGTGTTGTGTTTTTGGGGGGAAAAAAAACCTTACATCTGTTGGCTGTCCAACCAATGCCAAACCTGGTGGCATTACACCTCGAATATGTGAAAAAGTACAGAAATGATTCCAAATCATTTTTTCACCTAAATATTCAACTATTAAACTTGTGACTAATTATATTTTCTATTGATTTTGTTTAAATAAAATAAAAAAAATCACATTGTACATAAAAGTGTAGATAGTAAGTTGTCAATGAACTCCTTGATGTTCTTCTTTCTTATTCTATTTTTGTAAATAATATTTTGATCCGATTAATGTTAATTATTTAATGAAACAATACAAACCAGGAAATACCTTTAATAACGTTGAAAATTCACGAAAACAGAAATTATAAGGATACTTTACGTGGTGAATGGCTCCCACTGCCTTGCTCTTACATCCATTTCTTTCACATATTTTTCTAGTTTAAAAGAAAAAAAATTTTTGTTAAACATTTAAAAAAAGGGAAAATATCAAGTTTTTTAAAATGTTAAAAAATGGCCAAGTATCAATTTTTTTAACGTAAAAAAGCAAATATAAACCCTTGGGGTAAAGAAGTTAGATATATCGCTAAACATCTCACCATCTTTTTCCCTCTGATTCTTTATGCTATTTCTGTCCATTATTGCTCCAATTCGAAAAGTAATTAATTAATTTAATTTTAAGCCGTAAAAACGCTTAAATTATAAATGCACCCGATGTGCCGAATGGCTACCACTGCCTTACTGATTCATTCTTTTTATGACATCGTTTTATTTATTTAAATTATAAAAGGCGATCAACCGCTTTGGGTCATTGACTGATCTTTCTAAACGTTTTTCTCTATTTTTAAATAAATTATTTATTAAACATTAAAGAAGTAGAGTATTTTATGTTGAAAAATTGAATAACCTACTTAAATTATAAAGAAGTTCAATATTTTGTTGGACGAAAGTTCACCGCCTTGCAGATCTTCCTATTCCGGAAAAAATTTATTTACACAAATTTAAATCATTACTTGAAAAGCGTCAAATAACGGCCATTCGTAAAATTTTTGAATGTTAAGAAACAAAATAAAAAACACAAATTATAATTTTTAGTTTTTCTTTAAAATTAATTTAGTATTAAGCGGGAAAACATCGTTCGGGCGGGTTTGGCCTTCATCAGAACAAAACCTCCCCTTTCGGTTATCCCGACGCGAACCTTCCGCCCCCCGAGCTATGGACGAAGCGTTCGACTTCCAAGGCAAAAGGGCCAAAGCCGAAGGTTTAGATGATTAATTATTTGATTAATTATTTTTAAAAAAATATTATTTGTTTTTTTGTTCAAAGAATTGGAAGTGACTGGAGTGTCCAGGTCCGGCAGGGTACGCAAAAAGTCATCGAAGCTGACCGATTTCGAATCCCTGGACGATCTGGAGGCCAGGGCGAGGAAGAAAGACAAAGAAACTCTACCGACAAGTATGTTAAAATTAATAATTAATAAAAGAAAAAAACAATAAATTTGTGTCTTCAGCATCCAGGCCGGCCAAGAAGGAAAAGGTGAAACAGGAAGAAATGTTCTCAGAAGAGGTCAATTTAATTTTTTTTTTTAATTCGAAAATTATGATTATTATTCTTATTATTTTTATCGGCTTTTGTTTAACTCTCACAGGAGCTGAACCACCCGCCCTACGCGACCAAGCAGGAAGGCTTCAGCGAGGAAAGTGACTTGGACGTGTATCAGCAGAACGAGGAATCCAGCCTCGAATCACTCGGTAATTTGGGCACTCTCCCTCGACAAAATTATAGGCTACGCATAATTTTGTTTGTTATTAGTTGTAAAATTTAACCAAAACTATTCCAGTTGATTATTATTTTTATTTAAGGTTTTTGGTTGAGATGAAAAAGTTAGTGTCACAAGCGGGATTCGAACCGATGACCTTCGGCTCAATATGCCGTTGCTCTAATCACTTGAGCTATTGTGACTTCAATCCACTCGGACACCAACTCTTCATCTCGAGTTACAATCGTTCGAATTTTCTCTCTTTTTGCCATTTTTCAAATATCGTGTAATCATTACTTGATTCTCAGCGATTTACGAAGTGGCCAGGGGGAGCTGTTAGCAAAGTGATTTCTTCTTTACTTATTATATTATCCATATATGTTTAGTGATATAATTGACCATATTAATGATTTAAATTAATTTAAATTATCTTTTTATCTAGTCTTGATTGAGATGAAAAAGTTAAGGTATTGAGGCAAAGGTCGAGGGATCGAATCCCGCTTGTGACACTAGCATTTTCACCTCTATCACGACCTTAGATAAAAATATAATTAATTGAAATCGTTAATAAACATATATGGATTAATATAATAAGTAAAGAAATAATCACTTCGCTAACAGCTTTCTGTAGGCGAAAGGTTGGGTGAATATATAGGGTGCCGTTAGCTTTCATATCCTAAGTTGTTAAGTTTCCGCAGGGTCAGCATTGCAACATGTGTCTGGTGTTATCATGACGAAGAATCAGCCACTTATTGTTTACCGATACTCTAACCATCCCTTTAACTTGCAGGTCCTGCTAGGAATCCTATTAGGATTCACAGTTTGTTCCTGCTTCCCTTGACACATTCTGTAATTTCTTTCCTTTCAAAATTGGTTAGAAGATTCTTGGATTGTCTGTGTCCAATGAGTGAATTCCAAAGTTCCCTCATTTTCTTTTTGTCCTTCTGTCTAAGATACTCGTTAATAGTGTGGGTTCCTATGGCACAGAAGGGTTCAGGTCCTATCAGCGGTGTAGCAGCCCCTTTTCTTGCAAGGGTGTCCGCTTTCTCGTTGCCTTCTATTCCCAAGTGTCCTGGGACCCAGCAGGGGCTGATTTTATTCTGCGTACCTAGTATGTTTAGTTTGGTTTTGCAGATCAGCACCATCCTTGAACTAATGATATTTGAGCTTTGTGCTTTGATGGCTGCTTGGCTATCTGACATGTTAGCTATATTCTTGTTTTTGTACCCTTTACTTAGGTTGAGTTGAGTCTTTTGATTGCATGAATCTCAGCGTGGAAGATACTGGTGTGTTTTCCCATGGGTTCTGAGTATTTGGTTCCATGTCCAAATATTCCTGCCCCCTGTAACTTCTTGTGTTCTAGATCCATCTGTGTCCCAGAGAGATGGTGCCATTTTTGAAAGAGTTGTTTACCTCTCTTTCCCATTCTTTTTTAATACCCAGGTTTATTCGGAAGTTTTGGTTAAATTCAAACATCCTGTTCATGTCGTCTCTTGGAGCCATGAGTATCGGATGGTCTTTCCATAGTTTATTGCTATCTCTCCATTTCAGTTTTATTCCTGTTGGAGGTTTCTCTTTGGTAAAGTTGATGATGGTTTTCTGCGCTGTCCTTATTGCCATATAATTAATCCTAGTATTTTTTCCATGCTAATTGTAGGACATGTTCTCATTGCTCCTGTTATGAAGATGCATGCAGCCTCTGTATTTTTGTGAGTTCTTTTCTTTTAGTTACTTGTTCTACTTTATCAGCCCAGGCTAGAGCTCCGTATGTAAGTAAAGTACTATCATGGTGTACATCCATAACAGGGTTTCTGGTCTGCATCCCCAGTTCCTTCCTGCTATTCTTCTGCACACCATCAAAGCTCGTGTCGCCTTTGTGATGATAGAGCTGATGTGTTTCTTAAATGTTAGTGTTTTATCTAGTGTGATGCCCAGATATTTGTCTTCATTTTTTATTTCTATCACGGTGTTATTGAGTGTTATTTCCCTCATGTGATCAAGTTTCCTTTTCCGTATAAAAGCGACTGTAGTTGTTTTATATTGGGGTTGATTCCTAAGTCAGTGGTTTTATACCATTCTTCTGTGATTTTTAAACCCTCTTGGATTATATCACAGAGTTTCCTTGAGTCAGCCTAGCAGTCAGGACTATGTCGTCCGCATATCCCTGACATTTTATCCCTGAACGATCCAGGGTCTCGAGCAGTCATCTGTTAGGCTCCATAGAAGAGGTGACAGTATCCCTCCTTGAGGACATCCCTTGGTTGTGCTAACTTCAATAGTGTCTGTTCCTATATTTGTTTCAGCTATTCTAGTTCTTAGTAGTTCTCCAATCCATCTGGATGTGGTTTGGTCTATGTGTTTTTTTCCCTAGGGAGAACTTCATTGATACATGAGATGCATTGTTGAAGGCTGCCTCAATATCGAGGAACGAGCAGATTGCTATTGCCTTTGTTTCCAGTGTTTCCTTTGGGTCACTGGTTATCTAGTACAGTGCAGTTTCTGTTGATATTCTGCTCTGTGTGCATGCTGACAGTAATGGAGAGGTGCTGTCGTTCTTATATGGTTGTCTATCAGCTTTACAAGGGTCTTTAGTAGAAAGGATGTTAAGCTAGATAGCTTAGATAGGATTTAGGTAATATAGGGTCTCTTTTCCCCACTTTTGGTATAAAAATCACCTTTGCCCTGCCTGTGCAAACCCTTTTTTCCTTGTCTGTGGTATGTAACCTAGTGCTAAACTACTTCTATATAATCCCATCAATGCTGGAGTGATTATATCCATTCCTTTTTGTAGCAGGATGGGAAAAATACCATCTGTTCCCGGTGCTTTGTATGGGCTGAAAGTGTTAATCGCCCAGAGGATTTTCTTCTCTGTGATTATTTCAACTGCTTTCTTCCAATTTTCTTTCTTGGGATTATCTACTCTCACATTTTCTAGGGGGATGTCATAGGTACTGTCTGGAAAATGTGTACTTAGGAGCATTGCTTTTTGTTTTGTGTCTTCTGTGTATTTACCTTCTGTTTCTTAGGGCAGTGTTTATGTCTAATCTGTCCTTTGCTAGAGCCCTGTGCAGTCTAGCTGCTGTGGATACTGTGGAGATTTCTCCGCAGAATTTGCGAAAGTTTTCTCTTTTCGCCCTGTGCCATCCTGGCATGGTTGTACGAAGTAAGTAACCTTTTGTATTCTCCCCAGTTACTTGCTAGTCTAGCTTTGTTAAATGCTTTTCTGGTTTCTTTTCTTAGTTTGCCCAGTTCTGCATTCCACCAAGGTGGTTCTTGTCTAATTTTTGGGACCTTAACAGGGCAGTTTGACTCATATGCATCAATTATATTCCCTGTGAATTCCGTAACTGTGTAAGTTCCAGTTCATTGCAGGTCTTTGGTACTCTCTTCACTGTTGCGTGGTTTAGACTATGTGTTACCATCTTAGTGAATCTTGCCCAATCTGTGTTTCAGGGGTGTAGGGTCTGTCCTATCTGATTCGATGTCGAACCTTATTATTTTGTGGTCCGACATCGACTCTTCACCTAAAACCCTCCAATTCTTTATCACTTTATGTAGGACTTGGCTGCAAATGGTAATATCCAATACTTTTCATCTCACTTTGGTGACAAAGGTAGGGGTTTATCCTATATTAAATATTTCTAATTTTTCTTCACCAAAAATTCTAATAGCGACTCACCTCGTTTGTTGTTGTTGGTGCTTCCCCAGATTTGATGGTGTGCGTTGGCATCGCATCCCACCAGTAAGGGGAGGTTCTCATGCTGCAGTAGCTGGCTTCTCTTCGTAGCTCATCGGGGGGAGGGTGGTCCCCTCTCCTGTGAAGTAGGCCAATGCTACTACTGCTTCCAGTCTCTTCCCATTGATTGGTATCTACCTTGATGGGAACTAAGTCTCCAGTCACGAATTCAGAAAGACAGAGATAATTAGTGTTTTTCCTAATCAATATACATGCACGGGATTATCCTGTCTGGAATCCAATACAGTCTTACTGTCTTTGCAGGACAAACCTCTAATTTGTCCTTTCCACTGCCAGGGTTCTTGGATGAGAATTGCCCATAGATGTTGCACAGTGAACATCCTAGCTATTACTGCCGAGGCAGCTTTAGTGTGATGGATATTCTCCTGGGCTATTCTCGTTTTCTCCATGTAGAGTTATTCTTTTGGGGGAGGAGGAGATGTCTCCTCTGATGAGATTCTCCCGTTTTGTATCTCCTCCCCCCTCCTTTTTCAGGCCTCTTACCGGGATCCTCCCAAAACGATAATTGAGGGTGTGTCCTCTTGAAATTATCGTCTCTGCCGAGATTTCATCGATGCCCAGAATCATGACAATCCCAGGCCCCTCCGCTTTCTCTGAGTGAACTTTCCACTCCTCAGCGCAGATCCCATCATTCCGCGCCTTGACCAATGCTAGGGTTCTTTGTTCTCCTAGTTTTGTCTAGGGAAGAACACGACTATCGAATGAGGTTTGGGATCCTCTCCAACCCTGACTGTCAGCTTCTTTTGTTTACTTAACTCCAATTTGGGGGTTATTTCCTGCAGCCATTGTACAGTTTTGCCATCTTGACAGTCTAGACCATCATGCCCGGCCTGAAGTGTATGCCTTCAAACTGTATTTTGGCTTCCCATCCTTTTATGATCTCTTCGATGAGGGTTTCCTCTAGATGGGTTAGCCCTTCCGTAGTTAGTGTTACCAGAGGGTATTCCTCTGGTAGCAAAGCCACCCTTATAATCTTTGCTGCTCCAGCGTAACTGACGCTTGGAGCAACCTCTCTAGCTCTATACTGCGCCTGAGGTGTGGTTGGCTTTGCCTTTCCTTAGTTCTTGGGGGTAAGCCCTCTTACTGGATGAGTGTATCTCCAGTTTCTCCTTTTAGATTTTGGCCTTCCTTTCATCGGCCATTTTCCTTGTTTCCTCGGGTGTTTTCCCTGATCTTATCACTCTCAGGTACCATTTGGTCATAGCACCGCTAAGACCTTTCCTGAGATGATCATCTTTCCCGCCTGGTTCTCCTAACTTCGGCAATTTGGCGTAGACTTTTTTCTTCCCTTTTGGTTTCCCAAGAGGAGCTCTGTATCTTCTTATGTCGCTACCTGAAGGTGTTGGGCCCTTCGTTTGTGTGGTCTTAGATTTCTCACATAGCGACTGGTGTTTGTCTTTAAATGGGAGAGGTGGTCTCTCCTTTCCAAGGACTGAATGTCCATCTGGGGGTTAGTCTCCAGATTGCTAGATGTTTTTGGAGCAGTGAGATCCTGCTTCAGGTTTAGTTTTTTGTTTTCTGTACTCATTTGATTCCCAAGTATCTAAGGAACTAAAAGGTCCACTCCATCAGAGCCCCGCATGGTGGAGTAAGCTAATTACTCTTTGATGTCGCCCGGTGTCAGAGAGGCTCCGTTCAAGTCAGCCACTTAGCCCCGGCTGCCAGTGAATCACTCGGCACGGAACGCATGACACCTTTGATTGGGACGGATGCTGTTTTCTGTCAAGCCGAAGACTCTTGTTGGGGGGGTGATAGGATGGACGGAGTTAGTGGTAGGATTTTGTTTAGTGAGGAGTGGTTGGGAAAGCAACTACCTCACTTTAGGGATAGGACACCAGAGCCCCTTTAGCCTTTTCGCACTGTGCCATGCCGTGGAGGATCAATATGAATCCCCCCGTCAGGACGGTGACGAATGTTCCCACTGGAAGCGGGGTTGGTTTTTGAACCCCTACAATTTACACATGAAACTGAAAACAACAACAAAAAGTACCATTTTTAGATACAATCATGATAAAACAACCAGATGGCACATTAATCACAGACGGTATCAAATACTTAGAAACACAGATCGCTTATATCATACCATCCCATTCATACAATAATAAACACGGGCAAAGGGCTACTTCACAGAATTATTACCCTAAACCATGAATCTTTTCACCACAAGAACATAAAGATATACGTAACAATCGCATAATCAACAACTACAACTCAACACTAACACCTTCCACTATCACTAATAATACTACATCAATTCTATCAAACCAACATATCCATTCTATTCGTTCATGGCCTATCACACAGATTAAATACATTTCTTTCTTCTGATAACTTTAAAATAGCCTTCAAAAACTATTCAGACTTTTGTTTCCAAAATTAAAGATCCCACACCTGTAACAAATAAGTCTGATATAATTAACAAAATCAATTGTATAAATTGTCCGGAAACTTACATCAGAATTACATTCCAATATCTGAATAAGAGGGTAAAACAACATATCTGATTGCAAAAAAACCTGAACAAAATCCTACAGCTCTGCCTACCCACCATTTTGAACGCCAACAAAATTTCCACTTCAACAATTCAAAAATATTAAATACAAAACAATACAAACATAAACGTAACTTTTTAGAAATGATTTACATCAACAGGGATAAACACAGGAACAATTACAGAACAGACAGATGTAAACTCAGCCGCAGCAACGCTAATATCATAAATCTAATTCGATATCAATAACACAAAACATATAATAACACGTATAAAACAGTAATTACACATCAAACAATTTCTACATAGTCTAAATCAGTAACAATTCATCCTTCCTTTCCCAAATAGTAATCCCATCTATAATAATCCTGAAAAGATAACTAAGCCCGAACGACTAACCATTACTTTTTTTTTTCTCCAGACAGTGAAATGGATGACATAGAAGAAGCTGAGATTGAGGAGGAGGTCGAAGGTTTCCAGCAGATCGGGGGCGAATCACTCGATGAGGGCCAAAACCAGGTATAAGCCATGATAAATTATTTATTTTATTATTATTATAACTGAACTTATTATTATAATTATTTTTCAATTGCAGTCTATCTTCCTGCTCAACAAGGGGAACAAGAAGAAACTCGTCATCAAGGACGGAAAGATATTGGGGAAGAAGACCAAGAAGGAAAAAGCGGTGCGTTTTTTTAGCATGTCACTCCCCCCCCCCAAAAAAAAAGTTTATAAATCCGTCAAGATTTTGCTCTAAATCTCAAAAGTGGAAAACATTTTATTTATTTTATTATTATTATTTTTTATTCTTAGAAATTTTAAATAAAAATAAATGACCGTATCAAGTCAGCATCTCGTTATCTTGTTGGCATGTTTCAGCTGAATTTTCATTTGTATTTTGAATTTAATTATTTTTTTAATCGTTAGTTTTATTTTTTTTATTCTCTTTTTAATTTTTCTTTTCTTTTTTTAATATTTCATTGTAACTGCGTATTATTTTTAGAATTCGAGATGCACCCCGTACATGCTCTGGGCGAAAGAAATCCGCCAGGAGTTGATGCGGTCTAACCCCGATTTGGGTGAGCGTTGTGTATTTACGATTGGTTTTTACAAAAGAAAAAAAATTAATTTTAGATTAATTGATTAAAGCGTGCCTTTTTTCTTTTTTTTCACTCCCCCCCACACAAAATTGTCTCCGTGTGTGTGTTTTCCGCTTTTAGATTTTTCCCAGACGAGCAAGAAACTCGGCGAGCTCTGGGCGACAGTGCCTTTCCACGAAAAATACGTAAGCTCGACTTACTACCGCGGAGGAAGGCGGTGAAACATCGCGCTGTACTAACACGTGTTCCGCGTCCTTTTGCCTCTTATTTTCTCAGATCTGGAAGCGTAGGGCGAAAAGGCTGGCGGAAAGGTCAACGGCAGCCAAGGCGGGACCGGGTGGAGGTGGAGGGGTGGAGTCGAAGAAGATGAAATCGCCTCCGGCTAGGAAGTTCATCAACAAGCAGAATGTATCGTCACCCACTTCGCAGAACACGACCATAATACAAAACGCATCACCTACAGAAGCCAAGTAACACAATTTAAATTTAACAAAAAAAATCAAAATGTACTTGAAATTTTACTTACAGAGGGCCGAAAGCTGTGGTGGAATCGAACGTATTCAAACCAGTCGGAACAACTCCGCTCGATGTAGCGGCTCACCTCCGCCTTCTCGGCGAGTCGCTAACCATCATCGGGGAAAGGCTCACTGAGCATGAAGGGCAGATAACAGTATCAGGGAGTTTCTCCGTACTTCTCGATTCGCTCCTGTGCGCCTTGGGGCCTCTCATGTGCCTCACCCAGCAGGTACCGCAGCTCAACGTCATCCCACAAGAGCAGCTGTCACAACTCATGGACAACATAGCCTATATAATGCCCGGGCTGTAGATTTTTCTGTGTATATATTTTCATGCTTTTTTCTTTGTAAATATATATATATTTTTTTTTAAATATACAGATATAATTTTTTTAAATAAATTTAATAAAAACCCAATTTCCAATGAAATAAAATCAAAATATAACAATCAGTTTTGATTTGGATAGAGGACAAAAATCCTAACCTTTAAGTAATAGTTCTTACATATAACCTTCCCTTCCTGACACCCTACGTTCAAGCATGAATGTAAAAGTACACATATATTTTATAACATAAATTATTCCTTTTTAATTGAAGAATTACTATGAAAAAAATGCAGCTTGAGGTCGTAGATTTTTTGAAATTATAACTATATAAAACAACACATTTCTTATGTAAAAATTAACGATTTTTTTAATGAAAACAAGATAGAACTGTTACCTTCCAGGTTAGGATTCCTTGACAAAAATCCGTCGGGAACTGTCACATCCAGATGGGATTTCTGATTAATGTAAATCAGAATTAGAGTAAATTATAAAAATTCACAATTTAAAATGGTTAAGTTTTAAGCGGGGTAAGCAGGCGGAAGGTTGTCAATTTTAAGACAGTTACCGTTTTTTTAAATTCAGGATTCCTTCAGAATCTGTTTGGATTCTTTTCCTGGAATTAGTAAGAATCACTCTAAGAAGTTAATAATCCCAGAGAAATAACAGTATAAACAGAAAAAAAGAAACATTGTGATTATTATGAAAAAATTCTAAACATCAAGACATGTGGTTAGGTTACAAACAAAACTGTTACTTTCCAGGTTAGGATTTCCTGTCAAAATCTAGTTTAAGATTCTATAAAGTATTTTCTGTTCTTGTAAGCAAACATTTAAAATAGAAACAAAATGCTATATTGATTGATTTTTTTAACACTTGGAAATATAACAATAAAAATATGAAGAGATTGTTATAAAAAATGTATAATAAAAAAATGAGTGTTTTTTTTACGTCGGGATAAAGGTGGAAGGTTGTCACAATCAGAACTTTTTTTTGCCTAAGATTGTTTCATGTAAGACCTCTCTTCAATCTTAATATTCAGAGAAATAGCAATATTAACAAAATATGAGGGAAAATGGTAAATATTATAAAATCAGCCGCTCGAGACAAGCGGCAAGGTTAAAAATCAACACTGTTACTTCCTAGATTATTTCCTGTCAAAATACATTGAAGGATTACTGTAAAGTACAGAATGGATTTCCCGTTAATTTAAGTCGAAAATTTTATAAATAACAAAATGTGAAAATGAATAATATTTTTTAATGTTGGAAAATGTAATACTAAAATGTAGGGATTGATATAAAAAAATGTATAATCAAAAATGAGTGTTACCTCGGGGAAACAGGTGGAAGGTTATGAAAAATATAACTTTTGTCTTTTTTTAAAAATCAGGATTCCTGTCAGATGTTTGAAAATAAGTAATACCAATGATAAAAATAAAACATAAATATATAATAAATGATGTTAAAAAATCCGAACTGAAAAAGCTAAAATTTATAATTCAAGTTGAAAAATTGTCATTTGATCAATGATTTGTAAGTTATATAGAGAAAAAAAAACTAGAATATATTCTATCAAATTTTAATAAATTATTTATATTCTAATATCGAAATATTATGAAAATGTTTGGAACTGTGAAGAATTTGAACAATGTCGGGGGTTTGTCATAATTGATTCGACACGGCTTTTTTGTCTTAAGAAAAAAAAGAAAAAAAAGGCCACGGTCTGCTGGAGGGCGTTCCTCTTCGGGACAGTGGGCGGAGATTTCAACGCTGCCTTTTATTATAAAATGATTTTAAAGGTTGAAATTCAACAGAAAAGAAGTACCTGAATATTTTCAAAAAATTTAAAATATATATATAAAATATACAACAAATATATATTGCCACATTTGAACATTTCGTCGGGTAGAATGTGTCAAAAATTGATTTTTCTTGCTTCTAAGGAAGGTTAAAAATCAACACTGTTACCTTCTAGGTTATGATTTTTTGTCGAAATCTGTTTTAGGATTCTACAAAATCCAAAAGGCATTTTCCGTTCGTGTAAGTCGAAAATTTAAAAACAGAACAAAATGTCAAAGTGATTGATTAATATTTTTAATACTGGAAAATATAATAATAGCGTAGAGATTGTGATAAAAAAAAGTATAATAAAAAAAATCGGTGCGTTATATCGGGGTAAACAGGTGGAGAAAATTATAAAAATTAGAACTGTTACCTTTTTGTCAATGTTTTTTTGTTTAATTCCTGTCGAATCTCTGTCCTCTTGATGGCTAATATCGAGAAAAGATTGAGAAAAAAAACAACAGAGCTTTCTCGTATTCACGCTAATAAATACTTTCACTCACAACATAAACTAGGTTATTATTACTATATTACAATAGAAAAATCTCGTTTCCTCCAATAATCTGAACGGGGGACGCAAATTCTCGCAAATTGGTTGGCATTCCTGAACTGTGTATGGCGCAGAGGAATTCCAAACAATTCCGAAACTCCGAAGGCGCATTCCTTCAATGAGTTGGGTTTCATCGACATTTTCTCTGCAAGCCAGAGGCTTACGTGGGCTTCGGCCCGAAAGTGTCGGTGTGTCAACCTCGCATGGCCTATTCTTAATCGGGCGAGGATGACACTTCTATGAGTCAGACCCTCGAGGGCCCGATCCGGCCCGTTGATGCCAACTTCTTTTGATAATGTTTTTTACTGCATTCTTAGCGTCAGAGGCCTTAGACGGCTCGTCTGCCTTTTCATTACCTGTCCATTTTTTATGCTGATAAAATTATGATTATTTATATATAACAATCTACTACTAATGTTACTGTTACTAATTATTTATATATAATAATCTACTAATAATGATGGTAATCGAGTTGGAATACTTGTTCTTTGAAGACTTTTAACCAAGTGTTGAAGGTAGTCGTACGGCTTTGTTCCGTGGTCAACAGGTGCCGCTTGCCGTTTCAGGTGGGGCACGGTTTCACCTGTTGACTTTTCGACTCGTCTCTGACTCACACATACCTGAGCCCCCTCTCAAAGCGTCTCGCGCCCCCTCCGCCACCAACGCAGACGCCCTTTCACCGTGGTACGCTCAACAGCGGAGTTGGAAATCGCCCAGCCGAGTTGTCCGGACGCCATGGACTTTTGGAATTAGAAAAAACAGAAACAAGGTAAAAAAAAATCAAAAATATCAATTTTCGACACATTCTACCCGACAAAATGTTCAAATGTGCAAATATTTGTTGTTGTTTCTTTTAAATAATTTTGATAAGTTGCAATTTGCCCTCCCCCTCCGCCTCATGCATAATTTCAAACTTTCAAGCCAGATTCCTTTGTATTAAAAAAAAATATATTTATTAAAGTTTTTTTGAAAATATTCAAAAATACGACTTTTCTGGAGGATTTCAACCTTTAAAATAAATTTTATGATAAAAGGCGGCGTTGAAATCTCCGTCTACTGGCCCGAGGAGGAACGCCCTCCAAGAGCCCGAGGCCTTTTTTTTTTTTTCTTTATCTGAGAAAATGATCTTAACAGAGGAGGAAGGGATAGTGCGATTTAAAAAAAACCTAGAAATCCGATTGACAAAAAGGCCGTGTCGAATCAATTATGACAAAAAGTCAAACAATTAAACCCAAGACATTGTTAAAAAATTCCTAGCATTTTCTCAATATTTCGATATTAGAACATAAATAATTTATTAAAATTTGACAGAATATTTATTTTCTTTTTCTCTATATAACTTACAAATCATTATCTCAGATTAAGTGACAATTTTTAAACTTGAATTATAAAATCTTAGCTTTTTCACTTCACAGTTTTTTAAAATCATTTATTATATATTTATGTTTTTATTTTTATAATTGGTATTATTATTTCCAAACAGATATGACAAGAATCCTGAAAAAAAGTTTCAAATTTCATAACCTTTCACCTGTTTAACCCGAGGTAACATACCCATTTTTGATTATACATTTTTTGTAACAATTCTACATATTAGTATAGTATTTTCCAATATTAAAAAATATTAATCCTTTTGATATTTTGTCGTTTATAAAAATTTTCGACTTAAATTAACGGGAAATCCATTCTTACTTTACAGTAATTCTAAATGAATTTTGACAGGAAATCATAACCTAGAAACATAACTTAAAGTAACAGAGTTGATTTTTAACCTTGCCGCTTGTCTTGAGCGGCTGTTTTTCTATATGTACCATTTTACCTTATATTTTGTTCATATTGCTATTCCTCTGAATATTAACGTTGAAGAGAGGTTCTTACAGTAAACAATCTCAAGCAGAAAAAAAGACAAAACTTGTAATTTTGATAACCTTCCACTTGTTTATCTGCCATTACAGACCTATTTTTAGTTTATGTATTTTTATAACATTCTGACTTACATAAACGGAAATGCATTTAGACATTATAGAAACCCAAAATAGATTTTGACAAGAAATCCTAGAACTGCTACTTTGATCAATCGGGCCTGAAGAATAGCAGTTTACATTACTAATGATAATTCATCCTTCGGGGTTCTATAGGAATCGAGCCAGAGAGACGAAACGGGCTTGAGTCAAAACAAGCGAATCTATATAGACCTAATGCAACTGACTTGGATTCTAGGCGTATTAGACCAATTTTAGATGAAATCCAAAAGATTTGACTTTAGATTCTCTTCACAGTGACAGTTCTAATTTATAACCTACCCCAATTTTCCACTCCGGCCATTTTTAGATGTTTGAGGTTAGGAATTGTCTGAGAGTTTTTGGAATCGTTTCGAAATCTGGATTGGATGTTTTTCTCGGACGTTTCGTGGGCCCGTTCTATCTCGCTTGTTCGTGCCATCGGAATAGACGTTCTCGTAAGAACATCCGTTTCCGCCCCTCTCCCGCCCGTCCGGGGGTTTTTTGACCCGCCGCCCTGGAAACAATCGACGCCTTGGAAACGGGCAAAACAAAAACGGCCAGTCCTTCTGCGATGGTCACCTGATGAGGGCGTAGCGTCCCACATGTCAACAGATCCAACCAGCCAGTGAGGTGAGGCCAATTGTTTGGTACAGACCACCAAAATATCACCCTTAGCTAGAATGAAATCCTCCAGCTGACACACTTTTCCAAAACATTATCCACAATTTTTTTTTTTATATACATGTTTTTCTCAATCTGATGGTAGATAAGAAAAAAATGGACGAACCTGTGAGATGATCACAATTTTTTGTAGACAGACCTAAAACCCTTTGACCAAAATGAAATCTTCTACATTGCAAATTTGTTCAAAAATTTTATCCACAATTTTTTATATAGAAATGCACATATATATGTATATGGTCCTCCATTCTGATGGCACTATTGGTTTGATATTTTAAAAAAATTGACAAATCTCCACCCTCCTTGAACAACCCTGCCATAAAAATTGGACGAGCTTGTGAGATGAGAATAATTTTGTTTTGTGGACAGAGCTAAAATTTAAATCAAAAACTCTTCGACTAAAATTAAATCCTCGACTTGACAGACTCGTCCAAAATTTTATTCACAATTTTTCTTATAGAAATATATCTGTAATACCTATATGGTTTTCCATTCTGATGGCAGTATTAGTTTGATGTATTATTGAAAAAAAAGGAAAAAAATTCCCTCTAGAAGCACCCTCGTCCAAAAACATTGGACGAGCCTATGATATGAGGACACTTATGTTTTGTGGACAGACATAAAACATATTTAAAACCCTCGGAGTAAAATGAAAACTCCTACATGGCAAACTGGTCTACAATTTTATCTACAATTTTTCTTATAGAATGCATGATTCTCCCTTTGTGATGATATGAAAAAAATTGGACGAGCCTATGAGATGAGGCCAATTTTATGTGTACAGACCTAAAGCCTATCTAAAACTCTTTGACTGAAATGAAATCCTCGACCTAACAAACTTATCCAAAATTTTATCTAAATTTTTTTGTATAGAAATGCATGTATATAATTAAATACATGGTTTTTCATTATGTCGCCGTTGGTTTGATATATTATTTTAAAAAATTTCCTTCCTAGGACTACCCTCGTCAAAAAGCCTGTGAGGTGGGGCTTTTTTTTTTTTTTTTTTGGACAGAGCTAAAATTTAAATCTAAAACATCGGCTAAATGAAATCCATGACCTGACAATGACAAACTTGTCCAAAATTTTATCCACAATTTTTGATTGAGCAGAATCCATGATGCTCCATTTTCTGATGGTATGAAAAAAATTGGACGAGCCTATGAGAGAGGGCAATTTTTTGTGGACAGACCTAAAACCTATCTAAAACCCTTTGGCTCAAATGAAATCCTTGATCTGACAAACTTGTCCAAAATTTTATCCACAATTTTTTTATGTAGAATCCGTGATGCCCCATTGAAAAAAAAATTGGACGAGCCTGTGAGGCGAGGCAAATTGTTTTATGAGCAGATCTCAAACATATCTAAAACCTTTCGGATAACATGAAATCCTCTACATTGCAAACTTGTTCAAAATTTTATCAACAATTTTTTCAATAGAAATGTATGTAGATACCTATGTACATGGTGGCATTCTGATGGCACTGTTCGTTTGATATATTATTTAAAAAAGTGTAAAAAAAATCCATCCGTAGGACCACCCTCGTCCAAAAAATCGAATCCCACCCCCCTATTTATTGTAATAGTCCTTGACCTTCGCAACCCCCCCCCCAGATATACAACGAACCGAAAGGAGGGATGGGGTTGCCGGCGACCCCGGCGGTTTCCCCGAATCCGCAAGTCGATTACGACAAATTTTCCGTTTAGTCTGCATTATAACACAATAAATAAATAAATAAAACATGTTTAGCCCTGTGTAGAGGGGAATCGCGTAAAAAAACCAGTCCTGGTTACGCTGACATCAGCAGATAAAGGTAAACAGCGTGAAGATTAGGAAATTGAGTCACGACTTTTGTCGTCTCGTCCAAGGACGAAGATTGTATTCAAAACACAAAAAAAAATTTTTTTTCGGAAAACATTTCTTCCTACACTTTGATAATCCAGGGTTTATTTTATCAATAGAACGAAGGCCGGATGTTCGATTTGGATTGTCGACTTCCGCTCCGTTCTGACGATAATCAATTTAATTGAAGTTTGATAAGTTTTTGGCCTGGTTTTGAAAGTATTTTTTTTTTTTGAAGCGAAATGCTGCTGTCGTTAGCCACTTTGGCCGTCGCGTTGCCCGGCGTGTACAGCGCGGGCCTCCACCTCCGGAACCCGTGCGGCGAGAAGAGCTGCTCACGATACGAGTATTGTTCGGACCTCTACTGCCAGAACTGCGAGCCAGTGTGCACCGTGGGCGAGCGCAATTTCGACAGCGTCATATGCGAGAAGGAGTGCCAAGGTACGACGACCCCATCACGTGACATACTCGAAGGAATTACACTACGTTTCAATCTTGTTTACAGAGTACATACACGACAAGATCAAGGGATACCAGACGGTCGAGGACGTCGCGAACAACACCAAGCAACTGCAAGGTGACTTACAAATTTCATTTATCGGGGGAGGGGGGATGAACGGTGAAGAACGAGCGGAATGATCGATGGACTGGAAGATATGATAGATGGCATTGGAAGAGCGGTGAACGGGGTGGTAGTGGTGATTGATGAGATGGAACGTAGATTGGTGGTCGATGAAAAGGAGGTTTATTGATGTTATTATATAAGAAAATATGATTGATGATTTGCTAAGGTATGGAAGGGTAGATTGATGTCGTAGGAAAATATGATTTATGAGTTGGTAAGGTGATTGATTGATTGGAAGAGCAGATTGATGTCGTTAGAAAAGATGATTGATGCTTTGCTAAGGTGTTTGATGGAATGGAAGCGTACATTGATGCCATTATATATGAAAAAAGGGAATTGTTGTGGTTACGGTAAGTGTATGCGGGTAATGAAAAGATGAATTGATGACACGAAAAAAGCGATTGGTGAAAATATGAGTAGCGACCATTTAAAGCGGATGGGATAATTCGTGATAGTTGTTTTATTAATGGAGGTGCGGTGTTAATGTGATTGATGAGATGATTGATAGGGTGAGAGTGGGGGAAATCTGGAATTATGGCTGACTTATTGGGTGGAAAGGATGATTGATAGTATGATGAAAATGAATGAAAATATAAGTGTGGGTTGGTAAGATGATTGACTGGAAGGGATGAGTGATGACATGAAAAGGGCGTCGGGTGACAATATGAGAGGGGGGCTAGGTAAAACGACTGATGGGATGGTCGGTGATAGATTTATTAATGGATGTGCGGTGTTACTGTGATTGATGAGATGATTGATAGGAAAGAAAGAGAAAGAGAAATTTAGAATTATGGCTAACTCATTGGGTGGATATGATTGATAATGTTAATCGAAAATATAAGTGTGGATTGGTGAGATGATTGATGGCATGGAGGAAAACTGTAATAAAGTAGGTTTTGAATGATCGGTCGGAAAATAACTCTGAATCGGTTCTCAGGTTATGTGAGGGATAAGATCAAAGAGTACCTGTCTGAGGCGGACTCGCTCAAGGCGACCAAAGACCTCCAGGAGACGATAGAATGGCTCCGCCAGCTAGTCGCCGCCTCCTTGATCCTCAGCCTCATGGTCGTCGTAGTTGTCGTTGCTGCACTCGGTTTCCTGTGGCTCAGATACAGGCGTAAAAAGGCGGAGCAGAACAAAGAAATTGACCTCATGGACACAAAGATACAGACAGTTTCTGTAAGTTTTAACAATTTTTTTACCGGATTTGTTTTATGATGTTTTTAATTTTTTTTAAATTTAATTTTAACTCACAAGGGCATGATGAACAACAACTGCAAGGAGAAACTGGCAAAGTTGGACATGTCGTCGATAGGTTCGAACACGGCGGCTCCTTCTGTCGTGACCGGTGTGACGACGACGACCCCAATCTCGACCCGGCACCCGTGCGAGGACGCGACACTAGAGTACGCCTACGACAACCAGGGGATGACTCCGAGTCCGATCCTACAGGAGCAAAGGAACGAGACAACTTTCTAAACTTCATTCAACATTAAAAAAAAAAAATTGGATGGGGGTGGCTTTTTTGGATGTTTCCGCCCCGCCGGTCAGGGCCAGGCGGGCGGCAGCTCTCGACAGCAAGAACAACAAAAAGAGCGCGCTTTGGTTCCGCTTGGCCTCATCGGCATTTTTGGTCTTGTCGGAGGGAAAAATTTGTAATTTTAAATCAAAATTATCCACTAAAAAATAACCGAAAATCTTTTTTGGATAGGGTGGCTTTTTTGGATGTTTCGGCGCCGCCGGTAAGGGCCAGGCGGACGGCAGCGCTCGACAACAAGAACAACAAAAGAGCGCGCTTTGAGTCCGCTTGACCCCACCGGCTTTTTGGTCTTGTTGAAGGGAAAAAGTTGTAATTTTAAGACAAAATTATCCACAAAAAAGGCGCATCGTGAATCCGTCCATTTGGAACGCGTCTTTCATGTATATAAAAAAATTAGTTTTAGTCATTAGTTTAATTTTTGACACAAACAAAGAAAACCTTAATCAAAATGTCAACTGCTCAAAAATTACAAAAAAAAGTAAAATTTATTAATTTGTTTTTGTCAGTATTAGAGGATATCAGCCGTTATTTTCTTTACATTTATATTTATTTATAAGTTTATTTGCTTTTAGTTGAAAAGTTCAAATCAAAATGGTAATGTACAAAAACTTTTTAGGATAAGAATTTCACACGATTTCGCTTTGTTACAATTATAAGAGACTAATTTTATACACTTTATAATTTAGGTATGTAAGATGATTTGGATTTCAGGAGCATTCCATATCTGGAATTGGAGGAGTCATTTTTGTATAAGGACTTAAAGTGCTCTTGTTATCAGGGGTTTCAGTATCAACATATTAGGACAATTTATCAGTCAGGACATGTGTAATCAGAGTTTCAGGAGGCTATATGTATCTCGATTGTAGGAGTTCTTGTGATCAGAGACTCATGTTATAAAAGCTTTTGGTATTAGAATGTCAGGATCTTTTGTGATCAGGATTCCAGCAGCTTTCAGTACTAAATTTCAGTAGTAAAATTTCAGAAGCTCGAAGTGTTTCAGGATTATAGGAGCTCAAGTTATCATGAGCTCTGAGTATCAAAGTGTCAACACCTTCAGAAGCTTTTTTTTTATAGTATCGCAGGAACTTTTGCGATTAGTAGCTTGTGTTATCCTAAGCGTCAGAATTTCAGGAGTTCATATTATCAGGACCTTCAAGGTTTTAAGAGCGATCAGTATCATGAGCTTTGGTGATCAGGATTTTGTAACGTTTAGTTTCTGGGTTAAAGGTTTTCAATATTAGCATTTCTGGACCAATTGTGATCAAAGATTTCAGGAGCAAAAGAATTACAGGAACTCCAGAGTTATTAAGAAGTTTTGTGATCTAGAATTCAGAAGCTCATGTTATCAGGAGCTTCTGGGCTTCATGAGCTTTCAGTCTCAGCGGCTCTTGTTAACAGTACCTTAAGGAAGTCTTGTGATCATGTTTTCAGGGTCAGATGTTATCAAGAGCTTTCTGTCTCAGCAGCTTAGGAGCTCATTTTATCAGGAGCTTCAGGGTTTCATAAGCCTTCTATATCAATATGTAAAAGTTTCAGTAGCTTTCATTATCAGAATTAAAGTTTTTGGTATTAATTGTTTTACCAGACGATAAAAAAAAGGATATTGATATACTTCAACAATTTAGCTTTTAGTGCGCATATCGTCATCCAAGTAAAATTTAGGTTTATTTGTTGATAAAAAAATTAAATAAAAAAAAATTATAAGTTTGTTAATTTGTTCAAAGCTTAGGTGGTGGTATCACAACAATTCCATACTGCACATTCCCAAATTTTAGGTTAGTTTATTTCTTATGAAATATAAATTATTATTATTATTATTATTTAGAAATAAGAAGAGAGAAATAAAAGAGGGCTGGGTTTGTTTTAATTTTGTGTGTTTGTACATAGGCTCAAATAAGAAAACCGTCCATTTAACATGAGCCAGCCTTCTATAAAAAAAATTTTTGTGCAATATTTATTGTTTTTAAACTGTAGGCTAATTTTTGTTAATAATTAATGCGAAATGCAGAAAAATAATAAAAGACCCTTTATCAGAGTCCGTCCATTGTCTGTTTATAGTTAGATGTGTAAGTGTTTTATAATAAATTAAAAAAATACAAGGCGAAACTGACCGTCTTGTGTGTATCCAACGCAATATTAGTATTTTAAGTGTGTTGTACAGATTTAATTTTGTATTAGAGTATTGAAGTAATGTAGAAAAAACAAAATGTCTTGATATTAGCCTGTAAGTTAGTTGTCGCATTCGATGCATCACGACTTGTGATATCACCGTTAGTTCTTTCACACTTCTGTGTAACTTGCCGTCCTGCTGGCATAAATGTACTTAACTAAAGATACTTTTATAACTGAAATTATAAAATTAAAAAGGAAAAATATATGAAATTATATTGCAAAATTATTTGTACATTGTTTGTTTGATATATGCACGTTTTATTAAATTTTTATCGTTTCTTTTTCTTATCTTTTTTAATCTTTTATCTGTTTTATTTATACTAACATTGAGAGAAAATGATAGAAAATATCAATAATTATGGAAAATCGATGGAAAGTGTGGATCTCCCATTTATATATTTTTTGATTAAATTTTTCCATATTCTTACCCGTCCTCTTATTATAAACTGTCCATTTATGTTAAGTTTTTATTAAAACAGCATAGAAAATACAAAAAATAAAAATAATAATAGAAAAGAGAAAAAATTTGTCAACCTGCCATGGGTGACATCTTTACCTCACATTTTGAGCTATTTTTCATATTTTATTCTATTTCGTAATATTTCCTTTGCATATTTGATCTATTTACGCTGTATGTAGTAAAATAATATAGAAAAAACAATAAATGTCAACAATTTGTAAAAATAGTCATAAAATAGGTAACCTTTCATTGATGACTTGGATATAGTTTTTGATACTTTTACCATTTTTGTCATTTTTCTTTTTTATTTTTTAAACTGTTTCTTTATACCAAGTTTGAAATGAAATGATAGAAAATAGAAAAAAATTATGATAATAATGAAAAATAATCAAAAGGGTATAAACCTGACGCTGCTGACATCTTGATAACCTCACTCAATATGATAAACAAAGATTTAAATACTTTTTTACATTTGTTCATTACTCCTTTTGTTTAATATTGTTAAAACTGACTAGTTACACTAAGTTTGAATTGAAACATCGTAGAAATTGGAAAAAAAATAACAGACATGGAAAATAATAAAGAGGACTAAATTTGCCATGGCTGACTTTTGGATAACCGCACTTTTACCTTCTTTTTCCATTTTGAAATTTTCCTTATAAAATAGACTAGTTTTCGTGGTCCGCTTGACCAAATAATGTCTTTCAATTAATATTAATCTGTATTTAAGGTATTGTTTGAGATAAAAAAAAAATCAGCGTCAAAGCGGGATTCGAACCCACGACCTTCGGCTAAATACGCCGCTGCTCTACTACTAGAGCTATCGAGATTACACGACATCTGAAAAATGGCAAAAAGGAGGGAAAATTCAAAAGGTAGGTTGAGATAAGAAGTTACTGTCCGAGTAGATCGAAGTCACGATAGCTCAAGTGGGAGAGCAGTGGCGTATTTAGCCGAAGGTAGTAGGTTCGAATCCCGCTTGTGACACTGTCTTTTTTATCTCAACCAATACCTTAAATACAGATTAATTAATTGAAAGTTATTATAAAATGTCCATCCCTAACCATTTATGATGGGAATAAAGCAGAATGACATAAAAAAATAAAAAATTCTTGATTTGCATAATATAATCAAATTAAGTATTCAGAAATCGTGAGATGCGGTCTGGTGTGATGTAGGTTTCAGAAAAACATTTTCTTTATCGTGCCAACGTTTCGATCTTTATTAAGATCATCTTCAGGCAGAATGGCACAACTACACTTTGACGTACACTTAGAAGACAAACACTTTGAGCCCTGAAGATGATCTCAATAAAGATCGAAACGTTGGCACGATAATGTTTTTCTGAAACCTACATCACACCAGACCGCATCTCACGATTTCTGAATAATTATCGATTAACGTCACTAACCACCACACAAAATAGAAACAAACATGATTTAACATTTTTTAATCCACTAATTATGTCCCGAACCCATTGTCAATCCACGCTCTATGCATAATCACCATCCACATATGGATGTATTAATAACATTTATGTTTGCTTTATTACATTTGATCTATTTACGATAAGTTTGAAATGAAATAACATAAAAAAACGCAATAAATGTCACAAAATTGAAAAAAAAAAATTATAAAAGATTTAGCGTTTCATTGCTGACATTTTTGTAACCACTTTTTTTTAAATAATTATTTTTGCTCCTATTGGTAAAACTGTTCATTTAAAAACAATTTTGAGCTAAAATGACACAGAAAATGCAAAAAGTAATGCCAGTAATGGAAAATAATCAAAAAGGAGTAAAACTGCCACGACTTTTATAACTGCACATTTATCTCCTATTTTCCATTTTGTCATAACTTATTTCTTCCCTATTTTTTAAACTGTTTATATTCATTAGCTTTGAAGTAAAATATAATGGAAAATATAAATATTAAGATAATGGAAAATAATTTAAAAGGAGTAAACCTGTTTTTCATTTTTTCCCCTATTTTTAAATATTCCTTTCATTCAATATTGCTAAAACTCTTCATTTATACTACATTTGAATTAAAATAGGATAGAAAATATAAAACATAACGATAATAAGGGAAAATAATAAAAAAGGAGTAACCCTGACTCTACTGACATCTTGGTAACCTCCCATATTTGGTTACCTGCAAATTTTCATGCTTTTTCCCGTCTTTAACAATTCCTTTTGCTTCCTCCAACCAAAACTATGTATGTATACTAAAATATATATGAATTTAGATAATATTGAAAATACAGAAAATAAGGATAATAATGGAAAATAATCAAAAAAGCAGTAACCTGCCCATGCTGACTTTTGTATGACAGCACATTTACCTACTTATATGAATCTTCCTCGTCAAATATTTATTTATGTAAGCTTAAAGCAAAATAACCATGTAAAAAAAAAATTTTAATAACTACTTACTTTTAATTACAACTAATAATATACAATATATACAACGAAAATAGTGAATAATTGTCTAATGTCTGTTCATGAAGTAGTCGACTGCTGTGCTGAAAGCGGCGAACCCGACGGCACCGAAGAGGCCAGCCTTGACGCCCGCCCTGAGCCCGATGATCCCTCCCGTCACCCCACCGGCGAGGGTTCCGTTCATCCAGTCCGTCCTCCCCCTCGACGACTCGATCGTACACTCGACGGCGGCGAAAAGCGCTCCGACCATGGCGAAGTTCTTGCCGTAGCCGAGGGACGCGGATTTCATCTCCCTCAAGATCTCCCTCGCCGTCTGGGTCTTACCGTCGACCGGGACGGTGGGGTTGACGCTCGACGTGAACAAGCCAATAGCGGCGCCGAGGCCGAAACCGAGGACGCAGCTCAGGGCGGTCTTGAAGGCGCAGCTCTCGAGGGCCGCTTCCATCTGTTTTTCTTCGTTCGTTTTGATGTCGACACGGCCGATAGCGCTCGGTATTATCATGTTGTCCCGAGGACGACGTAAGCCGCTCAAAAAATATTTCTGGAGGGCGAGAAAAGTCGCCTCGTCGTTCCCGGAGCTCATACTTACAAGTAAACACACTTCTTAGAACGGGAAGGTAATAATTATAACCAAAACTGATAACACATCACTAAATCTTACAAACCTAAAAAATCAACAAAACGAAAATACAAAAACGCTAGATTACATATAAAAATAAATAAATAAAACACAGATTCCTTCCATAACATAGAATAACACAAATATCAATAAGATAACCTTAAGAAAGTTATAAATTCTTGTGTTGGCGGGAAATCCTTTTTTTTATGAAAATATTTTGCTTAAAAAACCAACTAATGATATATAAGAGATAAGAAAAATATCTAAATAAGAAAAATTAAAATACGAATCACGGACGCAGATGTATTGGTTTGTCAATGAATGTCGGTTGAATCAAATCTGCGGGAATTCATAGGTTTTTTTAAAAATATTTCGTTTGATAAATTGATCTCATTATTGACAGGCAAATCTATTTTTATTATATTTGGATATATTCGCTTATATTCGTAAAATGTCTGAATATTTCATTAGTCTTTATTTGTTTAAACAATTGTTTTGATATTATAAATTATATATTATAATATAGACTGACTTGACCTTAGTATACGGGATAACCACAAAAGGAAGGTTTCAATTTACAAAATTCATGCTTCATTATTCATTTAAATTTTGAAAAATTGTAAGTTAAAACACTTGAAAAAACCCGGTTATTGTATTTTATATAAATTTATGCGCCTTTTATTACCTGATTTAATCTTCACTGATGAAGATAAAACTAGGATAAGTGTTAGAAATGTAACAGCAATTCAAATAACGTTAATTCATCTTATTGAAGTACAAATCCATTTACTATAATATTTGGAAATTATTCGTAACTTATCTGAAAATTTCATTGGTCTATATTTATTTAACAATTCAATTTTTTGTTAAATTATAAAACAGAATATAGGTAGATTTACATCAACCTTTGTACGCGGATAACAACAAAAAGAAGGTTTCATTTTCAAAAATTCCAGCAATCTTGTAATTTAAATTTTAAAAAAATGTAGATTAAAATAAAACTAGGTTATTATAGTTTTTGATGGTAATAGTTGTAAAATACCTTTTTGATTTTATTTTCAGCTTTTATTACCTTCTTAATCCCGATCTCGTATCAACCGACATCTTGGTAACCTTAGCACATAAGATAACCACCAAAATGAGGTTATATTTTCAAAAGTCCAGTTTCATTGAGTAGTTAATAAGTTTTTTTAAATTATTCAAGTTGAGGGAAAGAAAGAAAATCTTGTATTTTTGTACTGTTGCAAAGTTATTGATTATATTGGGCCACAATTACTCATACAATCCCGACGATGTTTTATTGTATAAATTTGTATTCTAGAACGAAATAACCAAGACATGAAGGTAATGGTAAGTTGGCAGTGTTGTTTTCTACAAAACTCCTACACGCTCTCTAATCTCTATATAGTGCCTGGTTGGGGCTGATCGGGCTACCTTCTCTGCCGGACATGTGTCGGGCTACCTTCTCTGCCGGACATGTGTTTAAACTTACCGCCTTTATTCTTCTCGGCCACTAGAGAGAGTGTTTTATGTCGATGGCAAGAGGAGAGTTGTCGGAAAGTAAGAATTCCGATTTATTTGGACCGTGACAGATGGAAGTGTGCGTCGATAACGTTTTTTCCGTGTTGAACGCCGCCGCGGGGGGTGCGTGCCGTCTCGAGGTGTGTTCCGCCCTTTCGGAAGGCGGACTGACACCGACCCCGGCCCTCCTGGCGTTCTGCAAGAATCGAACGTCCATCCCCGCATTCTGCATGGTAAGGCTGAGGGGAGGAGGCTTCGTCTATAGTTCGGACGAAGTGGCCGTTATGGCCGAGGATGCGGCGACGCTCGTCGGTTACGGCGCAGACGGCCTTGTCTTCGGCGCTCTCAACGCGGACCGGACGGTCGATGAGGACGCCTGCAGAAGGATAGCCGAGGCGGGAGGCGTTCCTCTCACCTTCCATAGGTTTCCTTTAAAATAAGAAGAAAAAAAGAAACAAACAACAAGTAATTATTTTTTACAGAGCGTTCGATGAAGTGGCGGACCCGTGGGCGGCCCTTGATACGGTCGCCGACCTTGGCTTCAAAAGGATCCTGACAAGCGGACAACGCAAGACGGCGGCTGAAGGGCTTCCGCTACTCGAATGGCTCTCAAAGAATGACCGGATACCCATCATGCCGGGCTCTGGGGTCAACGTGTCCAACCTGGGTGAGATACTCCGCAGGACCGGAGTCTCAGAATTTCATGGTTCTGCAGCTGCCGAGGTTGAAACTGGGGGCGGGCTGCTCAGGGTGACAGACTCAAGACAAGTCAAGGATATGGTCGCCATTTACAATTCTTTCAGAAATCAAACAATGTGATAAGTACCTAATAATCGTTGTAAATTTCATATAAAATATAATTTTTTGACTTATTTATAATAATTTTTGTATAGCATTTAAACCATTAGTGTGTTGACAATAATATTTATTTTCAAATTTGGAAGCTTGGAAGCAAAACAGTGTTCTTACCAAAACTGAACCGGCCATGCTATCTGAATCCTGTTCCGAAATTGTTAGGGATTCGCTGCTGGAACGAATTTAGTAACAGGTAGTTGAACAGCAACTTTATTTTAAGAAACAAGACCTACAAAGTTTTGGTTTATTTTCAAAAACTAGATTTTTTATTATAAAAATTACACGAAGAACAATCACATTATTATAATGCTCGTTTTCTATAACCAGAACATTCCAGTAATCCAAACTGGAAAAAGAAGTGAGAATTTTAAAAGGAACCTTCTTGGGTAAGGGGGAGAAATAGAGTGAGAGAAGTGATGCGGGAGGGTGCGAGAGTAAACAAGAGAGTTTGAGTGGGGCAGAGAGAGAAAGTGAGTGAGAGAGAATGAAGAAGTGAATGTGAGTAAGAGAGGGAGAGAGTGCGAGTATGAGCATGAGAGTAAGGTAGAGAGAATGAGAGGGAGAGAGAGAGCAAAAGAAAGTGAATTAGAATGGGCGAGAGAGAATGGAGAAGTGAATTTAAGATAGACAATGTATGGGAGGGGGAGAGAGAATGAGTAAGAGAGAGAACGAGTGAGTCAGTGAGTGAGAGTAAGGGACAGAGAATGAGTGCGTGAATGAGAGAGAGAGAAAGAAAGATACAGAATTAGTGTGAAGGAAAGAGTGAGTGAGAGGAAGAGAAAGAGAGAATGAATGTGTGAGAGTGAGAAAGAAGAAAAGGCATGAATGAGTGTGAGAGAAGGAATAAGAGAGGGTGAGAGATTGAGAGTAAGAGAGAGGGAATGAGTGAGTGAGAGAATGATGAGTAAAAGAGAGAAAAAGTAAGAAGCATGAATGAATGTGAGAGTGAGAGAGAATGAGTGGGAGAAAGATAGATAATGAGTATGAGAGGAGTAAGAGAACATGAATCAGTGTGAAGAAAGGAGTGAGTGAAGGTAAGAATGTGAGAAGTGAAAAAGAGTGGGTGAAAGAGTAAAATAGAGAGAGAATGAATGAGCATGTGAGAGTGAGAGAGAAGAAAGCATGAATGAGTATTAGAGAGGGAATAAGTGAGTGTGGGAAAGAGATCGAGAGTAAGGGAGAGAGAATGGTAAGTGAGGGTGAGTGTGAGAGAGTAATAGAATGAATGAGTGATTGAGGGTATGATAGAGAATGAGTGAATAAAAGAGAGTGTGAGTGATTATGAGAAAGAAACAAAGAGTGTGTAAGTGTGATATAATAACTGAGTGGGAGGAAGAGTGATTGAGAGTAGAGAGAGAATGAACGTGAACATGACAGCTTCCCAAAAGTAAAATTTTTACCATAAAATTATAAATAAAATAAAATACAAAAACTTATAAATATTCAGGCTGTAAGCCTGTAAAAATTTTTTTATGATAAATTGGTACTTACCACCATTGTTCCTGCATGCACGATGCATCTTCAATTGTAATATAAATAAATAATGTATTAATCGACTAAAGCGAAGTTATTTTGTTATGCTATTGATAAAATTAGAAATGAAAACTCTTAATAGACAAATCATTAATGTGTATTGAAATATCTGTTGAGCGTCACCTTCAATATGTTGTCCAACTGAACAGTCATTAGAACGGTATGGTAGGAGTGTCTTGATTGTTCTTCAAAACAAAATAGGAGAAAAAAATTACTCAAGGAAGAAATGCAATGCACAGCGGATGCACACACAAAAGTGAAAAAGCTTTCACAATTATTTTTAGTGTGGTGATGGGAAACAAAAAAATTAGTATGGCACCCTTGCACATAATACGTAGCTCTTTCAAAACACACAAGAACTTAACTCTTAACATGCTAATTCAATGCACATCAATATCAAATATGTGGTATGGACGCAATAAAAATTTTTATTAATCAACCATGATCATACAACCCCGCCTACAAACTTATGTATGTCTATGTAGAAACAAGATACAGATCTTAATGGCTCACATTTTTTTTTAAATAATAAAACCACTTTCAAAATCTCGCCAAACTGTCAAAATGGTGTAAAAACTGTATCCTGCAAGATCTTGAATAAGTTTGGTTATCTGCATGTAAGGTTTTTCATAACCTAGCTAAAGTGAAACCTTTTGATTGATCATTTATTCCCCGACCGAAGACTTTTCTCCCGTGGTATCAATTCAGACAATGAATAAAACAGCGGTGAGAAATACAGTTGCAACTCTTTTTGGTCAAATTGTTAATATGTATTTACATATCAGGTAAGCATAGTTGTTCATTACCATGTCATCAGTGGTTAAAATTATTTAAACTACATAGGACATACAAAATCATAATACAAGACTAAATCAAATCGAGTTAAAAAAAAATGAAACACATTTTGAAACAGTGACGCATAGTAAGGAAGCAACAACCCCTAGACCATCAACACTAACCTTAACCATTCCTAAATAATTGGGGTGGTATGGTAAAATTCTTTAAACTACTAGGACATATAAAAAATAATACAAGGTTTAAATTAAATCAACGAGGTTTAAAAAATAATAATCTTTTAAACACTCCATGGGCATAAAGACAATGAAGGAACAACCCCCACCACAAAGAATACCTATGTCAAAACAAGATGAATCTTAATTAACCATTCAATTTTTTTTAAATAAAACCACTTTCAAAATAACAATGACTTACCAAACTGATGTAAAAACCATAAATAGGATCTTAAATAGAGTTCATTTGTTATATTGTCAGGATTGGTTATCTGCATGTAAAGTATTTTTTGTCCCTATAGCTGAAGTAAAACCTTATGATGGTTCATATATTCTCCCATCACCGCCTTCTACCAAGGCCGGCTATCATTTTTCCCCATTGGCTTCAATCTGGCGCTTAACCAGGCAGCAGTGAACATGAATGCCTATCGTCTTAACGAGATTTCCAAATTCCAAGGTACCCGTATAAATTTTTCAATTTCACTATTAAAACACTACTACAGACACATACAATTACTAAACTTTACAAGTAGTGTGTCACATTAATTTTAATTTAATTAATTAAAAAAAAGGTGGTACAATGGCACAAGATAAGTTGAAATGATGGATGTTGGGAAGGTTTTAAGTATTAAGAAAAAAGGTATCTTTTTTTTATATATATACGTTTATATATTTTTTACCAAAGTCTACAAATTTTTTTTATATAACCTTAATAGTTAAGTATAAACTTTTTTTTAAATATATGTTATAAGGATCAGAAGGTGTGTTTGAATGTAAAAAATAATAAAAAATAAAATAAAAACCAAAAAGAAACAACTAGGCGTAAGATTAAATTAAAAGAAATACCGAGGGTGGTATTTGCTTTGTAGGGCACATGGTCGTGGTGAGAAGGGGTGAGGGAATTAGACGAAAAAATGAGGAAGAGAAGGACTTTCTACTGACATTCCTTTTGCTAGACAAAATTAAAATGTTCAAGTATACCTTAATTAGAAGAAAAATAAAAACTGACAAGGTTTCCTCTTTTTTTTAAATACATTCATAAATTGCTAAATCACTGGACATTCCAAGGTGTTGGTAGAGAATAAAAAAAGGAAAAAAAAAATAAGAAAGGGTGTTTTATTTTGTGTTGTCAGTGCCGAACACAATAAGAAAAACAGAAAGAAAAAAAACATTGATTTTTAATTTTTTTTTTGTTTTGTTTTAAAGTTTGGTATTTAGTCTCGATATTTTACTTTTATTCTAGCGGAGGTAGGTTTTCGTCGAATTCTTCCTCGTCGTCCGAATCCGACTCAAGGTCGCCCATGTTCAGCCCTTCGGAGGAATCGCCGCTTCCGCTGAGCCCACCCATGCTTTTCATCATCTAAAAAATAAAAACAATTAATGAAAAAAAAAGATTACCGTTCGAGAAGGTCAGTGTGATATTGTGCTTGATATTGATATTGATTGATATTGATGATATTGTGTTCCCCAAGCAAGGTACTGAGAAGCGTGATATCGCGCTATACTCTTCACTTTTAGATTCAAGTTTATTAGAAGCAGTGTGCAGTTTGTTATTTTTACGTAACTCATAACTAACATGATTAATATTAGGTACAATATTCTATAAATGCCAAACATACCTGTTTCTACACACGACTTTTCTTGAGGGGGGCAATGTTATGACTGGAAGATATGTTGGTTAAACTTTGATTAATTAGCTTTACAACTAAAGAATGAGGATTCAACTGGCCAGACCATGCAAAGCCTAAAAAACAGAATGTATGGACATGATTGTAAGATCTATCCAAATTGTTAACCGAGTTGTTACAACGCCACCACAATTTTGATTTGGAATTAAAGAATCTTCAGCCGTGAGATGAAACGTAAAGGAAACTTTGTACATTAACGTGGATAACTCTTGTAATGTGCAGAATGATTTTCAAAAAAAGCTTATTCGGGTTTGTTACAGTCTGTAAGAGAGAGGACGTCATGCATCCTACTCACACAATTTTATAGATTATTCTCAATTCTTTAGTTAGAGATTTTGATTGTGTATATGTGGTTAAGAGTTACATTCCTGCTTTTTCTTCAAAAATATTTAAGTGAAGAAATTTTCAGCTTCTAAATTTCTAAAATAAAATAATTAATGTAAGTAGTTACCTGTGCTAAAAATTGGTATTTGTTTTTGTTTATACAATAACTGTTAATTGTTTGAAAATATGGGCCCTGATGATGACCTTTCAAGCCCTGGTCGAAAGCTTGGCAAATTTGGAATATTGTTTTTATTCTACCCTTGACCATACTATCATACATCAAATTATTTTAGCGCTAGTGAGAATACTGGTTACTGTTTTAAACAATTCACTGCTTTTGACTTCAGCCTAAAAGTGAAGAGACTAGATGATATCGCGCTAGCAGTACCTAAGTAGAGTGTAATGGCACACTCTTTAGTGGGGGAAGCACAATACCATGCTCACCGTCCTGAATTGGTTGAATAAGCAAGCTCTATTTTGACTCACTTCTGAAAGGTTGTAGTTGGAATCGTGTCCACCGTCTTCATCATCGCCCGAGCTCTCTTCGTCCTTCCATCTGTTGAAGTCAATTTTCAACCAGTGGTGTTTAGCCTTCTCTTTTGTCAGCTGGGGCCAGTACGATTCGCTGTCGTCTCCGCTGGCCTTCTTCAAAAGCGTCAGCTCTATAACTCGCCCCCTGATCGCCTGCTCGCATTTCTAATAAAACGAAAAAATAAATAAAAAAATAAAATACATAGAGACAAAATACTGTGGGAATGTAAGCCGAGACTCACCTCTGGTTCTATTTCTTTATAAAGATTAATTTCAACTTCGTGTAGTTTCTTGTCCGTACCCCCTGTACCCTTAAAGTAAACTTTATTGGGCTCAATTTTTATTTCCGGGTTCTGGCAGTCTTCTAGGCATATTGTTAAAAACACTACGTTCGATCTTTGTGCCCACTTCACCGCCGGTGGAGTTGCTCTAAGGAAAAAACAACATAAACTCGTCAAACACTACAAGAACAGAACATTTACTCTATATAAACCATCGGGATAGGCCCAGGTTTTCATAGAATGTCAATAAGAAATAATAATAATAATTTCAGTTAATTATTTTTTTTATCTAAGGTTTTAGGTTGAGATGAAAAATGAGTGTCACAAGCGGGATTCGAACCCAAGTGGTTAGAGCTTGTTGAGCCAAAGGTCGTGGGTTCATCAAATCCTGCTTATGACACTAATTTTTCATCTCAAAAAAAAAAAAAAAAAAAAAAAACAGATAAAAAGAATAATTAATTTAAATAATTAATATGGTGAGTTATAGTCAGACTTGAATTCTATTGTCCGTTGGTGGAAGCTAAATAGTATGTACTTGAACATTCCTTATAAAGTTGTACCTACTAAAAAAAGAATATTAAATATACGTATTTGATAAATGACATTCCAAAAGTGTGTTAAAAGATTTAGATATAATTTCTGATAATGAAATGGCTTTTTAATAAACATATATCATTTATTCAAAAGAAAAGTCTAAGAACATTGGGATTTATAATGTGTGCAAGCACAGATTTCAGCAATAAAGAAGCATTTAAATCTCTTTATTGTAGCTTTGTCCGACCGATATTAGAATGTAACAGTGTTGTAAGGTCGCCAAACTATTATATACACAGTCTAGAAATTGTACAAAATTAATTCCTTTGCTGTACAGTTCATAAAATCACATTTGTTAAAAACCCACACAAATACCCCCCCCCCAATTCTAAGGAAAATGGGTCTGATGTCACTTGAAAACAGAAGAATGTATCTAGATGTTTTTGTACAAATTGGTAAACGACATGATAGCCCGAAATTGTTGGAATATATCAACTTCCTGGCTTCCTGGGCTCAATATGAGAAATTGTAATTCATATAGAAATATGGTTGTGACAAACTATACGAAACACAGCCCCCCTTGTAACTTTTTTAATGACCGAAGGAAATTTGCTATACTTTGCCTGGTCTTTTGACAGTATATCTAAACTAAAAAAGATATTGTAATTTACATTAACTTAAATCATTGAAAAGATGAAAATTCTAAAATCTATAACTGTGGGAAGTTCCTGTAAATAAAAAAATTATGACTGCTAAACATATATGGATTGACATAATTATTATTGTGAATATTTAGTGGCCATTAATTATTGATTATTTGGAAATCGTGAGATGCGGTCTTGTGATGTAGGTTTAGAAAAGCATTTTCTTTATCGTGCCAATAAACAAAACAATATATAAACAAAAAAAACGTTAATTTCTCACTAACACTCTCAACATGACTCACAACCGTGACACATCTGCCCAGAAAACACACTTTGAGTGAATAAAATACTTTGATTAAACGTAAAAATTCAATATTTTGTACATCATTGTTTAAATTCATTTTCACATCTTACACGTAGTTGTATATAAGTATAATTATTTAAACAATGCTTGTAAATCCCAGGCCATGAAGATAATCTCAATAAAGATTGAAACGTTGGCACGATAAAGAAAATGTTTTTCTAAACCTAATCAGACAAGACCGCATCTTACAATCTACAAATAATCATAATTATTATTTAGAAATGACATTCGATGAAACAATAAAAAGTCCATATTCTTGGAACACACAAACTTGCTATCAGCATAGGTCGTCCGAAGGGAAACGACAACCGAGAAACAATGGCCCTCCATAACAATATAGTAGCTTTTTCTAAGAAATGCCTGACCATGTCAAGGGGAGGCCAATGTACAGGAGGTTGAACCTTACTTTAATTTTTTATGTGAAGTATTTAGTGACCGTTAATTAATGATTATTTGGATATCGTGGATATTTAACAATGCCTTCTTATGAGAGTTCCCACGCGGGCACAATAAAGAAACTGTTTTTCTAAAACCTACACACCAGATCGCATCTCATGATCTCCAAATTATCTTGACTAATGGTCACTAAACACCACACATTAATATCTCACTAATACTCTCTAGACACAACAATGATATCTACACAAAAAACACACTTTGAATGCATATACTTTGATTAAACCTAAAAATTCTATATTGCGTACAACATGGTATAAATTCATTTTCACAACTAAATGTATTTGTATAATCAAAACAATGTATGTAAATTCTAGGATCTGGAGTTAATCTAAATAAAGGTCAAAACGTAGCTCGACAAAGAAAATGTTTTCTAAGCCTACATCATACAAGACCGCATCTCACAATCTCCAAATAATCATTTTTAATTTAAATAATTTAAAATTAAAAACTTTAGCTGATATTTTTCATATGTTATAACCAGTTATTACCAAATGTTTTAAAAATATAAAGGTTTATATGTTTTGAAGGAACTTTGAAAATTGGCATGCGATAATTTAAGTTGTTTCAAGCGAAATTTTTATTTTGTCGTGAATTTTTGTATAAGGCCTGTTTTTTAAATATTTTTAATTCTTATATTTATTTGTAAGAGGAATATAGATTAAAATACTCAGTTATTACACGGGCTGGGGCAACCTTGAATCAGATTCACATGGCCAATGTTAAGGTTATGCCGAATCGTAAGGCGAGAGGGGAGGGTTAAAAGACAAGACGCAACAATAAATCAGTTAAATAATAAAAAGTTATTGCTTGTTTTTTCTTATTTTGATGAACTATATTACTCACTTATCCTCCTGGACCATGTTTTATTTCACCGGAAATCGACCTGGTGAAATATCCTCAGTAAACGTTCGAGGGGGTTAGCGCGTTAGATCCTCTTTTTCGAAAAGGGGAAAACAAAAACCAACGGATCCGTTCCAAAGATTTTTGCCCGTTTTTAACTTTATACCGAAGGTGAAATGAAAAACCGCGATCGTTCTTTGTTTTTGTTTTTTTGCAATTCTCCGTTTTAACACTTTTAAAGAGATCGATAAAATGCGGGTCCGACTCGTCTCGCGGTAGAGATGGAATGGCTGAACATACGGTGGGGGGGGGGTCCCGGCCGGGGATTTGTCCGGCAAATAACACGTTTTTTCCTTCCTCGCTCCATTCGCCCATTTATGACCATTAAAAAAGAGATTTTTAATAGATATAAACGATAAAATACTTACAACGCCATTTCCTCTTACACAGTCTTCTTCCTATTTGATTTGCTAACAACAAAAAAATAACCCCCGAGAACAACAACTCCGTCCGAGGATAGGCTTCGTTATCTGCGTCCCAGTCCTACCAACCGAGACGGGTGGAAAATCCTTCTCCCGTTTTATAATAGGCGACGGTACCAAACGGAAAATCGGCCGAAATAAACGTAAAGAAAAATTTCTACGGCGTTGTTTTATTTTATTTTTATAAATGTTTTTAGTTTTCAAAAAGAAAATGAGATCGGAGGAAAAATAATTGGCTTTTTCCCGTTCGCCGGATTCGATCAGTACGGCTATCACATGTCCGAAATTGTAAAAAAAACGGAAACTTTTGGGAGGGGGGAGAAGAGCCCGCCGGTTTTCAAATTTGTCTTAAAAAAAAACAACCAAACCATATAATTTTTTTATAATTTATTTTATTTATTGCTATAAAAATGAACTTTGTTTATTTTTACACTGAAAAAGCAGTCTTTCCCTCAATTCTACATCAACAACAAAGACATACCAGTTTCCACACAATTCAAATACCTGGGACTATACCTCAACAGCAGACTTACTTAAAAAACAACTTCACACAAGACTTGGACTTAATGAAGACTTCTAAGACCGAAATGGACTTTGACAACTAAGACAAAACTAACACTATACAAGACTTTACTAACACCAATATGGATATACGGAGTAGAACTGTGAGGTAGTGCCAAACCATCCAATATCCAGCGCATCCAGTCTTCTAATCAAAAGCCCTTAGACAAATTGTTTAGCCCTTATCATGTCACCAACCGCACAGTCTACAAATACCTCAACATTCTTTTTGTCAACGAACCGATCTGGTCCAGTTTCCAATCCTTCCACACCATCGAACCATCCTAATCATACTGCTCGAGCCCTCTCTACTCATTCCCATACTGACAACCCGCCACGTCTCCTCAACCAACGGCCTCGACACCGACTCATACACATTGAGTGCCAGCAATGGTTGCATACACATGTGTTCTACGGGTGCAGAGCTGACATTAGTGCTAGTGTTATACTGTGAGATACATTAATCATGTGTACATATTTGTATACTATACGATCATGTATAGGTAACATAAAATTTTAAATTAACAAAAAAATATTGCTATCTGTACAAAATATACAATGAGCAAATAGTTTAGTTATATATAAATAAGACAGATCTGTCAGACGAAGAGACAGTGGAGAGAGATATCGACCAATGCTGGAACTCTCTTTTGTTTAATTTGGTCTTAAGGTAGAAGGTCAGGAGGCCATCGTCGTTTGGGCAAGGAGACGTTAAGGAAAGAGTTAGGGACCATTTTTACGTAGCTTGTAATATGTTCAGATATACTTCGGACATACTGAAGACGTGAAATCCGATATATTTAAAGTACATTTATGCAACAGTGAACGTTAAAAAGACGTTTATATTTATGACGTTGTCGATTCTGCTTATGACGTCATAATGCATATTTATAATGTGGGATTTTTAAGGAGTAGGGGGCCGCCGAAACCAAAATTGTTGATTTGTCCGACGAGCGGTCCTGGTTCGAATCCCGGCATAGCCCGTATTTTTTAAACGATGATATAAAAACTGTATTGTGGTTTGACGATTCGCCAGCGACACTCAACTTTTCACATGCAAAGACGGAAAAATTGTTTTGCAAAATTCTTAAAATTCACGTTATAAACTGAGGTGTTTTCTGAAGAATTTTGACACGGTCATGGTTTTTTTTTTTGTGTATTTTGTGTTAAAAAATTAAATTTTGTTTGCGACCAAATCGGGTCGCCGTTTTGTATTGGACGGTAGAGAAAGGAAGAAAAGTAGAGAGAAAACAGAAAATTCTTCACCTCCCTCTATGGAGGCGGCGAATTTTGCTAAATCCCCTTATTTTCTATTATTGGAAATAAAAATTTATCGTTCAATTTTAATATTTTTAGTTTAAATAATTGAAATTTCACCAACCCCCACTTTGACGGTTGTGGGGGGGGCTTCCGCCCCCTTGATTGAAAGGGTCTCGCACTCTCGCCGTTCGCCAGTCAGTCTCGGCAAGTCGGTCAGGGCATAACGGCACTCGCGCTGACACTTTCAAACAAAAGTAGAATTTTTTTAAATTTTTGAGTTTTTTTTTTTTTTAATAAATATATATATATATATATTCATTTGTTTATAAAGAAAAATGGGTTTTTATGTACCGAGAGGGCGGCAGGACCCGTAAAAGTGAGAAAAATAGTTTTTCTTATTCGTTTTTATTTTTTTCATAACAACTTCGCCAACACCAAGGGATGACAATTTACGAGGTAAGGAGGCGATTTTTTATTAATTGATTTAATTAAAACGTTTGTTTAAATTCGTTACAATTTAAAAAGATTTTTCTTTTATCTATCATTAAAATTACAAAAATCAAAATAAATTTTTTTTCTCCTATTTTTTTCTTAAATTGTTTGCAAATATAAAAAATTCAAAAAGCGCGTTTTTTTTTAGTTAAAAAAAATACAAAAACAGTAAGTAATTACAAATGTAAGTCAATGTATAATATTGAATCAAATACAATATTGATTAAAGACAAAATGGATGTGAAGGGATGGTCTGTTTTTTTTTTGTCCGGTGAACCTGTCACATAAAAAAATGAGGAAAATAGACTGTTTTTTCTCTCTAAAAAAAGACTAATTGATATTTGTTTTTATAAGATAAAAGCTCCACCCCCACCCCCCGGATAACGAAACAACTAAATATTTTATTCACCCCCACGATTTAAAAAAATAGTAATCTCGAAGTGAAATATTGAAAATAAAACCTTCCAAACCCACCAACCCGCGTAGACGTATGTGACAGATTGTAAAATGGAGTAAATTACGTCCGGTAAACTTTAATTAATAAAGAACGCTTTTAGAAAATTATGGCGGTTGTTTGAAGAATGCGAGCATTTTTTTGTTATCCCTTTTTCATAAAAAATATTACTTATAGGTTGTTTGTTCAGTCATGTCTGACTGAATGTATTAATACCGTTGGAAAATTTCTAGAATTGTCGGGTTTTTTTGTATACTGCCACTGCAACGTGCCCAATGTACGTATGTGATGACTGTTTGCTCATTGTCCTGTGTGTCTGACTGTATAATAAAATAAATTTAATATGCACCAACTTGTCTACCGACAAATTTAAATGAATAGGAATAAATCGTAAAACTTCTAGAACCGGCGGCCATTTTTTTTGTATGAACATATGTGTTGTGTATGTCGTTTGTATACTAGTTGCCTTGTGTGTGTGAAATGAAATTTAATATGTACTGATGCATTTACCGTTAAATTAAAGTGTAGGTTCAAAATTTCAATAAAATTCTAGAAACGCGGCCATTTTTTGTTGTTCGCATACTACCAACACCACCATGATAGCAAAGTGTACGTATGTGACGATTTTTTTCTCATTGTCTCTTGAGTCTGACTGTATGAATGAAATGCAATTTAACCTACAAATATAAATGAACGGGAGTAAATCATAAAATTTCTAGAAACGCCGGCCATTTTTTTTAGAACATATGTGTTATGTTGTTTGTATGCGCGTTGCCCTGTGTGTGTAAATTGAAATGTAATATGTACGGACCTATGCGCCGTTGAATTAAAAATGTTCAAAATGCAAAAGAATTCTAGAAACGGCGGCCATTTTTTTCGCATACTACCAACACCAACGTGTTAGCAAGGTGGTGGTTGTTTGCCAGTTATCCCGTGTGTCTGTCTGTATATGAAAAAAATACAATTTAATATGTACCAACGTGTCTATTAACAAATTTAAGCAGTAGCGGATCCAAGGGGGTGCAAAAGGGGAATTAACCCCCCGCCAGCCAAGTGAAGATGTTATATGTAAAATGTCTTAATTTAGCCTTAATTAAGTGAAGAGGCTTATTTCAGGATTACATAAACCTTGATCTGTTACCTCTGATAAACCTTCCTTAAATTAAACATTTTTGATCGCCTACCAATGAAATTTGGCAGGGTGGTAAACAATCCTATAAGGACGATTGGGATTGTTTTTCAGCCAAATCGAGTGGGGGGGGGGTCGCAGTGTTATAGGCGATTAAAATAAAAAATTCAATCAAACCTTTTGCCATTTTTGCGTTTTCTCCCGCACAACAGCTCGGTTTCTTTAACTTCACTCCCTCCGCCCCTCACTATTGGAATTTGGCAGTTTTGGTACCTTTTTAAGGCTGGATTCTTCCTGTAACTTTTAAGCCTGGTTTGGCTCAAATCCGAGCAGTATTTTAAAAGTTATCAAAATTTGAAAAAAAAAATCCCATTTTTAAACAGGATTTTTTCTCAAATATGGTACTTTCAAACCTAATTTCTTTCGTTTAAAAGTACAAATTAATTTATTTTTTATAATAAAATGAAACCATAGGCATGGGACTTATTTTTGATTACCAAATATGCCAAAATTTCTTTTAAATTAACAGAGAAATCACGGCAAAAGCAAAAGTCCTTAAAATTGTGTATAAAAATTTGGTGTGGCCATCACACGTCTTTTTCCGTAAATATCCCATTGTTACCAAAAAGTAATAGTGAAGTTACACGGGAAAATAATTAATTAAATAGCTTAAATAAAATTTCAAATAAGATAGTTAACTAGCAAACCATTTTTCATTATTTTCTGTGGTCTAGGAAAAAATGGTCCGAATCTAATTTAATCTAACGCCAGGTAGAATAAGAAATAAAAACATTTGACTAATTTTTTTATCCTATTGCGATATGTTTATGAGGTTACGTTTTGTAAAAAAATAAATAATAATATATACCCATTGTTTTCAAATTATTCTATAGTTTTTAAATTAGCAAATTTTTAGCACCGCTGGATTGATTCCGCAAAAAAAGAAGTCTACCCTCTCACTCCTTACTGACGTGAGGGTTTTTTTTGTTCCTTTATGTTTTGTGTAAAAAAATTATACTGCAGACAATGTTTTTTTTCGTGATTAGACATGTCCTTCTGGTGCTTTTCTGAGTTCTGCCTCTAATCTTCTTATTCGATCTCTGGATGTGATAAGTTGGCGATTAATTTTTTAAATTCGTTAATGTTGGTGACTAAAAACATTTTGGAAATATATGAAAATTTTTGAAATTAAAGTATCAAAACTTTTAAATCAAGTTATTTTTTTCAGTTTTTCCCTTTGAAGGAGGAGAAAGTATTGCGCTGGGCCGAAAAACGATGTGGAGGATTTTCTCTCGATTGGCACGTTTTTAGGTCCCCTGTCTTAAAAAATAAAAAAAATCCGCCCCCCCCCACGGATGATCAACCTGGATCCGCCCTTAAATTTAAGTGAAGAGTTCTAAATTGGAAAAATTCTCAAAAGTACGGCCATTTTGTTTTTTCACGCGGTATATTTACATACATGTGTATTGTGTGTGTGATGTTTGTATGCGCGCTGTCTTGTATGTGAATAAAATTTAATATGTGTTAGCGTGTCTACCATTAAATCGAAGTAAAAGGTTAAATTAAATTAAATATAATAAATAAATATAATTAAAAGAAAAATCTAGAAACGACGGCCATTTTTTCGTATACTGCTACCGCCAGCATAACGCATGAATGCAATTTTTTTTTGTATGGACATAATGTAACAATTTAATACGTACCAAATTATCTAACAATAAATTTAAGTGAAGAGATCTTATATTGGATACTTCTACTTTTTTGTCGAATCGGCCGCCATTTTAAGTAATAAGAAAATTCACTTTTTATCAGGGAATATTTCCGACTAACGGTATCGTTTAATGCGTGGAGGAGTTTATATATGAAAATATAATTTAAACTACTTATCCGATTTCTATCGTTAAATTTAAATAAAGAATGAATTTTTTTAGAATTGGCGGCCATTTTTTTGTTTTATGAACTGCCACTGCGAACATGATAACAGGGTGTATTGGTTGTTTGTATGTACAGTTCAGTATATTCCATGTTTGAAGGTTCTAGGATAAGGATAGCGATAAAAGAGGCGGCCATAAGGCCTTATGCACTTTGAAGAGATATACTGTAGTCCTTTACAAAAACATAAAAAGTGTTCTGCTATCTCTTCTTCCTGGCAGTATCTGCACAATGATAACTCTGTCTGTACTCCTATCCGGTGCTCTCTCTAAGCGGCAGTGCTCTGTCAGGAGTCAAACCAGAATGCTTTATTTCTAGTAATTCCTTTGTAAGTTTGGCGCATGATCCTTGTATGAAACTTTTCGCGTGCTGGGGTATTGTTCCACCAGTTTTGGACTAATTAATGACCCATTATTGGATCTGTCCATTTTTGTTGTTGCGACAGTATGGTTCTGGGCATAGAGAATTCATATTGTCTTTTTTTTTGGCCAACAGGTCCACTTTCTCATTCCCTCTATGTCCCAGATGTCCAGAGGCCCATGTCAGGGTCAGGCCATTCGCGTCACTGACTTCTGCCAGGGCTTCCATACAGCACGCGTTTTGCCTTTAGCTCGCATGAGCCAAAGACCTTAAGTGTAAGAGAAAATGGCTATCTTCCGGGAATGTGTTCCTAGTCTTTTTATTTCTCTGCCGTAGTGTTCAATTGCTATGATTTTAGACTGAAAAAACTGTACGGTATCTTGAGTTGAAAGTCATTTCGGTCTTTTTCATCCCGAGGACTCTAGCTCCAGTGCCTTTATCCGTTTTCGAGCCGTCGGTATACCAGTAATAGTTGGCCTCCAGAAGTATTCCTATGGCCCACTCTTCCGATTCTGGTATAAGTACGTTGTACTCGTTGGTGAAGTTATGTTTTGTAGTAGTGGCACCGATTGGCCAAGTATGTCATCTGCCTGTATCTCCTCCCTCTGTTTCCAATGTTCGGTAACATAGTCTACACTTGAAGATGGTTTCCTTTTATGAACCTGTGAGCCGCTGCTCTGGCTTCTCCTTCCATCCTTTTTCGATTATCGAATCGACAAACTCCATCACAACTGTAAGATTGTGTTTTGTTTGTTTGACCAAATATTGAAAAAACAGATAATCATGGAGAAGACTTTTTTTGGGGGAACCTTTGAATAACCTACTTTGCGGCGTTTGCGTCTGCGCGTTTTTTAATTTGGCGAATCGAGGGAATATAATCATTATTTAAACGATTATGATTAACAAAGAAAAAATTAAATAAATAATTAAAAGACATTTTCTAACAGGGTGTTTTCTCTTTTTGAACTTTCTCCCAGGAAAGAAAAAGCTCCGGTTCACCGCCGAGGGGGAGGCATGTGTGTTGACGTTCTATAAATATTCATTGGATTTTGTACTTTTATGTTTCTGATTTATGGTTTTATTGTATGCAGAGTGTATGGATTTTTAATAAAGAAATCTTTATCCCCCCCCCCAAGTTTGGGCCCGTACCGTTCCGCGCCCGTTCATCCATGGTCCGTTATTTCCCACTTCCTGCCGTTTTAGACGCCGCGCTGTACCGGAGGGGAAAATATAGTAAAATTTTTTTTCTTTCCTTTTTTTGAGATAAAACACGAAAAACAGTCTTGGTGCTTTTTTTCGCGGTACAGTCAGATTGAGGTCGTTTTCTACCTCTGCCGTCGGGTATTTGGGTCAGAAATGAACTTTTACTTTAGGAACGAGTCAACGCTCTCGCCCTCGAGCGCTTGCTCGAAAGGCCAGTCGGCTTTGGTTTCCAGCCCGTTCGGCTTTTTATTTCGCCGATAAACAGCGAGACGCGGCGGAGACACGCTCGAGTCACGCGGTGTCCTCGCATAAAAACACAAATGGGCCGAAATCGTTTTCATGGTTTTGTTCATTGAATTTTACATTTTTATAAGTGCTTAAACAAAACAAGGCTGTCCAAAAGCCACAACTCCTCATATGCGGTGTGTATACAAAAAAAGTAAAGTTATATTGAATTGAATATATTTTCAAATTGAAAAAAACAAACATAACCTTTGTATAACCAACAATATTTTAAAATCAGGAAACCATATAACCTACCTAACATCTGACAAAATCATATAAGACAATATTGCTGTAAGTAGGTTATACTATAGGTAAAAGTAATGTGTGCCCTAAAACCTGCGTGAAACCTTAAATTTGTGTATATCCCGTACTGAGAACCATGCTAAAACCTATCTCAGAACAAATTTCATCAAACCGACACTGTCACAAAATTTGATGGTCAATGCCACAAAACCCCGAGATAACCTACAATATTTGTGTAACCTGCCCTGAAAACCCAACCCGGATTTTAAGTCATGGATTGACCAGAAGTTGTCGTCAACGTGTGTGTTTATTGATCCGAGGACTGTAATATAAAAAAAATTAACATATCGATCGTTAAAAAAAATCATAGATAATATAGTGATATATTAATGTAAGTAGGTTATACTGAGGTTTTAAGTGCATGTGAAAAAAATGAAGGCTCTACATGTGTTTTACGGTTTCGTTAGCCGTGCTTGTCATTTATACTTATTAAACTATTAACCAGTACTTATTATTAAATTGTCAAACTATTGTATGGCCTTTGTATGACCTACATTTTTTTTAAACAGCAAACCATATCTATAACCTACTTTGTCATGTAAGACTATAGTGCTGTAAGCGATTATACTAAAGGTTATAAAAAGTAATGTGTGCTGTACACATCAACAAAACTTTGTCAATATGCCACAAAACCGCTGTATAACCTTCACTATTGAAAATAACCTGCCCTGAAAACCTTAATAAAATTTATTCACATTTATATTTTGCTATATTAATTCTATGATTTTTTAAAGAATCGTCAGGTTTATATATTTAGAAAAAAATGAAACAAAACTCCCTCTATAAATTTTAATCCTTCCAACCCGTGTTTAACCTACTCGTTCCTATATTAATATACGATTCTATTTAATACGATCGTCATGTTTATTTTATTTTTAATTGTAAATCCTTGGATACTGAAGGTTTCTCACATCAAACTACAACACGCCCAAAACCTGCTGGCCAATCAATGCTACATGTATAACATACAATATTTTTATAACCTGTCTTAAACCCTTAGTAGAACCTACTCACATCTACATTTGCCTATATTAATTTACTATTAATTGAAAATGATCGTTATGTTTAAAAATTAAATAAACATTGGATTTATTGGAGTATCCTTACACCACATTACCTACCTTCCTTACATCTGTTAAAATCATATAATAATATGTTAATGAAAGAAGCTCAATACTACAGGTTATAAAATTACAGGTTACACGCTGGTTTTTAAGATTTGACCAGCAACATGTTGTGTCAGTGTGCCGTTTGTGATAATCCTGCTAGGTGTATCTGTACCCCGACGTTACCACATTCTGTCAAAATCGATTATTTTTTTTAACAGAAAAAGCACAAATAAGTCCTCGATTTCATCATCAGCTTTCTTGTCGAAAAATAAAACGTATTTTTCGTGTTGTCGTAATCTACGTTTAAAGCATTTAGGCAATTGTTTGGCTGGGTGAAAACATCACAAAGGGGGGACGAGGATGGGGAAACAAATCAAAATAAAAGAGAAAACCAGTTTGCAAATGGCTTTTTATATATTTGCACATGGTTAAACGAACACAAATAGACAATTAATGACGAATTCCGTCTTATATGACAGAGATAGGTTATAGATGAAGTTTTTGATTATCATAAACCAGCTGCTGGTCTTAGGAGGATTAAAACTAGGATATGACCTACTATTTTTCCTAACATGCACTTACAACATTACGATAACCTACGTACAGTAATATTACTTTTTGACATTAAAATACTAAATATTCGTTTTTTGTTAACCTGTACAAAAACTTTAGTATAACCTACTTCACTCACTCTCTCTCTCTCCCTCCCTCTCTCATTCTCTCTCTCTCAGTCTGTCACTAACTCATTCATCGCTTCCTCTTTCTCCCTCTCACTCACTCTCTAACGCACTTCAAATCTGCGAGTATTATAAATAAATCGTTTCAATTCAATTCATTTCACTCACTCGTCTCTCTCTCTCTCTCTCTCTCTCTCTCTCTCTCTCTCTCTCTCTCTCTCNGCTCTCTCTTTCTCACTCACTCACTTATCTCTCTCAGACAGTCACTCACTCACTCATTCATCTCTCTCTCTCTCTCTCTCTCTTTCTCTCTCTTTCTCTTTCTCTTTCTCTTTCTCCTTCTCACACACTAACACACTCACTTATCCCTCTCTCTCTCTTTTTCCCTTTCCTCAGACCACACGAATAAATTTCATCGCAGGTCTTGTTTTATTCCGGCTCTCCTCCTAATTTTCATGTTTTGGGAGGATCCTTCCACCGATACACAGCTGATAGGTGATCGCGTCCACTTGACAATTTTGCGCTAAACCCGCCTTTCACCGAACGTCTCGAAGCCCGCTAAAAGAAGCGATACCGTGCGGACCCTCGGGTCAACAACCAACGCGTAAATCAAGAACATCCTCCGGGCTTTTTCTATCCGTCCAACCGGTACGCCTGACCCAGTTTCCCCGTGGCAGCTCGTTCATCCTTTGTCCCGAGAGCCCTTTCACCTCGCGTTCGAATCCTTTTGCCGTTAATTAACGACAACAACGAAAATCCGTCTCGTCGACTATTTTCTTCTTTTTTTTGTCGACTTTTAAAACGAAACGCCGGATTTACTGGGACGTGACGTCGTGTAATTTCCTCTCCCAGGTTTTTTGACCCACCTCGCTCGGCACATGGGGTGTCGCAACAGCGACTTCTCTTCTTCTATTCTGATAAACCTGACGGATGTTTTTTTTTCTTAAATAATTTATTCTTTAAAGCAATTTCGCAAATTCAGGCGAGTGTGAAAACAGAGAGAGAGAAAGATAAACAAATACCCGGAACATCCTCGTCCATCAGGACTCACTCGGGAGTATGTAGAGTGGAAAGACAATAGGAGGAAAAAAGAAAACAGCAAAATGCAAATTTCATCCTCTTTACTAATTCATATTTTTTTCTCACATTCTTTTTGGTTTAAAATGTGTTTATTTGTTCCCAGGTGGTGGATGAACCATGCTGCACTCTCTTACAACAGCGCTGTGTCTCTCAGGGATATTCTATCTTTCTACAGGTAAGAAGACCACCATATTGTTTATCTCTTTTTAATTGATGCGGAGTATTGATCGGGTCGTTCCGGATCAGTTTGTTGGTCAGCCTAATTTCGCTCTTTCTATCGAACGCCATTTAGCCATATTCGAGTGTTGTGCCCCAATTTGTTTCCTATTTCTTCTACCCATTTTTTATTTTTTTATGAGAAAAAAGGTAAAAATGAAGACAATTTTGCCAATTCTTAGAAAATCATTTTGGACTTTTTTTGGCAACAGAAATTAATTATGTTCAGGCCCACATGTTGAAGATTCCATAAAATGTGGATTTTTGGAATGGCGCGAAAAAATCCAGTGTTGCCAATACACGGTAAACGCATCAGGAGCAACACTGTGCCCTCTATAAACCTAGAAGGGGGGATCCTGACTCTTGGATATCTCAGGCACACCGAGATGGCGGGGAGCTCGACACTTTCATACAAACCAAATAAAAAACCAATTACAATTACAATAAACAACAATTACAATAAACAACAATTACAATAAAATGCAAATTAAAGATCTTCTGTTAGTCAGAATTTTCACCTGGCGTCTACGTACAATAAAAGAATTTTAGGTTATACAAAGGTAATTTTTTTATAAACACACCCCTGCTTTAAAAACTTAAAATCTCAATATAACGTACGTGTATATACATATTACGCCCGTGTAAAAAAAGTTTTTTAAAATTTATTTAACCTATTATACCGTTAACTTCTTTCTCGCTCGCAGGCTATAATCTTCCCGACATGTAGTGACGTCATCACAAATACTAGTTAGAACCAGGCGATACTTTTTCTATAGGTTTATGGCGTCATTTAACCCTAACATGGCGCCTCTGACGTCATTTATCCCAAATGTGGCGCCAATAACGTCAATATACTAATTGGTTGTTTTATATATGTTGAGTGCGATTTGTTTTCTTGATTAAAAAAATTGCTATCACCATTATATGAACATTTTTTTATTGTAATGTTTTGAACGAACATTCACCAAATCACCGGAAAATTACAGAAAGAATAAATTGTTAGTTAAATTTTAATAAATCTACTAAATAATTTTCGGATTTTTCGGTGAATTTTCTTCCACACTATCATAATTTGATATTTTTTAAAATTTAAACTCATAAATTTCAGATCTATTTCAATTTGGTTTTCATTACAATAAGTATGTTGGATGGTAATATAACGACAAAAATACGTACATGTAGTATTAAAATAAACAACAAATTAGGAATGTCTGTTCTTTTTTCGTTTTCAGAAAAATTGAAGGTTAAAAACGGATATTAGGTCATGGATTAACCAGCAGGTTTCGTCAGTGCGTTTGTTTGTTGATGCGAGGATTATAAAAAAAGTTAGCATAATGATCGTTTAAAAAAATCGTAGATTAACATAGTTGTATATTAGTGTAGGTCATACCGAGGTTTTATGTGCAGGTTAAAAAAAAGAAGGTTATACACGTGTATTACCGTTTTGTCACTTATACCAATACTTATCATCATATTGTAAAACTAAATAATCCACGAAATCATGAAATGTTACAAGTATATCATTTTAAAAAATTGATTAGGATTCTCATAAAATTACAAAGGGATTCGAACCATAAACGATTGATAATAATTAAATTTTTGAGGCTAGAAAATAAATTCAACATATATTGGAAACAAACCTTTTGTAAATTGACGCCACAGTGCTTCCTCCCATTTCTACCAGCTGTATTTCTTACATGTATTACTTCTATATTCTATTTAATTTATTGTGGTAAACAGCTCATATTCCATCTCTTTTTTATTTATTTTTTTAACAATTTCATTTCCACAGTGGGGTCCGTCAGAATAACAGACCTTTGGTATGGGCATCTATTCTCCTTATTTACTCCTTTTTAGATGAATTGTTCTTTTGGCAGTAATGCCCAATCCGGGATGGACATCGTGTAAATTGACGCCATTGGTGTTGATTTATGGACTATCACGTCATGGGCGCCATGTTATGGATAAATGACGTAAAAAGGTATAAAAGAAGTTAGTCGTCCAGTTACAACTAGATATTGTCATGACGTCACTACATGTTGGAAAGAACTTGAATGAAGAAAATAACTTGTGTGCGAAGAAGAAATTAACCGCATAATAGATTAGATAAATATAAATTAGACATTTAAAAAGATGACGTCATTTCACTTAAAATAGGGCGAGTGTATTTATAAAAAATAGTAATAATTACCTTTGTATAACCTACAATTTTTATAGATCCATACCTGTTTAATTTAGCGCGGAGGGCGCGTCGGATTGTGTTTACCATTTGAAATCTAGTTTTCTCTTTTATTTTAATTTGTTTTTCCTGTTTATTTCAGTTGTTTTCACCCTTTTTCTTAATATTTTTATGCAGACGAGGTTTGAGGGATGATTGGATCGAAATGTGCGGGCGTTGCTGTATCATCTCTCAGGCTGATGAATCGTAAAATAACAAGAGATGCAGATAATTAATAGATATAGAGATAAGTAGAAAGAGAGAGAGAGGAAGTCTTTTTCCATTTTCGTCTTCGAGAAAGCCGTCCGGTCGGAGAAAGCGCATTTCGGCTCCCTTTCCCAAAACTATCCGTCCAAGTGACAAATTTAAATGCAAACTCTGATGTTGCGAGAAGGTCGGGGGGGGGGGCTTTCGATTTGGCAGGAGACTGGTGCCGTTTCTCTGATAAACCGATTTCCATAAATGATCACGGATGGAGTGAAAGGAGATCATGATGATCATCATGATGTCATGCCGGAGGTGGAAGAGAGAGAGAGAGAGAGAGAGAGAGAGAGAGAGAGAGAGAAAGAGGGAGTGAGCCGGCGAGCCGTTAGTGAGAGTGATATCATAGGTGACCCCGCTGGTGTCTTTCACGGCCGGGTTGTCAACCTTGTGCTCGATTTTGATGTCATTCCCATTTCGTCCTATTCCGGCCCATAGGATTCCAAAAAAATAAAAGACAAACAAACAACCGGAACCTTGACCGCCATCCAGGGATGCAAATTGCACGTCACCCCATTGAGACACCCTTTTCGTACGCCTAAACCAAGGACAAAATACAATAAAACGGCATATATATTTGTTAATGCCTCGACGTCCCGTTTACCTCCCCTTTCCTCTCCGTTCATCACCCTGCCCTCGAACTCCTCCCAGGTGTTGAAAATGCACCGATACTGAAAACGCCCTGGTAATCTCCCAGCCGTGACTTTCCAAAACTCTCGGCCGCGGTACTCATTCGTACATATGTCATGGTACTCTTTAGAAAGCCTTTACAGCGCACAAATAATTAACTCCATTAATACATAGCCATCTCATAGGTTTACAATATCAACCAAACACACACCTAAATACAAACTACGATTTTCTACGTCATAATCCAAGACGACACATGCAGATTCTGCAAAGAAGCAGAGGAGATACCTTTATTAACAAACTATGGTGCTACACTTGCCCGCAGGAGAAAGTGCTTTGAGACGTTCAAAGTACCCGCTGAAACCGGGCCTACTAACAAAGTTCCTTGATAAAATAGAACTCACCGATGTGCTATAGACACAGAATGGGGGGATACAATAGCACTTAAAGGGCGCATTATATTACTCCCAGATTAATACATTTCCATCTATTACGTCAGAAATACTCTTTAATATGTATCTGAAGCAATTAAAGGCTACGTCATAGACGGGCACTTTGACGACACATTCAACGTAAACGTCAAAAGTGTGCACTAAGCGTATCTGAGCTACTTTTTTAATTTTAATTTTTTTATATTAATTAAAGTGTATACTTTATTGTAACAAAATTACATTCCAGTTTTGCTGAATTTACAATATTTTTTAAATTTATTTGTTACCTTTACATGATAGTATACTATACATACATATACACATAAAAATGATAAATGGTGGAGGGAGTGTGTTATTCATTCTTTTTAAAAAGATAGTTCCTACTTACAGTTAGTTGTTTTTTAACGATCCCAATTACAAGCTTATAGCTCATCATCAATGTTGAAGGAGTTCTACAACCTGATGATGAGCTTAAGCTTGAAATCCGGATCGTTGAAAACAACTAACTGTAAGTAGGAACTATCTGTTCACAACCATTGAACATTACACATGATTAATGTTTCAAGTAGCACCACACAAGCAATAATGCCAGCACTGCAGCGGTAGAACGCGTGCTTTGAGGAGCCAGCCTTTTGTGACTGGGAGTTTTGGTTGCCCTGACAGTTGAGTTGTTGTTTTGAAGTGCTCCCCAGGCACGGCAGCCTACGGATTATTGCACCATCCTAGTTCAGGTCATTGACTGTCGCTGCTACAACTTCATTCCCTTGATTTGTCTGTTAGGTTAAATCTCTATTGAGCCATTGCTCTTCCTCCTCACTGCATAATCTGTAAATGGGATTTTAGTAACTGGGAGTTTTGGTGGCCCGGACGAGGGCCGGTGTTTATGTGTAGTGAGACCGATGGGTGCGGCTAGGACCGTGTGTGTGTGTGCCGTTAGTAGAGGTCCGTGACCGAGAGAGCCGTCGGCTGAGGTCCGGTGCAGTTTAAGCGGTGAGTCAATTGACTCTGCATCGATCGAAGGCACTCTGATGCAAGTAGTTGGCCAGTAGCCAAGTTGGCTGTGTTGAGAAGGCGAGTTCGAGGCTAATGCTGCGAGTACCCTTGCTGTCATTGTCGGTGCTCCATTAGTGATTTCTGAGAACTCCGGGAGATAGGCCCGACTGCATTGGCGAAATCTCGTCGAATAGAGGAGTCTGAAGTCACTGGAGCAGTGCCTCTGCTTATATATGAAATGGCTCTACTCTGATTGGCTGCGGAGTAGAAGGGAGACCATCCAAGAACTGATCGTGACACCTAGCGAGATCCGTGGTAACTATAGGTGGCCACCACACAGCCATTGCTGGCGTCATATTCGGTGTTTACAACGTCATAAATATAAATAACCTTCTACTGAATGTGAAAAATATACTGTGACGTATTTTTATCTGTGTCATTACCCAGTTGATAATACCAATTAGTTGGACTGTAGTCCATCATTCATGAGGTCTATGTATGAAGCTGTTTACTTTGTATAACTGATAAGTAGTGCATTGTTGACAATGCATATGGACATATCGCCTAAGGAAACTCCCCTTAATTAAAACCCGACCAAATATTTGGTCAGCTCTTTGATTCTGGGCTCTGCCCACATGTCAATCAGTACGAAAACCGGTCCGTTCGAAAATTCAACAAACGCCTCCCCGTCCGGTCACTATCACGATGCCCATGGACCCGTTCTTGTGAAATGCCGTTTTTATATAATTGTCTTCTGTCTTTCCCTTTCTCTCTTCATCGCCGGCGGACTGGCACTTGGCAGGCATTATCCAAGCGGGGTTATGCATCTTCGGCAAGAGTGGCAGGCTTTTCATATAATAAGAACGCACAAAAAGAAACCCATATACTTATCCCTTTATATACTCCTGATTATCATATCCTTTATACCTGATTAACTCTGCAATGGGAGGTTCTTCATGATTGTTTTTATGGCCTGACCATTTTTGTCGTGGGAGGTTGTCCTGTTCGTCGCCTGATCCTCGCTGATATATGACATCAGATTCAACAAAGAGTCCCGACCTCACATAACGTGATAGGTTTTGTCAAAACGTGTTTTCATGAAGACCCATTCAATATTGATGTTTACCCAACGTAACATAACCTGATTATTTTTGTCGTAAAAAGTTTTCCTGACGTTACGTTCAACATGGAGGATTAACCGACGTCACATAACCTGATCATTTTTGCGGTAAAGGGTTTTCGTGGCGTCACATTCAACATAGAGGTTTACTCTACGTCACATAACCTGATCATTTTTGACGTAAAGGTTTTTTATGACGTCACATTTAACTTTGATGTTCACCTGACGTCATATAATATTTATTATTAATATTTAACGTCACATGACATCTTATTGCCTGATCGACGTTAACATAAGGCGGATAATTGAACTAGCAATTTTCTATACCTCATCCTGATATAATCTGTTTTACCGGGGGAAAAATTACTCCGGTGTGATGACACCTATTTCCCGGATTATCATCCGAATGAAACGCCACTTTTGCCCACCATGGAATTACAACAGTTATTAGATCCGTCACAACACGTTCCATTGCCGGTTAACAAACATTTCCACAAAACCCAGGACGGTGACAATTTAATTATTAGGTGTCCCCTCCGGCTGAAAAAGCCCTTGGCCGGCTTGCCTGCTTTTTGCTAATGATATAGGCAAACATAATTCCCCTCTTTACCTTTTTTCTCTGTGGCAAGTTTTGCGCGTACGTGTATGCCTGTTGCAAACGTTTTCCCTCTCCGACAGGGGAGGAAGGCGATTTTCACCAATTTTCCGGATTCAGAACATCCGCGGGGGAACAAAAGCCAGGACGTCCTCTTCCGATTTTATAAACACATAGACGCAGAGGCAGACAGAAATCACAAAACAAAAGCATCTTCCTAATTAGTAACAATGGAAAGAGTCATGCTTAATTTTCCAGTTGGGCAAATTCGTTCCTGATTAGCGAGGTTCCTTCACGCAGACTTTCTGTCCGTTTTTGTCTCGTGAATGTTCAGAAAGAAAGTCAGTACATGATTTGATTTGACTGTTAAATTTCCAAGACGTCATGAAACCACCCTTGCCTCAACTGTCATGCAATCTGACGTCATAAAATGTTCTTGTTTACATTTGTCAGTTTATATGGCCACGGACCCACCCACGTTTACAATTTGCCAGGTTATGAGATGTCATGAAACCACTTTTGCTTAAACTGCCATGCAAATGTGACCTCATAAAAGTTTCTTATTGAAATATGCCAAGTTATGTGACGTCATGAAACCCCTTGCTTAAACTGCCATGCAAATGTGACATCATAAAAGTTTCTTGTTTAAATGTACATGACGACAGGTTTAACGACGCCTGTCATTCTCTTGTCAGATTGCAATCAACTTTCTTGAATGGTTAATATTTTATCAGTGATTTTATAACTAACGTCCATTTTATATTTTCATTATGTTCAAAGAGCTCTTCTTTTTTTTTCTATCAATTTTAACTAAGTTTATTTTTACAATCCAAGGCTTCTTTTGTAGGAGTGCAGGAAATGCCACGGTAGGCCGGTTGGGAAGGACGTGTTATAATCGAAATAATCCAACGCCTTAATTAAACACTGTAAAGTTTAATTATTTCGACATAAAAAAAAGAGAAAAAATAGGTCAGGCGAACTCATCGGCCCTCGAACCGCCGCAGCCGGAAGACCTCGACGCATACATTTTCCTCAGTACTCTTAATTAATTAATTATATAATTAATTAAAGTCGGCGAACCTTGTGGTTTTTTCTGTTCATAAAGGGCCAGCTTTTTGGGAAGCGTCAAATAAAACGGCTTATTAGGAATAAAAAGAGATCAATTATTATTGGTAAAAGTCACATAGCTTGACCATTGTCAACTGAAACTTGAATACCTCCATTGGTTGATGTGAAATCAGACACAACCTTCCCATCGTTGACAATCTGAATACTGGTAAAAGGCGTTTGAAAACCTCCATGTTGTTATGACGTCATACGTAACCTTTCACAGGTGACATGACGTCACTCATAGCCTGGCCGCGACGATTGAAAACCTTCATGTAGTTGAATGACGTCACACATAACCTTATAACCGTTGACATCACATCACATAATCTGGCCATTATTAAATGGTGTTTGAAGTCCTTCACTTTGTTGACATGACGTCACACAACCTGATCATTTCTAAAAGACGCTTGCTAACTTAGAGTTGACACAACTCACTCAAAACCTGCCAATTAATAAGCATGACGTCATGTCAAAAATTGGAAGGATATTTATTACGTCAATAAGGACAGAACGTCGTTTTATTTATTTTTTGTATTTTTTTCGGTTGTAACAGTTTTCATACATAAGCAGCATTTTGCAAACAGAGCTTGGAGGATAAAATAATTATTTACAAATATCCAGAGGGCGATGGGGTGGGGGATAAAAAATACGTTAAATAGGCAAAGCCAAAAAACTAGTAATGTGACGTCACAAAAAAGTTTACAAAAATCATTCAGGTTTTCCACAGTCACAGAATGAGAGTTTTCCCGTGCTTCTGCTTCGTATTTCACCGTGACGCCGCCATGATTTATGCATGCAGCGGCGATGGTTTTCTTTTTTTTAATTTTGTTTATTTCCTCCTTTCCAATACGCATAGGCCTCCCGTTTAGAAAGCTAACGGCGCAATGGCGGGAATACAAAACAACTTTCGATCCGCTGAAGTCTGAGGCCTTTCAAAAAAAAAAACGGCTCTAGTTCCTAACATGACGTGTGAACCAACACACCGTTGACATGATGTCACACATCACCTGATCATCGTTAAATGGCGACCATTTCCATCTTCCCACTTGTCCATGATGTCATGAAATCCTTTTTATACGTTATGTAGTTTAATGACGTCATACCTACAACATGACCTGTAATCCTAATCTGAAGACATGTAACATAGAACTGTTTTTGAGGTGTTATTTAATATTAATAATTGTCTATGGTTTTTGTTTCATCGCCAGAAGTCTGGAGCGAGGTGAAAGATGTGGATGCCGGGGTCAAAGGCGGAGGCGGTACGGTGTGGGCGACGGCCGAGGAGGAGGCGTTGGACGAAGTGAACGATCCGCTCCTTTTCAAGGCGATCGTCGACTCGATGCGGGACTGGTCGAACAAGCATCTCAACAAAACGTAAGCATAAGGCAAGAACGGCCTGGTCGCCGATGCGTTGACTTTGGGTTTTTTTCGTTTAGACGCAGAAGGAGGCGAGCGCCGTCAGTCTGTTACGACGGCGTTGGCTGCTTCGACGACACAGGCTACCTGGACATGGCGCCCTCTTCCCCGGAGACGGTCCAGACCCGGTTCCTACTCTACTCCGGCCGTAGCCCGAGGTCAGAGTCGCCCGTCATGGACCTGCCGTTCATCAACATCTCGTCCATCGACTCTTGGAACCGGGTCAACGTCTCATTGCCGACGAAGGTGATCGTCCACGGGTTCGGCAGTTCCTGCGCCAACATCTGGGTCTACGAGATGCGCTCGGCGCTCATGTCCGTCGAGGAGTGCAACGTCCTTTGCGTCGACTGGGAGAACGGGGCCACCTTCCCGAACTACGTGAGGGCTGCGGCGAACACGAGGCTCGTCGGCCGTCAGCTCTCCCTCCTACTTGAGGCGATGGCGGACCGAGGACTCGAACTCTCAAATGTCCACCTGATCGGCTTCTCCCTCGGGGCTCACGCGGCCGCCTTTGCCGGTTCCAGGCTCTCCACCGTCTACAGGATAACCGGTGAGTCAAATTTTCATTGTTCGAAATTAATATAATATAATCTTGTCTTTCAGCTTCATAAAAAAGCTTTCAAGCTTCAGTCTTATTACATTCACGTTGCCAAGTTAAGCATGTAAGTTATATTAAGACTGATAATGTTTTAAGAATGTTACACAGTAAGGTTGTTAACTTTTCAAGGTAGTTATTCTTTGTTTTGTTAACCATTTTTAGTAAAGTTTCCTAAATTCCTTTAATCATTTAAGGATAGTAATCATAGTAAGATTATTAGCGTCCGAGTAGGTTATAATAAGGTTATTTACCATTTCAAGGTAGTTATTCTTCGTTTTGTTAACATTCATTCTTAGTTGTTGTGCAACTTTTAGTAAAGTTAATAACCATTTTGTAATAAACGATAAGGAAGTTACAATAAGGTCGAAAAAACTTTTAAGGAGGTTATAATAGAGTTTTCAACGCTGTTATCTTAGTAATAAGGTTTTAGTATAGTTGTTAAACTTTTAAAGAGGTTACGATGGGGGTGTCCAATATTTTAAAAAGAAATGTGTGGTGTTTAGTGACCGTTACTTAATGATTATTTAGAGGTCGTGAGATGAGGTCTGGTAAGACGTAGGTTTTGGAAAAACATTTTCTTTATCGTATCAACGTTTTGATCTTTATTGAGATTATCTTCAGGGCTCAAAGAGTTTGTTTTCCGTTTAGATGTGTCATTCTTGTCAGTCGTGTTGAGAGGGCACTACTGTTAACTGACGCTTGAAATTCTTACCTTGCGATTGCTAAACCTGAAGGTGTCGAACATTTAAGAAGGTTATTGTAACGTTATTAACTTTTAAAAAAAGTTGTAGTACAATTGTTTACCTTAAGCAAGTTAAGGTAAAGTTATGAGGTGGTTAGAGCAGGGTTGTCTAACATTTAAAAATGTAAGGTTATAGAACGTTGTTACCTATTTTGTAGGAAGGCTATACTCCTCATTCAGTCAATATGGTGGAAATTTTTGGATTTGATATAAGACGAGAGGTTACCGTACTTATAACCTATGGTTTTTTTTGTTTTTTTTTGTACCAGGCCTTGACCCGGCAGGGCCGCTGTTCGAGTCGCAAGACCCGGCAGACAGGCTCGATTCGACGGATGCCGAATTTGTGGACGTAATCCACTCCAACGGTGAGACGCTCATCCTGGGCGGGCTCGGCTCCTCGCAGCCAATGGGCCACGTCGATTTCTATCCGAACGGAGGCCGGATGCAGAAAGGATGCACCAACCTATTCCTGGGAGCGTTCACCGACATAATATGGTGTAAGTGCAGTCTAACTACACAACATACATCATACTTCCTCTATTTTATATCGTTAAATCTCGTCCCAGCTGGAGCTTCTCCTGAAGGCAGGTCGCTCTGCAACCACCGGAGGGCGTACAAGTTCTTCACAGACTCTGTCTCGCCCCGGTGCGGTTTCCCTGCCCTCGCCTGCCACTCATACGAGGCGTTCCTCGCCGGACAGTGTTTCCCTTGTCCACAGGGGAAAACGTGCCCCAACATGGGGTAAGTAGTTCCAAAAAATAACAAAAACAACCATTTACTGATTCAATCCCAATTTCACACTTTTAAACAATCCAAAGGAAAAAAAAGTTACACAATTTTGCAGGTTATACAACCTAAATGTAATTGTATAGAATGGAGGGAGGTTAAAAATTGGCAGGTTATACAATACGCCTTGTATGACCCCTTAGGCCATAATTTGCAACAAAAATCCGTAAATGTTCTTTTCCAGCTACTATGCGGACGTGACTAAGGCGAGAGGCACCCTGTATCTTGTGACGAGAGAAGAAGAGCCGTTTTGCGGTAAGCCCACATTCTTTACTCAATTGTATTTTTGCCTTTCACACGTTGTATCACTTTTTTGTTAATATTATTTCTGTTTAACTTTTCCCCCTTCGCCATAAATAGCGCACCAGTATCTGGTTAGGGTGGAGAGCAGCCCGAGCTCGCTTCCAGTGGCCAGCTATGGCAAAATACAGATAACTCTCATCTCAGATTCTCAGATCAACGAAACGTTCACATTGACTACGTAAGCGACTTTCTTTTGAATCAATTATTTCCTTTAACATAACAAATCACAAACATCCCCACAGTTGCCATGATGTCATTTATCCTGACGTCCCCATGTGTCATCTTAGGGGGGTGTTCATATGACGTCAAAATATCTAGCGTTGCTGTATGAGTCATCAAACCTGGTCGTTATTAATGTGATGTCACCAAACCTGATAGTTTTTATTATGGCATCTTCAAACCTCACCCTTGTTGACTTAATGTCATATTACTTGGCTATCGCTCTTATCAAATTGTTGATATGACGTCATATAACCTGATGGTTCTTATGGCGTCATCTCGATCGTTATTTATATAACGCCAACGAACCTGCCCATTTCAACTATGACCCCCATCTTAATCATAGTTTGTGTACGTCACCAAATCTAACATGATGCCATCAAACATGATCGTTCTATGACGTCATCAAGGCTGATTATTGTTCATTATTATTATAAATTATATTGTCTTTCTTGTTACATCGGATTGTAAGGAAAGACGATGAAGAATTGGTGGCCGGTAGCGCCCTTTCCAAGATCATCGTCCCCCACCCGGCGCTGGAGCGGTTCAGCTCCCTCGCCCTCCTCTACACGGCCTACTCCGGTTGGATATCCAGCGGCCTCGCACAGTGGTCCGTCACCACCGTCTTCCTTATGGACAGCCTTTCAAACAAGTGAGTTTTCTCCCCCACTTTTGTTTTGCGCACTTCGTGTTAACACCAAACATTCTTTCCAGGTGGACCGTTTGCGACAGCGAGATCGTTCTCGAGTCGGGTGTCGAAGCGGTGTTTCAGCTCGTGAAAGGCGAGTGCAACTCGACTGAGGCCATGTCCCTCCTAGATTCGAACTGGTCAAACGTGAGTAGGAAATTTTAAAAAATCTATCGTTTTCACTGGTGATCGATTTTTCATTCGAAAACAGACAACGAGGACAAATTCATCCTACCACCCGACCGAGGTGGTCTACATCGGGGACGAGATACTTGAGGGTAAGGGGAACGCCACAGACTCGAACGCGACAAGCACCAACGTCGAGGAGATCGTCGACCTTTCGCCTCCCAAGATCGGCGCCACCCAGTCCTGGCTCTACTGGGGCGGCACCGAGAGGAGCATCACCGTCCAACTACTGCCAAAGAGGCTGGCGCGGATTGTCGAAGGCGCACTCTCCACCGACAGGGTAACGTGAAACAAACACTATTCAGAATATTAAATAAATGTTTTTCAGCTATAACCTGTCCAACAAGTCTACGCGGTAGATTGTACAGTGGGTTTTTGGACTTTAGAAAGAAGGTGAACATGATGTCATCTAACTGGGCCATAGTGCAAATGGCACCATCAAACCTGATCTCTTGAAGCTATGACGTCATCAAAACTGATCATTGCAGAGTTGACGTCGTCAGATTTGCGTTTATATGGAAGGTGCCACAAAGGTTTCTCGGCCATATCAGCTCTTCTGTCTTATATGGAGGATTACGAGAAGGTTTTACATTTTTAGGCGGGTTGTCGTCCGTCATTAAACGGGAAGGTTACGAATTTGTTTTCAGTCAAGGCGGGTAGATTATACGTCGGTTTTTGAACTTTTGAAAGAATGTTGACTTGACGTCATCTCACTGGGCCATAGTTCAAATGACTCCATCTAACCCTGACGTCATCAAACTTGCTCAAGCTTCTGAGATGACGTCTAAGCTGACCCTTGTTCATATGACGTCATCAACTTGACCATTACCTAAATGACGTAATCAAACTTGACCATTACTGAAATGACTTCTAACCTGACCCTTGTTTACCAACTTCACCATTACGTAAATGAAGTTATCAAACTTGATCATTATTGACGTCTAAACGGCCCTTATTCATATGACAACACCAATCGCAGCCATTGCTGGAATGTCGTCAACAACGGATCATGTAGATGTAGATGTAATTTTTTCAGGGTATGGTATACTGCGCCCTTTAAGAGCTATTGCATCCCTCGTTCTCTGCCTAAAGCACATCGGTGAGTCCTATTTCATCAAGAAATTTGATTAATAGGCCCGGTTTCAGTGGTTGAAGCTCTTCTATGGTCACATTATACATCCCAAAACATTTCCTCCTGCGAGCTAATGTAGTTCCGCAGTTTGTTAGTAAATGTGTTGGTGTCTCTTCTGCCTCTTTGCAGAATCTGCATGTGCCATCTTGGATTGTTCCAATTTTCTTTAAGTGTCCATTTAATCTGCAGTGGACTGTTAGGAATCCTGTTAGGATTCGCAGTCTGTTCCTGCTTCCTTTGCCACATTCTGTGATTCAACCGGATCATTGTTGGACATGTTATTTATCCTGACTTTTACCAACATGATGGTAGTCTTATAATTGTTACCATCACGTCATAGAAACAGACTATTGTTGGCATTATCATCAAACCTGATCATTGTCAGCGTGACGTCATCTAATTAAAAAAAAAATAATAACATGATGATGCATCTCCTGACCATAGCTGAGATGACGCCGTCACGAACATTGCTACTACGACTGCCATCTTGCTTACTGATAGCTTGACGTCGTCTAACCTCACCATTGCTTAAAGGATGTCGTCATCATTGGGATTTACTGAAGGTTATACAGGTTATAAATTGTTTTTTGCTTTAATCCGGTTCCAGGTTCCAAGACGGCTGTTCTCCTGGTTCACAGCGCCCCACTCCGCGCCAACGGCAAGCCATTACATCCCGACCCACAAGGCGGCCAAACCTGCTCGCAGAGAACAAAAGACGAGAGGGGAATGAGCCATACAATTAAAAAAAAAATCCATCCAATTATTGTTAATTTTATTTAATTTAATTTTTAAAAAAAGGTGTTTTTATCGTTTTATGTTAATATTTTTTATAAAGTAATAATTTTATTTATTTTTCCTCCTACCCCGAGCGATTTTAATTGTTTGTTGACGTAAATATATTATGTTTTAATTTGTTGATTTTTTATTTTATTTTTTTAATTTTGTCCACCATGCAGCCATCAATTTTTAATGCACTGACATACGTACTATATAATAAATTTCTTTTCCTGTTCGTAAAATCGTCATTCGAAAGGTTTCACGATACGGAGAGAAGGTCGGAAAAACTATAAGCGTATATGACGAAGGCAGTTAGCTTGTGACATCATCTGACTTGACCATCCTTCAGATTACATCAGCAAATTAGACCATTACTGAGTGAACCTTGTACTTGTGATGACATAAAACCTGAGCATTTCTGAGTTGACGTCGTCAAAACTGGTCATTGTTTGCATACGTCACTACGTTAGGTCAACGTGCTTGGAAACGCACCAACCTGACCATTACCGAAATGACATCATCAAACCTGGCAAGTGTTCGCGTGACATCATTAAATCACCATAGCTGAAATGACATCAAATCTCACCATTGCTGAAATGACGTCGTCCCACCTGACCATCGTGCTTGGACGTCAATGACGTCTCAAACCTGACACGGGTTCGCGTGACGTCATCAAATCTCACCATAGCTGAAATGACATCATCAAATCCCACCATAGCTGAAATGACGTCGTCCCACTTGACCATCGTGCTTGGACGTCAATGACGTCTTCAAACCTGACCAGGGTTCGCGTGACGTCATCAAATCTCACCACAGCTGTGACAACGTTCCCCACTCATTGAAACAACTCCTAACGTACTCATACACTGTGACGTCATCAGTGTACGTTCGGCAGGTTTTGCATACTTAAAGGAGGTTATAGAAAGATAATTCCCGGAATGCAGGTTATATAAAGGTTTCAGTTTGGAGGTGGAGTAGGACTTAGGAAAAAACAAACAAAAAAACAACTGAAATAATTTTTAACATTGTTTTCTTATTAATTATCCATCCAATTTCTCTCTCTCTTTCTCACTAGTTTATAATACAATGAAAGTTGATGGAAAGCTATTCAGTATTTTTCTTTCCTTTTTTTAGCACGTTCACATCATTCCTCTTATTATTTATTAATGAATTTATATATTTATATTAATCGTAAACTACTTACAGCCGATTTTTTGTATTTTTTTTATGTTTTTTACGTATAAATTGTTCTAATGATGCTTTTATGACTTATCTATTGCATTATAACCTAACTGGCGGGTCTTTGTATTTTTTTTATATAAATTAAGATTGAAAAAAAAAAAAAAAAAAGAAATAATACAACTACCTTCAACAAAAAGGATTTTTTTAAAGGAATAAAATATGTTAAAAAACAATAAAAATACATAAAATAAAATTGTAACATTTTTATATATATATTTTTAACGATAGACTTTATCGTTTGTAATATTATATTTTTTTAAATCATGTAAATATAAAACTTGATTTTTTGTTGTTGTAGAGTAGCATTTTTTTTAAATAAAAAAAAGAAAATTTACAAAATTTTGTACAAATTAAATTAATTTCTGTGCTGTTTGAATTTTGTCTTATTGCGGCGGAGGCGGCTGGCTGGGAGGCTGGCCAGCGGTGTTCATATACTGCGACGACATGAACGGCGGGTAATATGGCGTAGGGTAGTACGGGTCGAAGTTCCTCGACGATGCGACCGCGGCCGCCGTGAACGGGTTCGGCCCGGGGTACTCGTACGGCTTGTAGTAGTTGGACGTAGGGGGGTAGTAGTACGGCTGGAAACCCTTCTCCTGGCCTTTCATCTCGTCGGGGCGCTGGTCGTACGGCGGCGCCGGGTAGTCGGGCGGAGGATCGAACGACGTGCCGCTCCCACTCGTCGCGGGCCGGAACACGTCGGGGAAAGGGGCGCCGCTAACCGGCTGGGCGGGGTATTCCTTCCCTCTGGCCGCAGGCGACCCGTCTTCGTCCGAATCGCCGCTCTCCTCGAGGACGGTCGGCGCTTCCGGAACGCCCGGAATCCCAACGGGCCGTTTTCTTGTCACCGTCACCGTCACCGGTGGGCGCGTGACTGGCCCGACCGCCCTCACCGGACGGTGTGGCCTGTGCGGCGAAGGCCTCGTCGGTGTTATCGTAACGTTGTTATTCCTCAAATTTGGTAAAGACCCTCTCCCTCTAACATCCAACCCTATAAAACAAAAACAACTATATTTTTTTTTTAAATTCGGAAAAAAATGCGAGACCTTTTTTGGGCTGTAGTTGTTGCTGTTGCTGTTCCTTGTCTTTGACCTTGAACGCCGTCCTTATCGCGATGATCTTCCCGTTTTCGAGCTGCATGTAGATCCCCTTCGGCGATTTGAGCACCATCACCTTTTGCCCGGCTTTGAGGACGATGGATGACCGATCGGGCGCGTTTGTCGGTATGACGACGTCTAATGGACAGACGGCAGGCAGAAAATAGATGAGATATATAAATAAGAGATATTTTATAGTGCAAACTTACCTAGAGGGAGGGTCATCTCCTGCGCCGACATCCCTTGCCGCTGCCAGACTGACGCGGGGATCCAGCCTCGTTGACGGGGCCCGCCGTCCCTCACCAGTTGGCTGCTCAATTCGGACTGCATCGGCCTAACGCTCGCCATCGGCTTGTCCGGACCCCTTGAATAATATATACATATATTTTTTTTAATCTAAGGTTTTTTTTTGGTTGAGATGAAAAATTAGCCACGAGCGGGATTCGAGCCAATGACATTCGGCTCAATACACCGCTGCTCTAACCAATTGAGCTATCTTGACTTCGATGGTTGTGGGTTCGAATCTCACTCATGACACTAATTTTTCATCACAACCAAAAACCTTAGATTAATTAAAAATAATATAGTCAATTATGACCACTAAGCAAATATTGAATAATTTATATTATTTTTAAAAAAACTATTACTTTTAATAGCTACACGACTGTTTTACTTGTATAACCTCATGCTTTGTCATAACCTCTAAGTGGTCACAAAACAATAACCTCCAGACTGTTATATCATAACCTCCTGATGGTTATAACAATAAAACCTCATGTTGGAAATTTGTAAGTGAACTAAACAAAAAAAGTGAGCAGGTAAGTTGAATAAAAATAAAAATATACATATTAAAATTATGTTAGCGAAGCTTGCTGAACCATTCCCAATAATGGCAATGATACATTTTGTTAAGTGTGACTTGTTGAGAAAGTTCACCGGGGCCTGTGGAAGGCCTTGACAGATTTAGCGATCGACAAGCGTTCACTAATTATCAGGAAATTTAATTGATCTTGTTTAATGGAAGTAAATGAGAAAAAACTTATACCAGAGAACATAAGCGGCGTAAGGAAAGCACAAAAAGACTAAAATCACGCTGAGCCTAGGCCTGAACACCATTAGGAATTTCAATTACATCAATAAATGTAAAAATTCAAAAATAGAACTAAAGCTTTACCTTATTATCGCGCCCTGCGAGTTGACGGGATTATTGTAGTAAGGAGGGCGCGATGTGCTCGTGCTCGCTTGTTTCTCCAGTTCATAGCTCCTCTTCGCCAGCCTCTTCTCTGCCTGGGACAATTTCTTCTCTTTTCGATCGACGAGAAGGGATTCATGTTGAAATGGCTCCTGTAAAAACGTTCAAGATTTTGATTTTTTTTTTTTTTCAATTAATAAAAAAAAATCCAAATTTTCACCTTGCTAAGGAGCGACGAGTGCTTCTGAAGCACCTTCTGTATAACTACGTCGATATAGCTGTCCTGTAGGTCCGTGAAGTCCCTGAGCGTCTCATCTTCCTTGTCATCCCAACAGAGCGAAGTCACCTCCTTTATGCTCAGGTGGGCGTCGGGGTTGCACTCGTCAACCACCCTGTCGGACATTCCTGAGGAGAAAAACAAATCTTATATGTACAAGTATGAATAATTTAAATGTAAACTCTTCTAGAAAGAAACGTTTTGATCAATTACATCAATTAATTCTTATTCTAATGAAACCACAAATATGATATATAGGTATGAAATCACATACTTATCGGATGCCTAAAATTTCAATGTTTTGAAGAAAAAAAAAGCAGTAAGCCTTAATACAAGTTAAAATAAATAAAAAAATTAATTGTTGTTAATGTAAGGCCATGATTTATAAAGAATTTTTTACTTTTTGGTCTGCTATGCTGTAAATTTGGCTTGCCGAAACAGTAGGGGGGGGAGGGGTAAAGGAACATTTACAAAAACCTGAAATAGGTAGAAACGCCATAATTAAGAACAAAAGGTCATTTATTAAGTGGAAAATTCTCTTCAACGCAGACAAGTCTGATCAAGCCAAGGTTGACCATAAATTTACCTCACTTAATAGAATACAAAATAAAAAAATTCTAAAGAGTGATTCAGAACTGAACCGTGTATGACTTACTTCCTACAAATAATGCGCACATACGAAATTTTTGTCGTTACAAAATTTTTGCATAAACTTCTTTTTATTATTCTAATAACTTACTTATGAGATGCCTAAAAGCATTCTGACCACCCAAATTTCAAAGTTTTGAAAAAACTGTAAGACAACACAAGTTAAAATAAATTTTTAAAAAAAGCTGTTGTTAATGTACTGCGATGATTAAAGAATTTTGTACTTTTTTTTATGCTATGCTGTAAATTTGGCTTGGTAACAAATTAGGGGCGGGATGTTTCCAAAAACTTTGTATACTTGTGTAATGTAGACAATGTTTATAAATCCCAGTCCCTGAAGATGATCTCAATAAAGATTGAAATGTTGGCACAATGAAGAAAATGTTTTTCTAAACCTTCACCACACCAGACCTACATCTCGACCTCTAAATAGTCATTACACATTAACCAGTTTTCTATTAGCATTAGTGTTGCGTTAAATAACAAGTAATAATAATAATAAAAATGTTTACCTTGTTTGTTAATTTGCCGGTCATAGATTTTCTTCTCGAGACAATTATCCGTGACGAGGCGGTAGACGAAACAAGGCTTCTTCTGGCCATACCTGGAGAAAGTGGAAAGATCAGGATTTTTTTGCTGATCACTGTGTGTGAATTTCTTTTACCTGTAGACGCGGCACACAGCCTGGGTGTCGTGACAAGGGTTCCAGGAGGCATCAAACACGATGACGCGGTTGGCGCCGACGAGGTTGATCCCAAGCGAGCCGGCCCTCGTCGATACGAGGAAGAGGTGAAGGTTTGGATTTGAGTTGAACTCATTGATCAGCTTCTCCCTTTCTATTGCTGTCGTACTGCCGTCAAGTCCTGTCATTTAACAAAATAAACAAATAAATATTACATTAAAAAAAAAAAAAAAAAAACGCACGGTAATAGTTGATATTCTTCGCCCATTTTTCCGTCTTCCCGTAGACCTGCTGTTGTTGTAGTAGCTCCTCGATGAGGTTGAGCGTGAAGAGCGACTGCGAGAAGAGCAGTATACGATCTCCGAGCGCGATCGACTCTTCGAGTATGCAGAAAAACACTGCCATCTTCGCCGAAGAGTTTATATCACCTGGGACGTATCCTTTGAGCAGTTCTGTTGCCTATTTGATCAATTAATTATATTAAAAATAAATAAATTTATTTCATAATTTTAAAAAAAATTTACCCAGTCATAAGGAATTCCGGGTTCTTCTTTGGCCGGTTTGTGCACTGGAGGCGCGGCTTCCAGTTTCTTGGGCGACTCCTCTTCCTTTTTGTCTTTAGAGGGTGCACCATCGTCTTTCGTCTTGCCACCCTCTTCTTTGTCCCACTGTTCGAAAAGCCGTTTTTCCGTCTCGGCCTTGTCATACGGCACCTTGTCGTCCTTGTCTATCGGGTCCGTCTGGCACGACATTCCCCTTTTCTCCTTTTGCTCCGTCTTACCGAGGCCGGAAGGCCCGGCCTGAGGGCCATACGAGTACGAGTTCTGGAAATTCGCAAAGTCGGGGAAGTTCTGGTTGTAGTACTGGCCCTGATGGTAGAAATCACCCCTTCTCTTGTCATTTTCGGCCTGGTAGTCGACCTGGTACGAATCGTGGTAGCCGTCCGGCTTTGTACCGCCATCTGCCTTTTGTGTCATCTGCGTACCTTGGCTCTGCTGGTTTGTTTGTGCCAACCCTTGGGGTACGTTCTGCTGATGAGATGCGTGTAATGGCATCCCTTGATTCAACTGATTCGTTGGATTCTGGTGGAACTGCAAACCTTGATTTGGTGCGCCCATTGGGCTTTGGTGCATCTGCATGCTTTGATTTGGCCCAACCGATCCACTCGTAGCCATCTGCATACCTTGACTGTTTGAACTTGTATTCATCGGGACACTTTGGTGCATCTGCATGCTTTGATTTGGCGCAACAGATGAGCTTGAAGTCATCGGCATATTTTGATGCATCTGCATACTTTGATTGTTTGAATTTGTATTCATCGGGACGCTTTGGTGCATCTGTATGCTTTGATTTGGCGCAACAGATGAGCTTGAAGTCATCGGCATATTTTGATGCATCTGCATACTTTGATTGTTTGAACTTGTATTCATTGGGACGTTTTGGTGCATCTGCATACTTTGATTCGGTGTGATGGATGCGTTTGAAGTCATCGGCATACTTTGATGAATTTGCATGCCTTGATTGTTTGTAGACAAACTTTGGTGCATTAACATACCTTGATTTGGTGCAATAGATGCACTTGATGTCATCGGTACACCTTGATTGTTTGGATTATTGTTTGCAGGCATGCTTTGGTGCATTTGCATATTTTGATTGCTCGGAGTGTTGTTTACTGGCACACTTTGGTGCATATGCATAATTTGATTTGGCGCAATTGATGCGCTTGAAGTAATCGGCATGCCCTGATGCATTTGCATATTCTGACCAGATGTGTTGTTTCCATTTTGGTGCAACATACTTTGACCAGGTAGGTTACCACTTTGGTGCATTAAGGTTTGATTGTTTGGATTGCTGTTCGGCACCATGGCTTGCATTTGCAAACTTTGGTTGCCAATTTGATTCAGCACGTTCGACTGATTTGCATTCATCGGTACATTTTGGTTCAGAGCATTTGCTGACATAGGCATACTTTCGTGAATATGCATGCCTTGATTTGACATGTTCTGGTGCAACTGCATGCCCTGGTTGTTTGACGGCATGTTCACATGGATTTGCATGCTCTGATTCGGAGTGATGGCCGTGCTCGAATTATTCTGCTGCATCTGCATCCCTTGATTCGTCGGGTTTGAAGTCATAGGTATGCTTTGGTGAGCCAGCACGTTTTGATTCGGTGGGACTGACGCACTCGAGGTCATTGGCATGCCTTGATTGTTGCTCAACATGTTCATCTGCATAGATTGATTTGGCGCGTTGCCAGACATCGGCATGTTCTGATGCATCTGCACAGTTTGATTCAGCGTGTTACCGGATATAGGCATATTTTGGTGCATCTGCATCACTTGACCAGAAGAGTCGGGCATATTTTGGTGCATCATTTGGTTCGGAGTGTTCACGGTCGTATTCATCATATGAACATTCTGGTGAGCCTGCACTGACTGATTCGGCGTTCCCTGCACGGCCTGATGAATTTGAACTTGGTTCTGAGTGTTCGCACCGTTTATCGGCACGCCTTGATGGTGGATGTTCTGAGCCAATCCCTGTGTACTGTTTATCTGATGATGACCCATGTGCATCTGTGAACCCGGGCTGGCTTGATGGTGCGCCATTTGATGTCCACCTTGACTTGTCGAATTCTGGCTACCGGTTTGATCTAACATCTGGTTTTGCACCGTGGGATTATTCGCCGGCAGGTGCTGAACCTGCGCAGGTGCCGGTTGCTGTTGATTCCCGTAGCCAATCTGATTATGCTTATGAACAGCCATGTTTTGCATGTCTATCTGATTCTGACTGCCCTGATAACCTGATGCTTGCTGATACGCTGAATGATTCTGCATACCCGAATTCCCTGGCATGTTAAGCCCACTGCCCATCATCTGAACGTTCTGCATATCCTGATTTTGTTCATTGACCGGATTTTGCATCATGTCTTGCTCGTACTGGCCTCTCTGATTGCATTTGATCTCGTCCTTCTGATAGCCAAAATTCTGCTGCATCTCCCTCTGCTGACCCATTAGGCCCGTATCAAAATTCATACCTACCTGGTTCTCACGTTTCTTGTCGGTGCAGTAATCCCCACTGAAGGCGTCGTTCCTATAATACTCGTCCTGCATGAACGAGTCTTTCTTCTCCTGGCTTGCCTTCTTTCCAGGCGATTTCTTCTTATCGCCTTGGAACTCGTCGTACTCCTGGTTCCAGTTAAAACTCGACTGGTTCCTGCTTCCGAAATTCTGGCCAAACTGGTTGAAATCAAACCCACCTTGGAACGGCGCCCTTTCCTCGTACTGATTCTGGTACGAAGACTGGTTAAAGACTACCTCGCCACCACTTAAACCCCTGCAGAACGTCTGTTTAAGTACGTCTTCTTTCTTCTCTTCTTTTTTGATGTTCTTAAAATCAATTTCTGTTCCCGGTTCCGTTTTGACCTGCCTACCTTGATAATTATAATTATAACCTTGCCCTTGAGGTGACTGTTGTTGCTGTTGCTGCTGCTGATAATAATTATTATTATAATTGTACTCATTGTTATAATTGTAATTGCTTTCATTATAGTTGTAATTGTTATAGTTGTAATTGTAATTCTGATAGTTGTAGTTTGAAGAAGTTGGCGCAGAAGACGTAGGCGGCTGTTCGAAATTGCGAGAATTATTGTTGTACTGTTGGTAGTAGTTGAAGCCGTCGAACGTATTCGACTCCTCGGTTTTCACCTCGACTTGTGACTGCGAAGTCGTAGGAGGGACGGCGGCGACAACAGGGGATTTCATTGGTACGGCGACCGCCTGGGCTTTCTTGCCCCCTTTGCCCTTCTTGTCCGATTTGCGGCCTCGCGGCGACAACGTTGGCTGCGCCGCTTCCTGGCCGGCGGCACGCTGCGCCATGACTGCCGTCTCATCTATGTCCAGATCTTGAAGCTCGTCCATCTCTCTCTTTTTGAGGAAGTTGTAAAGTATGTCAGGATGGTTCCATATCTGCAAAGGAAAAAGCAGCATTTAAAATCTGGGGGAGAATCAGTTCAACGACTTAGCCTACCTTACAACAGACAGCAAATGCTTTTAACGGGTTCGGCACGGCCTTAGTTCTAACAACCTCATTCATAAAAGTGTCATACAACTTCCTTTGAAATGGAGTCATCCTAACTAACAAAACGTACTCTTCCTTCTGCGGCAGTGTGTTCCTAAGCACAGAATGACTCCTCCTAAAAGAAAAAGACAATTTTTTTGTTTTTAACTGGTCAAAAGTAATTTTTAGTATCAGTCAGTGTTACACCTAAACATTAAAACTTAGTATTTACCTTAATTTATTTACCTTGCTTATTGGAAACTCCAGATTCTATCTGGCCCTACAGTTTTTGCCCCCCCCCCCCCAAGCTGGGTTGGGAAACGGGTATGTATAAAAGAAGATGATTTGAAAAGGAAAGGCAATCGACTTGAGAAAACAGTCAGCAGCTCACAGAGACACGATATCGACTGTCCTGGGCCGAGACGAATCGAATAGAGTAAACTGTCAAAGTAGGAGGAATCGGATGTCGAGAGCATCAGAAGCAGTAAGCAGTGGACATGAGGAAAGACTCCGTCAGCCATAGTCAAGTTGAGGAGTCAACTGGACAACTTATCCAAGTCAAGTCGAAGACCCATCCCAATCGAGGACTTACTCAACCCAAGGACTCTTCCCAGTCAAGGACACTAGAAGGCGCTTGAAAAAGTTCCTGGAAGGAAGTGTTAGCTACTGTTGACGAGCATTGTTTCGAGTAAGTTCTATTGCGAATAAGCTAATCCCGGTTTCTGGTTGACTTGACTTGATCGTTTGACTTGTTTGTTACAATATTAAGATGAGTCAGTGTAATAAATGTTTACGAATATCCCTTCAATTGGGCTAGTTTTGGTGCTATCTCCTATATTAAAAGGAATTAAGCGCGTACAATGAATGTCCTCATATTGCTTAGTGATAAAACAGAAGAGTGTCTCTGCCCGCTTACAATAGTTTAAAAATTCCCCTTAAGGTGGCCATTCACGATCGCTCCTAGCAGTCCAAACGGAGCGACGCCATTCCAAAAACCACGTCAATGGCAAAACTGAACTGGCGTGCCCGGCTGTGCCGAATATTCAACCAGTCCAAACTCCATCGCGCCACGCCAAATATCTACGGCGTGACAACGGCATGGCGCGTTCATGAATGGGAAAACCTGGCGTGGAGGGTGGGGATTTTGGCGTGCTGGCCTGGTCCAGAATGGGAAAACCCTCGTTTTTTTGGCGCAGTCTCCGTCTTTCTGTCACTGAGCAAACATCTCTGTCGTACATTCTCAAAAAGTCAAAAACGTTTATTCTTTATTGGTAATGACATCCAATCGAGATTTTATTGTTGAGGTGATTGGATTGTATGAAAGTTTACCATGTTTATGAAAGTGGTGGACAATGATTATATTACCACGACAGAAATAAAAGAAATTCGATCCTCAACCAGTTCGACAGGTCAACGTTTTCAAAACAAACGATACAAATGCAATGAGAGATGCGGTATTGATAACCCCTAACAATGATCAGAAATCGTAGTAGAGAACTTAAGTTCTTTGTAGTTCATCCTGTAGCGAGAAATCGTAATGTGGTTGCCAACCTTTCATGTAGTGATGATTTTTCTCATGACTGTTGTTTTCTAATAAAGGGGGTAACAAGCTGGAGTAAATATAAATAAGACGTTAATCTTTTTTTCATAAGGTTTTGGCTGAAATTAAAAAATAGTGTCTCGAGGGGATTCGAATCCACGACATTCGGCTAAATACGCCGCTGCGCTAACCACTTGAGCTATCCTGACTTCGATAGTTCGATCCACTCGGGCACCAACTCCCCATCTCAACCTACAACCTTTCAAATTTTCTCTCTTTTTGCCATTATTTGGTGTCGGAGAAGATCGAAGTCATGATAGCTCAAGTGGTAGAGCAGCCGAAGGCCATGGATTCAGATCCCGCTCGTGGCACTAGCCATTTCAACCAAAACCTTATAAAAAAGATTAAATAATTGAAAGAAGTAATTTGGTCAATAGAACACTAACTATAATGAATAAATAAGACTTTCATTCATCCTTAAATAGTTCCTTCAATCAGCGGGTTCAAGGGAAATATCTTTCATCAAATTGATGTGGGTATTAAAGCTTCTGTTCAGGAGCCACTTCTTACACCATTTCCTCTTCAATTTTTTGCTTTTAATATGTAAATAAACAGAAGAGTAGCACAAGAGATCGTCATCCATTTTGAGAAGGTAATTCACTGGTTGACGTTCGGAGCGACTCGCTGTGGAGCGGTCGTGAATGCCCCCTCAAATTTCAGGCACTCCAAATGGAGCTGTACGGCTTGGCGCTGTTCCATTTGGAGTGATCGTGAATGGCCACCTTTACTCAATTTAAAAATGTCCCTTAGGGGGCACAACCTATAGAAAAACTTGATTAAGAATAGATTATGCACGCTTGATATACTGAGAAACTGCTCAATGTATCTCACATAATAGAAGCTTGTCATGCCTTGGCTCCTTACAGAGAGCATGTTGGGCATGCTGCCTAGTTTAAGAATGATTCTCAGGCACAGTTGCCAATTTGCCTCGCTTTTTAGAAGTTGTATGGGTTTTTGTACAGTATATAAATATATTTTATATGTTTTGCGGTTATGTGTTTGTATATATTAGTGTGAGTGGTGAGAGGTTGATGGTAAAATATAGTGTCACCATCACCCCTGCAACAGTGTGTAGGTTGATGGAGGAATATCGATTACTCCACCGACTAATCAGAATGAATGTAATGTACATAAGTGTGAATGTATTTATTTGTGCAAGAGTATTATAGATGTTAAGTTAATTTTAAATTCGATTATATTTTATTTGCGTTGGGTGCTTAAAATGGCCTAGTTGTCGAAAGCACATATTGGCTGGAAATCAATGACCTCCTGAGCATCTGGCTTAAGGGAAATGCTAGCAAGTCGCTGGGGGTAGGTGAACTCCCCAGACGTTAACAGACGTGAACTCCCATCAGGGGAGTGACAATCCTGAGGTAGAGACCGTAGAGTCACCACATCAAGGGAGTGACAACCCTGAGGTATAGCCATAGGGTCACCACATCAGGGGAATGACAACCCTGAGGTTTGGACCGTAGGGTCGCCACATCAGGGGAATGACAACCCTGAGGTTTGGACCGTAGGGTCGCCACATCAGGGGGAATGACAACCCTGAGGTTTGGACCGTAGGGTCGCCACATCAGGGGAATGACAACCCTGAGGTTTGGACCGTAGGGTCGCCACATCAGGGGAATGACAACCCTGAGGTATAGCCATAGGGTCACCACATCAGGGGAATGACAACCCTGAGGTTTGGACCGTAGGGTCGCCACATCAGGGGAATGACAACCCTGAGGTTTGGACCGTAGGGTCGCCACATCAGGGGAATGACAACCCTGAGGTTTGGACCGTAGGGTCGCCACATCAGGGGAATGACAACCCTTCAGTACAATGTACCAACTTTTTTTAAATTGTAGACTGTCTAAAAAGTGTCAAAAAAGTTTTATTACTACCTTTGTACAAAACCTTCGAGGAGAGAGTGAAGAACATGAGCTCGATAGCGCATCAGCCTGATGTCCTGTGGTGTCGAATCTATACACTGCCCATTCTGTATCGGCCTTTCGAACATGTTGCTGAATTCGGTCTTTGTCCCGAGGTAATTCGGACGGACGAAATCGACCATGCACCTGCGCACGCCAATGGAATCAGAAATTGAAAATTGTACGAAAATTTTATTAAAGTTTTACCAGTATTCCAGTAGGTTGTTTTGCAACGGATAGCCCGTAAGGACGATTCGACGCTTTGTCCTGATCTGCTTCAGAGCGTGCGAAATAGAAGCGTGTGAGTTTTTTATACGATGCCCCTCGTCACATATCACCAGATCTGGGCCGGGTTTGACCAAAGCGTCATGCATTTCTACAAAACAAAATATTATAAAGACGAAATTAAATTAATAGGTGATTTTTTTATAAGGCCTTACGTTCAATTAGTGGTTTGTTTTTTTCATCTTCCATGTCTTCATCTGGAGGGCGTTTTTTGCCCTTTCGTACTCGGCCGGAACGTTTCAATGACAACTGCCTGTACATCTCGTAACCGATGAGCAGTACACCTCCTTCTCTCTGCCACTCGGCAACGACCTGTTGAAAAAAATAACAGACATTAGGTCTGCAACGTTGGAAGAAAAAATCGTAAAATACCTTAGATCTTGAAACAATCGTTTTGTGGAAGTCGTTCAGAACGAATATACGAAAGTCCCTCGTCCTGACCTCACCCTGGGCTGCGAGCGGGGAATTTGTCGCATCCATCGGCAGCCATATGTTGAACTCGGCGACCCAGTTTTGAAGTGTGTTTATCGGCATGATGCACATTACGGTTCTCGCTGTTGTCTCCCTCAGAAAGACATCGCAGAATGAGACGACCTGAAGTGTCTTCCCGAGGCCCATTGAATGCGCGAGTATGCAGCCGAATCCAGTGGAATTTTTGAACCTTTCAACACTTTCCACTACGTTGTCGAAAAGAAACCTCACACCTCCAATCTTAATTATTTAAGAAAAAAAAAATAAATAAATTTTGTTTCATTTTTATTTTTATTTTTTTAATTACTTGATGAGGTTTGATTATCCGGGCGATTTGTGGAGCAAGGAAGATCTCGGGCTCGCCCTCCTGCTTGCCGACGTTGATAAGGACACGGCCTTGTTCGTCCGGCGTGTTGAAAAGGTCATTCGTGTGCATGCCAGAGTTTGTAGGGTCGACGTCGGCCTCCTCTTCGTCGTCCGATGGGTCTGAGAGGACGATGCAGTCATCGTCATCGGATAGCCGGGTCACTGCTTCAGAGGGCCGCTCCTCTCGTGCCTCCCCTCGTTCTTCATCATCGTCCGATGACGATATCGTAACGACATCTGGTGCACGTGTATCTTTTTTTTTATGGGTACATAACATACAACGATGATTGTTGATGGTGGCGATGGGTGAAATAAACAAAAACCAAAAAAATAAATAAAATAAATAAATAAATAAAATAAAATAAAACTCATTCAACAAAAACATAAAAAATAAAGTGATACTATAAAAATTTATATAAATAATAATTAGGATGAAGGAAATGATTTTTCATGGGATAAGTTTATGTTTAAGTAATCTAGCATAGTTTTACCTTTTTTTTCTTTAGCGAAAGGAGTCGATTTGACAGGAGCGATGGTTACACTCGGTGTGACCATGTGCTTGCTACCGAGCGTCCTCATTAGGCCTGGCTTGGTGTTGGAAGGAGGCGACTGTGACCTATCGCCCCTTATCGCATCTAGCACCTGCAAAATGACATGCATTAACTCACATAATACAACTAGGGTAGTTTAAGCAGCTCACCTTTTTGTCCAGGACCTGCGGTGGAGCATCGGATCCGAGTTTAACGAGCGATACTGAACCACTCGGTTTGACGGGCACCGAAGCCTGCGCACCGAACGCGGCCGACTTACCCTTCAGCACAGACATCGACGTGTTACCCTGAAGGAGCGAAATGACGCGGGACTGCGTCTTGTGATTCTGCCTGTTGATCTGCATCTGCCTTTGCACCTAGAATTTAATGAAAGGACATAATTTTTAATATGAAATTGAAATAGCTGTTACCATCATCTAATGATATATAAAAAGTGAACATTTATAATATTTAGATGATTTAAAGTTAAAAGCTTTTTTTTTTTTTTTTACACTGTTGATGTACCAAATCAAAGATGGCCAACACAACATCCTTGACATACCGAAATAAATAAATAAGCAATACTTTAGTTAATAAATAATTTGTTAAAATAAGGGTTGTAGAGAAACAAAAATTGAATAATTTTATAAAGAAAAATAATAAAATAGTAAAAATAGTGATTTTAAAATCAACATGACTGTCACAACAACATTAAAATAACACGAGGGGTACCTTATAATACGATATAATTATATTACAACAATAGCAAATATAAAATGAGAATTTTTTAAAAATTATTTACAACTAGAAAATTTAAAATGATCAGAAATCAATTACAAATCTAATTTTATGAAGGAATAAAAAATAATTTGGTCTTAAAAATCAAGATGGCAGTGGCAACTGAATTTAGAAAATACAAACTAACAGGTAAACATTTTAATGTTTACTATATATTATTATTGATAACAAAAATATTAATTGGGGTAAAAAAGGTTTAACTCACATCTCTGAGATATTTCTGTTGATCTTGCACCCTACGCAGACGCTCCATCTCCTGCCGTTGCGCCGCGAGAGTCGCCTCGTCGAGTTGGTTTTCATCCATGACTTCGCGAATGTTCCGCCTCATGTTCAAAGCTTTTTTTTTATCAGTCTCATTGTCCTCGTCTGTGAAAAAGATTTTTTTTTATTGTGAAAAGTTAGACAAAGCTGCTGTGTTTATTCATAATAATGTGAATTACCTTGTTTCTTCTTTTTCAATCCGACTTCGGATTCCAAATCAGAGTCTTGTTTCCTCTTTGTTGATTCATCGTCGTGTTCAGGTACTTCTTTTTCGTCGTGATCCTTCGCCGTACTGTCTTCCTCGCTCTGGAGGAAAAAAAATTATGAGTTTTTTTGTTAAAGGAATGAACAAATAGAACTTACAGTTGGATCTTGGGCCATGTCTTGTTCCATGGGTTCTTCTTTGATATTGCGAAGCAGCTCAGAACTGTCCATGACGCTCGCTACCTCGCCACTGGCGTTCTCAAGGCTTTCAAGCACCTCATGCTCTTCGACCGGGACTCCGTCAATGTCCGCACTTTCGTGGCACGGAATGCTCTCATCCATGTTTTCAACCTGGTCGGATGGATTGGCGCCATCTTGAACCGGGTCATCTGCCTTGTAGGCTTCCCCATCTTCCTCCTCGTCTTCCTCCTCAACGTCGTCCTCCTCCTCTTCTTCATCTTCGAGCCCCGTGTGCGATTCAGGTGCCATATCATCCTTGGGCACCACCCTCTGGATGGTGACATCACCAATTCTTGTTACATACCTATCCATATCTGGTAAAAAAAAACCTTTGTTAAAAAAAAAAAAAAAAAAACATTTATTCGTATTATTATAAGATAATATTGAAAGCCGGTCATCATCTTAGAATAAGTAAGGAATAACTGCTACAATAAGTAAAAAAATAGTTCTAAGGATTGTCAAAAATATGTAATTAAGGCAATAAATCTGACGGGTCGCCCACCTTACTTGGGATCAGTTTGTCACACAGTTCATCCAGCCATAGGACACCATAAATTTGTGGTCACATCAGCCAGGTGGGTGATGTACATCTTCGGCAGGTGTCCAGCATCATGGGACCAGGAGGGTACATTATGGAACTCTCGGCATTCTATCTTATTCGAATCGTGTCATTGTGCGACGTCATGAGAGCTAAGAGATTTAGAAATCACTCAAAAAAGCAAAGGAATTGCTCTCTCTCAGCAGGCAGAATTTGAGAAAAAATATAGGCCTCTCTACCGGCCATTGTCCTCTTAACTATGACCTTAAAAAGATGGGCACAAACATAAACATGTTCAAGGTTTGGTGGACAGGAGATCCACTAAGAGGTACCGGCACAACTGGAAGTGTTGTTAAACCTCCCCCACCACTTCAAATTTTAATTCAAGGAGAAGCCAGAGCAGCTGCCTAGCGATTAAACACTGCACCAGAGAAATAAAAAGCCTAGGAATACATACCTGTAAAATACCCTTCTTTTCTGACAGTCAGGCAGTACTAAGGGCCCTAGACGGTGCGAGCAAGATCCTACACTAATTAGCTGCTGACAAAGCTATGGAGGCTGATAACGTGAAGCTGGCCAGTGAGTTATAAAAAACAGGGGAGCACAATAGATCTATTCAGGTCGAGGTGCAGAAGGCCTTGTCACCACCTCTTTTACCCCTATCCTTAGGTGAAGAGGTACCAATGAGAGTACTTAGTCTTAAGATGGGCCCAGCGAAGATTCGCCGAATCCCGATAAGTTCGGACAGGTGGTCGCTTATTCGCTGAACAACAATATTTGGTGCTCGCCATCCTTGGCTATTTTCTGATTTTCTCATCCACTTCAAAGTGCACGAATATATTATATTTCAATTCACTAGTTTCGTTAGTTGAAAAATGGCAAAATGGAGGGAAAATTCAAAAGGTGTGGTTGAGATGGGAAGTTGATGTCCGAGTGGATCGAGGTCACGATAGCTCAAGTGGTAGAGCAGCAGCGTATCAAGCCGAAGATCGTGGGTTCAAATCCTGCTCGTGCCAATGACTTTTTTATCTCAACTGAAAACCTTAATTAATTGTAATGTATTATATATTCATCAAGTAGCCAAACTCAAACTCAGTTATAATTTACTTTTACTTATTTTTTAATAATAAATTATTCATAACTAATATAGATGTGTTGATGAAATAAAAACATAGTTTAATTTCTGTTGGACCAACTTAACAGTCTTGGAGTTCCTCGATCTGAACCAAAAATTTGAAACACTTCTCTTCTGAACAACAAAAATTGTAACGAGGTTTTCGATGCATGGAACAACAGGACACTCTGTGACTGTAAAACAGTTACCATGATCGTTGGTAGGTTGAGGGCTCACACGGCACTTAGTGAATATTCGCTCTTTCTGCACAAACTGGGTGATTCAACAAACCTCGCACGCCCCAAGACAACCATCTCGAGTCTTAGCGAACATTCAGGGGCAATCGGCATTCGACGAACACCGGATGCCTGGAGCCAACTTTATATGGATTCTGGTCATTACACAAGAAGAGGGAATAATTTGTTTACAAAGCAACTTTTTTTGTTTTTTTATAATGTTGTTTTAATTTAACAGTTTAATCTTTTATTTAGTTATATCTTATATTTTTCTTTTAAAATATCCAGTAAACAACTTTTTTTAAAAAATTATAGCGACTAAGTATTTACTAAAAAAAAAAAAAAAAAACTTTTTTTGCCTCAGTGTATAGGTTGCAAGGAAAGGATTTTTATAATTTTTAATCAACCCCCAACATTAAAAAAAAAATAAACTTTAAAAAATAAATAAAAATAAACATGTCTTAATATATTCTCGTTATATTACAGGGTGTCGCGAGCATCATCCGTTCTCGTCCTGTCCGCACACAAGAGGGCGGCGAGGAAGAAATGAGGCGAAATCAAGACAAAAGGTAAAAAAAGCCACCCCCGCGGGAGGGGTGAAAACGTTAAAACACTAAGCATTTGAATCGATATACGTCCTCTTGTGAAGGGGGCGGGAGCGGCAGCACGCCGTTATTGATGGAGGCGGGCGCGGGCGCGGATCCCGGTGAATAACTGACGGGCCCGCCCCCGCCGAGACCCGTTTATAAGTGTTATTAAGCCGCCCTCTTCCCCGTTTTGATGCCGCTATCGGATCAATAAGATACTTTTTATTCCAAAGCTTTAATTGCATTTTTTATCTTTCATAAATCCCTGTTTTGATTTTGTCCAATAAAAGTAATAATAATAGTAAAATTGTAATAGACGAAAAAATCGACAAGAATAAACAAAACTGATAAAACTTTTCTATTTCAAAATGGCGGTTTAAACTTTTTTTACAATTTACTATTATTTAATTTGGATTATCCATCCGTATTTTTGTTGTAAATGGAAATCCGCGTAATGGTAGTCATAACACTAAAAAAAAATTCTCCCGATCATTCGTTCTGTAAGTCATTCATTCTCTTACCAGCTCAGTCGTTCAATTATCTCCCTCGTTCTTCCACTCACACGTTCTACAGTTATCGTTCAATCCTCCACTTGTTCATTCACTCGCTCGTCCCCTTTATCTGATACACGCCAAGGAATATTTTCTCATTCGCTCACTCTAATCATACGCTGTACAAACGCAAAGTCCGCCGATAAAACATTCGTTCTTTCCATTCGCTTTCACTCGAACTTAGAGCTTTTAGCTCATAGCGAGTCGTACAACGCTCAACCAGACATATTCATTCATACACTCGGTTCATTTGCTCGCTTATACTCATTCATTCTCTTATTTAACCACACAATCACACTGCCGGTCATTAATTTATTTACTTATTAATTCATTCATATATTCACTTTTTTCAATCATTCATACATTCACTTCATTACACATATGTTCAGGCATATTTCCTCATTCATTCGTTCATTTATTCACTCATTCATTCTCTTATTTAACCACACAATCACACTGGCGGTTATTAATTTATTTACTTATTATTTCACTCATGCACTCACTTTTTTCAATCATTCATACATTCACTTCATTACACATATGTTCGGGAATATTTCCTCATTCATTCGCTCATTTATTCACTCATTCATTCTCTTATTTAACCACACAATCACACTGGCGGTTATTAATTTATTTACTTATTATTTCACTCATGCACTCACTTTTTTCAATCATTCATACCTTCACTTCATTACACATATGTTCTGGCATATTTCCTCATTCATTCGCTCATTTATTCACTCATTCATTCTCTTATTTAACCACACAATCACACTGACGGCTTATAATTTATTTACTCATTAATTCACTCAAACACTCTCTTTTTTTCAGTCATTCATACATTCACTTCATTACACATATGTTCAGGCATTTATCTCATTCATTCACTCGGTCATTTGCTCATTTATACTCTAATTCATTCTCTTATTTAGACACACAATCATACTGTCAGCTTATAATATATTTACTTATTAATTCACTCATACACTCACTTTTTTCATTCGTTCATTCACTACACTACACATTGGCTTAGGCATATTTTCTCATTCATTCATTCAGTCATTTTCTCATTTATACTCACATTCATTCTCTAATTTAACCACACAATCACATTGTCGTTCATTAATTTAATTACTTATCAATTCACTCATACACTCACTTTTTTCAATCATTCATACATTCACTTCATTACACATATGTTCTGGCATATTTTCTCATTCATTCACTCATCTATCCGCTCATTTGTATGATCTTTAGTTTATTCATTCAATCAGTCAGCGTTCACTTCTTCACTCATTAATCATTCACGATTTATTCACAAATTAGGTTAGTTATTATTCATTCATTTTACACATAAGTTCACTTTTTCAATCATTCATGCAAAATATTGGTCACCTGTATGTTCATTTAATTGTTTTAATCAACGAGTTGCAAACTCTTAGAGTTACAGTCCGATCACTTTCACATTCACTCTGTCAGTCACTGACTAGACTAAACATTCCTTAGTCAATTTTACACACACCCTCTCATTCTTTCATTTTTAATCATACATTCATTAAGCAAATTATACACTATCTCATCCAGGCATATGTTCTCATTTATGCCCCCTGGAGAGACCGACTCATTCTGTCAAATGTTCATTCATTGGCACTGTATCCCATACTGAGCTCATTCATTCGGTATGTCATGGGACATTCAGTCGCACCCACAAATTGAACTGCCTGCCACTTATTCAATAGTATTGAATCTATTCTAACAAACAATAGAATTACCTATTATTATCAATTATTATTTTTGATTGATCAAATATTATGATTATGAAGGTAATAAAATAATCTGATGTTTACAGGGCCCCCACCAAATATGCATATAACAAATTTGGCAACACTGTATCCCATACTGAGCTCATTCATTTGATCTGTCGCACCCACCAATACAATCTGTCACTCATTCAATAGTAATTTATAACAAACAATATAATTACATTTATTATTATTTTTGATTGATCAAATACGATCATTATGAAAGTAATAAAATAATCTGATGTTTAGAGGGCCCCCAAAAATATGTACATAAAAAAAATTGGCAACACTGTATTTTATATACATATACAATTGGCAACACTGTCCCATACAGAGCTAATTCGTTTGGTATGTTGTGAGACATTCAGTCACTCTCATTAACTCGATCTGCCACTCATTCAATAGTAATTTATAATTATTTAGAAATTGTGAGATGGGGTCACGATTTCTGAATAATTGTCGATTAACGGTCACTAATCACCACACACGTAATTTATAATAAACAATATAACTAAAACTATATTTAAAACGCCCTTAAAAATTAATAACAATAGTAATAATAACTGAAACTATAATTATTTTGGATTGATCAAATATGATCATTAGGAAAGTAATAGAATAATCTGATGTTTATAGGCCCCCCCCCAAAAAAAATATGTATATTAAAAAAATTGGCAACACTGTATCCCATCCTGAGCTCATTCATTTGGTATGTCGTGAGACATTCAGTCGCACTCACCAACTCGATGTGTCACTCATTCAATAGTAATTTATAATACACAATACAACTAAAACTATAATTATTTTGGATTGATCAAATATAATCATTAGGAAAGTAATAAAATAATCTGATGTTTATAGGCCCCCAAAAAAATATATGTATATTAAAAAAATTGGCAACACTGTATCCCATGCTGACCCCATTCATTCACTCTATCGTGAGACATTCAGTCGCACTCACCAACTCGACCTGCCACTTATTCAATAGTAATTTATACTAAACAATATAATTGTATCTATTAATATTTTAGATCGATGAACTATGACTATTATGAAAGTAATAAAACAATCTGATGTTAACAAAGCCTCCCCCCCCAAAAAAAAAATGGCATCACTATCCCAAAATGTAATTATGGTTTATCATGATATTTTTATCTACATATTCATACATATTTTTATTTTAAAATAATATTATCCTAACTGAAAGACAGAAGTAAGATTTACGGTAAATTTCTTGTGAAGACATATCTGTCAGGTTTGTCAGATTTGGCAATCAATGGATTAAAAGAAAAAACAAATGATTACAGGACTATTGTCAAATGTCAACACTGACAAACATTCAACAACAGTTATTCAGAAACATCAAAACAAAGGTTCAACAAACAAAAATTTTTGAACTTCAATAGATTTTTTTTTATGCGGTGTCCGACGATACATAGTTTCATTTCTGACAGCTTTCAGCAATGACAAAACTGTCCGATGGATTACAGAAAAAAAAACTCAGTTCAATCAGAAGCAAACTTTTCTTATAACGAAACATCCAACAAACTTTTATATTATTGGGATGATTTAATTGTTCCATCCGAACATCGTTTCAGACAAGTGATAAAGCCAGTTAGTACGATTTCTGTCGATTACCACTGGCAAACCCTGTCGCTTGCAGTCCCAACTTCTCAAGTAATGCACTTTTGACTTCCAATGGTTTACTTCAGACATCAGACCTGTAGCATATCCCACCAATCGACTGTCAGTGAAGAACCTGTCAATCCTTTCATGTTTAAGTCTTGTAATAATCGTCAAGTTTTATTCGGTCAACCATGTCGGGCTATGAAGATGTGACGGTTTTACATAGTGTTTATTGTTTGAACAATGAATGATTTGTGTTTATCTTTTTTTTTCTTGTTGATTTCGAAGAGGAAACGTGAAAAAAGCTTCGGTCGATGCTTTGTCCAAAAACTGCCCTGATGTTCGTTTTAAACACGGAGAGGTTATAAACTTTGACCCCTGACTTGGAGGCGGCTACGGAGGGAAAAATACTTGGAAACAGAAGGTGAAATTGTTGATTCTGAACTCACCTTAGTTGGAAACGACTCGGGGAGGGCTAGTCTTAATAGAGTTCGCGTCGGCCTTTTTCCCGTTCCATTTCGAAGTAAATCGGTGTCCGAAGGTATCGGCTCGCCCTTCCGGGTCGTCGAGGCGACGCTTGTCGCCCTGGCCGGCTCGGGGTCCGTCGAGATGGTACAAACGTCCCTGTCCTGGTGTCGCCGGATCGGTGTCGTCTCGACCCCCCGCCTATCACATCACAGGGTCGAAACGGGTCCGGTCTTAAAACGGGATGACGTCCGTCAGGCGCGGGACCGAGATGGATATCCTTCGAAATGACCGTCGCGAATTCGGATCCGAGTCAACAAAATCAACAAAACACGGAGCCCAGGTTCCTGACTACAGTACGACAGTGTCGCCAACTTGACGGCTCCCCCCCTTTAAAAAAAAACAACTCACCGACTGACCTGTCACAAGAACAAAGAAAACCTTCAAAACGTACGACAAAATTAAAAACAATAAAAATCTAAAAATAAATCAGTCCGTAATGCAAAAACAATAAAAACGATAAAATCGGCCAGAGGGCAAATTATAAAGTAGAACCCCTAAGTCAAGAACAGGCGCACCCCCCACCATTTTTAATTTTAAAAGTCAATCATTACTTTCATTAGCCAATCAGATCGCTTCGTTCCTTATCAACCCATTGCATTTATTTTATTTTTTCCCCCCAAAAACAAAAACAATTAAATTTCCATTTTGATCAATCAAAAAATCCTACCATTTTCAGAAAAAAACTTTTTATTTAAAATTTAAAAAAAAGCTAATTAATGAAAACCCGTTTAGAAAACACCCCTTGACAAAGGTCGAATTGTCCGCCCCCGCCAGAAAATAAGATAAATTTTAAAACTTAATTTCTTCACAGTAAAGACATTCTTAAAAAATAACTAATGGATTGGATTCGTGGAATATTATCAATGAAATATGGATTGTTATTGTCTTCTATTAAATTTAAATAAACATTAAAAAATTAAATTCCTCAAAACGCACCCAATTTGACAAATCCGAACTTAAAAAAAAATCATGGGAATATAAACAATAACTAAATTTATTATTTTAATTATTTTTGATTTAAATATAAAATAAAAAAATTAAATTTATTGTTTTATTTATTTAAGATTTAAATAAAAATAAAATAAAATAAATCCAATATTTTCAATTTTGTGGCACAATTAAAATAATATTTATACTGAAAAAAGCTCCTTAATGTAAAATAAAACTTGGAAAATATCTAAAATAAATAAAATTATTATGAAAAAAGATGTTAAAAAAAGCTGTAAATGTATTATTTTATTTATTTATGATATAAATAAAAGTGAAATAAAACAAATTCAATCTTTTAAATTATTTTATTTATTTATTTATGTTTTAAATAAAAATAAAATAAATCCATTTTAAATTTTGTGGCATTTGTAAAAACTAAAATAAATTAAAATTCAATTAATTAAGGTTTTTAGTTGAGATAAAAAAGTGTCACGAGCGGGATTCGAACGCAAAACCTTCGGCTGAATTGTGAATTTAATAAATTAAAAAGATGATGAAAACAGGCATAAGATAAAAAATAGTAAAAAATACACCTAAAATATATGATTTTAGACAAATTCATGAAAAATAAATTTTTAAATTTATTATTTCATTTATTGTTTAAATAAAAATAAATTTAAAAAATTGATATTTAAACTTTGGTGTACTTTTATAATAATATTAAGTGTGTAGTGTTTAGTGACCGTTAGTTGATGATTTCTTGGAGATCGTGAGATGCGGTTTGGTGTGATGTAGGTTCAGAAAAACATTTTCTTTATCGTGTCAATGTTTCAATCTTTATTGAGATCATCATCAGGGCTCAATAAAGATTGAAACGTTGGCATGAAAAATAAAATGTTTTTCTGAACCCACACCAGACCGCATCTCACGATCTCCAAATAATAATATTAATATTGAATCCTGCCAAATGTTCCTTGCATTAACATTTTACAATAAATTTTATTTCTGTCTGTCAGTTAGGACAATTATTTTCAAATAAAAACATGACACTATGATACATTTGTGTATTATTTCTATTAAAAAAATAGAAAAATGATTTTTTTTAATGCCGTTTTGTTCAATAATTTTTTTTGTTTATAAATCACATTTCATTGGAATATTTTTTATTACATTAAGGATGTTTTTTTCAGTCTCAATTTTATTGTAAAAGTGCCTTAAAATTTAAATATTATATATATTTTTTTAATAAATAAGCTTTGCTCAATCCTAAAAGTAGGTTTGTAACTTGAATCAGTCCCAACATTCTCCAATAGGGAATTAAAACTAAAAACTAACACCCATCAGACTGGTTTAATCATCGAAACACTCAGCCTTACCGGAAAAAAAAAACAAAAAAAAAAATTGGAATGTTGAAGGAACACCCAAGCTGTGTTCAATTTAGCTGTGTACAAGAAAGTTGGTAACAAAATCTTTCTTGAAATATATAGTTGGTTTAACACTTTTAAAAAAACTAAAATATTAAATGTTCTTTCCACTGTTTGAGGAGCTGTCTCCTCCAGATTTGAGCACCATAGGAAATTATCGCCCTTGAGAGAGCATTATAAATTAATAATTTCAAGTCAAAAAGGGCTTTATTATTGGACTGATTTTTAATAATAACGAGGACCCCCCCCCCATCGTTGGTGGTCCAACAAAAATTTGAACACTTTGCTATAAAAAGAGAAAAAAAAAAGGCAAAAGTTAAAAAATAGCAAAACACTTCAAATTTCATGGCATGAAGCTTTTGTCGTATGCTAGGTGATGAACCTGTAATTTGATCATTACTGAACATCACGATCAGTTTGGCCTGGCATAGTTGATGTCAGAATATTAAAACTAGTGATTTAGGATGGTTTTAGATATTAATTATCATTGGAAAGTGCTATTTTATTAAATTAAAAGAGAGGAAAAATCTACTTAGCTTCTACACTTGCCACCAGAACCTCAATTTATATTTGCGCCCTGGAAGGAGGTTTGACTGTCGTAGAAAGGCCTCCGTCTCCTTTCAAATACGGTTTTTGTGATTTTAATTCAGTTCGCCCTTTATATTGATTTTTGTTGTAATTAAATTTATTTAATCTTGAAAGATTTTGAAAGTTAATAAAAGTTTATAATATTATCTGCTGGCCGGTGGAGATTTAAATCAGAGTTTTGAGAGCCAAATGTCGGGGAGGTTTCAAAATGCTGGTCGTTTTGAAGTTTTTTTTAAGGAAATCTTTTCAAAAATTTTTATACACTTATACACTTTTGTTTTTTGTAATTTTTGAATGAATGTTATTTAATAGTTTTTTTTATTAATATATATTTAAAAGTAATAAACCATTTCTTTTGTGGAAGGTTATTTTCTTAAACGAGGGAAATTTTCCGGGAGGTTGCAAAATGTTTATGCATTCAGCCGAGACTCCGAGAGTTACAAGACGTTTTAGAAACGGTCCTCATTTATTTTACTAATTTTCGAAGTTTCCCCCTCATTTTGACATAATGTAAACCGGGTAAGATTTTATTCAGTCTTATATTAAAAAAAGGAGCAGAGATGATTATCGAGTTCCGCATCTGGGTTTGGAGCGCGTTCGTGTCCGTCGGTGCTGTCGGCTCGGCCCCGTCTTCCTGGAGTTGGGCATGGCTCGGATTCTCGGATACGGAGGGCGAACGTCACGGTACAGGACCCAGGGTGGCATACGAGGAGCTGGATCCGGACGAAAAGTTCATCAACGAGGCCGGAAGGATCGCCGACCTCCCGCCGTCCCAGCTCGACGTCTGCGAACAAAAAGTAAGCATTCTAAGACTATCGTGGTCCGCCGGGTCTCGCTGTTTCATTTCTCCAGTCACCATGTTTGTACGTTAAGGTTATCTGTTGATGGCGAGACCTGGAGCCTGGAAGTGCTGAGCGCTATGGTTCCACCACTGCCACATTTTCTGAAAGATGTTTCTCTGTTTTACATTACCGACCTATTTTCCTTTAAAAAAAAAAAAAAGTAATTAGTCTATAGTTAGCTATTTTATGAATTTGTTTGAGAAGATTGTGCTGAAGTTGAAAACGAGCTGCGGACGCCTGAACAACGAAGGTATAGCAAGACTCGCCATCGGGCTGCTCAACTGCCAGTCAGACCTGGAAGGCCGGGAGACATATCCGTGCGACAATAATACGGTGAGGAAAAAACCTGAGAAATGTACTGTAACTTACTTTAAACAAAATTTTACAGCCTTTAGTGACGTGCACAAAGGACATGTCCCCCGAGGTGTGGAACACGTATCACATCATGACGAACCGTGCGAGAGCTGTTTGCTATGCGGCAAGACAACAGCATTTCCGCGCCTCGGCTGAGATGATAATAAACAAGCTAGTCGATACAACTAGAAGCCACTTGGAAGCCATCGAAAAATTCCAGGTAATAAAAATTGTTCTTTCGATTCCACTCGGTCTATAATTAAATTTTGTTCAGGAGAAACAGAAATCCGTCCAGGGCGAGGCGGACTTCACGCTCGAGAAGCTTTCCAAGAACCAAAGGGACGTTTTGCTGTCCTACTCGAAGATAAAATCCGCCGAGACTTTTCTTGTACAAAGATTGACGAGCGGAGTCGAGAAGATGAAAGAAGCCAACGAACGGCTACTAGAAAACCACGAGTTGGCGTTGCAACTTAGGGCCGAGATTCGGCATGGACTAGGTAATGTTAATAAAATGTTTTTAAAAATTTAAAATTAAATATTTTAAATTTCAAATAGACTCGGTTGCAAGGCAAATGGAGGATGAGATAAGAGACAGAGGCGCCGAACAGGACAAGGTCAAGGCTGAGCTGACAGAGCTGAAAGAAATCGTCGCCCGTATAAGAGACACAGTTGGTGAGTTGTACACGACACGTGTCATTGAGTTTAATAACAATTTTATTTTTCTCAGTCGAGACATTGGGCCAGTTGAAAAAGAAAGATGATGATTTGAACCGTGGTTATGAAAGGAGTTTCAAGACAGTGGACGAAATCAACCACCGGCTTGACTCAATACTCTCGTGTGTAAATTCGGCGAAAGAAGTCGTCAGGAGTGCATTCAAACATTTTGAAAGATTCTCCGGCGTAGACGGTATAATTTCAATTATTTTGTACAAAGATTTTAAGAAGATTTTTTAAAATGTATATTTCAGGCGAAAACCTGAACACTTTGCTTGAAATGACGGCACACGGCCTGTGCATGGCGATCGCAATGATCTTTTGTTCCTTTTTCTACGTACCTTTATTCCTCAGGTGGCTTCTGATTTTGAGCGCCATTCTCAATTTTTCCCTTGTGCACTTTCGCCAGGCTAATGCCGGCCTGGTCGGGTTTTACGGCGCCGCAATAATCATTGCCTTGAGTAAATATAGCAATTTTAATTATTTAATGTTAATTATTTTTTCTACTGCTCCTCTATCTTTAGCGCATCGCCTGTTCATCGCGGTAAGGAATTACAACAAAAACTACAGCCGGACAAATGGAATGATGCAGAAGGCAATGACGCTGAGGCGGGATTACACCAGAATCAACGATGATGATTCATTGTCTAAAGTCGATGCTTGGCTCACTGGTAAAGTTTCACACTTATATTTCTAGAGAATAAAGGACTGGCCTTATAACTGATTGATTTTCTGCCTGATTAAGGAAACTAGTGCATAAATGAACTACTTAGAAACTCAGAATGATTCAGGAATTTAGCAAATGTTTGGTAAATGATTGATTGAAAGTCAGAAGTACATTTTTAATTGATTGATTGCATCATGACTGGATTGAGGATTGTAATTGATTGATTTGGTAAGAGTCTGAAGTTAATTTGTATCCATTGGTTGAATGAGTAATTGGATTGTGTTCTACTATTCTTAACTAAATGATAGAAGTTAATTTGTAATTTATAGATCAATTTGGGTTTTATAGCCGATTGATTGAATGAGTTACTCGTGGTTATTTGTATCCGATTAATCGTGTCAATGAATAGATCGAGTTTGTTGCTGATTGATCAAATGAGTGGTGTATTGAATTTTTTACTGATGGATTGGATAGCAAAGTGATAGAAGTTAATTTGTAACTGATTGGATTCAGTTTGAAAATTATTGATTGAAAGTCAGAAGTGAATTTGTAATCGATTGATTGAAAGAACGTATAGAATTAGATTCATAATGGATTGATTTGGTGAGTGACTGGAGTTAATTTGTATCCGATTGATTGGATTGAGTATGTAACTGATGCATTGGATGGTGACTAAACGATATAAGTTACTTTTGTAATTTATTGATCAAGTTGGGCTTTATATCAGATTGATTTAATTGAAATTACTAGATTGAGTTTTATAACTGATTGATGATTAATTGAGTAGTGCAAGTGATTGTTTTAGCGAGTGATGGAAGTTAATTGTATCCGATTGATTGGATTGAATTTTTAACTGATTGAATGAATGAGTTAGCAGATTGAGTTTGTAACTGATGGATTGAATGAATGACTAAATGCCAGAAGTTAATTTATCACCGATTGATTGGACTGAGTTTGAAACTGATTGATTGAATGTCAGAAGTGAATTTTTAATAAGATTGATTGAACCAGTGACTGGTTTGAGTGCTGTAACTGATTGATTTGTCGAGTGACTGAAGTTAATTTGTATCTGAGTGATTGGTTGTTTGTAACTGATTGATTGGATGAGTTTTATAATTGATGTAATGAGTAACATTATAGTTTGTATCTGATTGATGAAATGAGTGAGTACATTTAGTTTGTAACTGATGGATTGGATGGTTAAGGGCCAGAAGTTAATTTGTAATTGATTGATTGGATTGAGTATTATAACAGATTGATTGCTAATCAGAATTGAATTTGTAATCAATTGAATCAGTGACTAGATTGAGGATTGTAACTGATTGATTGGATTGATTTTTATAACTGACTGATTTGATGAATGACTGCATTTAATTTGTATAAAATTGGTTGTATGAGTGTGTAACTGATGGAGATTGGATGAATGACTAAATGATGATAATTAATTTGTAATTTATTGATCAGAATGAGTTTTATAGCTGATTGATTGAACAAGTGACTTATGAAAATTTGTATCTAATTTGTTACTGATTGAATGAAGCGAATCTTTTACTGATACATTGAATCAGTGACTGTATTGAAGTTGTAATGGATTGATTGGACAAAAACTGATTGTAATTTGTAATCGATTTCTTGAATCAGTGACTGGATTTTGTTTGTTACCGATTGATTGGACGTTAGAAGTGAATTTGTAGTCGATTTATTGGTTTGTTTGGTACTGATTGATCGAATCAGTGACTTATTGCGTTTGGAACTGAATGAATGAAATGAATACTAAACTGATTTATTTGAAGATAATTGAATTCACAAGTCTGTTTTTAACATTGAAACATTTCGTGATAATTTTTTTTCTGCTGCCAGGTAAATACAACGGTGACAGTACTTTCATCAACAGAAACGGAGTGAATTCCTTCACATGTCCAGTCGAACCAGTAATCAATTTTTTCTTTCTTTATTTTTTAATCTACTAATTAACAACAACTAAAAAACAAAATCGTTACAGTTGCACAAACAAGACGATGATCAGTCTGTTGCTTCAAGCTTGCGTAGAAGGGAGCAACGCCATACGACTCCTTCGCATTCGGTTGCCAGCTCTGGGAAGACGCTATGTGCCAGTGTCACACGGGTCGGCGCACCTTGTAGGAACAAGGCCTTCCGTGGCAGCACTTACTGTCGATCTCACCTAAGATAGATTTTACGGAAATTTGTGTGTGTGTGTGTAATTTTTTGTTTTTGACACTTTGTAATATAATTGTTTTTATTACTTTGATTTTTTTTTAATGTTACAAATGATGTTGTAAATGATAATTAGAGATCATTTTGGCTAGTTACTTTTTATTTTTTATTAATTTAAGATATTTTTTCTTGTCGATAATGCCGATGTCATCATTTTCGATAACCACTTTCACCTTCGGCCTGCGTCGTTCGAGTCGCGCTTTCGCCTCCGCTTCCGAAAGAGTCGACAGGTCTAGAGGCAACTGAGTACAATGTTTTTATTACCAAATGGGAAGAATTAAATTATTTACCATATGTATTTATACCTTTATTATTTGTTGAGGCTCATGGTAGCGTACGGTGATACTCGAACCATCTGACAGGACCACCTTCGTAGGATACTCGAGAAAATACTTTCCTCGGTGGGGCCTCGTCAAAGCGGCGCTCGCGCTGCTCAGACCGCATCTCAACCTGCGAAAACAGTCAGAGGAAGTATTGTAAAGGGAGAAAAAAAACTACGATATCAATGGACACTTTTTCTATCTAAATGAAGGACAAAAAAAAGGTGAAAATTTAAAATTTTCTTCAACAGGATTAAATAAATTACTGTGATTTTGAAGAAGAAAAAAAAAAGAGAACTTTTTTATTTAATTATTTAATCTTTTGCTTTAGTAACTATTTTCTATAATTTAATTTTAAATTTAAAACCCAACTTTAATTTACACAGAACCTTGTATAATATTTAAATGATAATGTGCCGGGGGGAACAGTGCCATGATGAGTGAAAAAAAAAAAAAAAAATCCATTGGATGGAAATATAAAAAACCCCAGAATGTCCAGTAGATGCTGCTGAAAACATTTGACCCAATGTTTTTCTTCACCGGTTAGTCGGGCTTTTCCAGCAGCATCAGGGCATTACCTAACACTAGGGTTGAGCAATAAAGCCACTTGTCAGGGCAACTGTAATTACCTCTGTGGCGGTCGCCTAGGAACGGCCTGCATTTCCCAATCACAAACACCCGGGCGTTTTTATTTCGCTTTGTTTACACCGTGTCTGGGTTATTTGTGGAAGAGTAGATAGACTCTCAGAATTGTAGGCACTTCTGATGGCCCAAAAATTATGCAACACGCATTCCCAACAATTAGCCGAAATATTCTACTTTTCCAGTTTAATACTAAAAATGAACGACGGTCACGATAGCTCAAGTAGTTAGAGCAGCGGCGTATTGAACCGAAGGTCGTGGGTTCGAATCCCGCTCGTGACACTTTTTCATCTCAACCAAGACCTTACATCAAAAGAATAATTAATTGAAAGAAGTAATTTGGTCTATTAAACCCCTAAACATAAATAGATTAATAATTCAAAATGAATTTTAATCCCCATAAAAATTTGATTTAAGATACGTATTAGTAATTATAATAAATTATAATTTTTACACTTACAAGTGGATTTTAAGCATTTGTCTGTTATTACCGACTTTTATCAATGATAAGGTAAAGCCCAGGTTATAAAGCAGGTATGTTAATTTATAATTTGCTTATTTTTTTGAATGAGTATTGTTAATAATGTTGAAATTATATGTATATTTGGATTTTAATTCTTTAAATAATTTTTACAATTCATATACTTTTAATAATAATAGTAAATTAATTATAGGTAGAATACGTATTTTTTTGTGGGGGAGTTCGTGATTATTGTTAAATGAAATTCAAAAAATCTGTTCGCTTCTTTATTTTATTTTTTTTGTTTACCTTTGTTTTTCTTTTTTAATTTTTAGTTTATATTTCGGATTGAGATGTAGGGCAAATTTTATTTACGTGATACAAATATCCGGCCGGTGGGTCCCCAGCCTGTTCTCATCCCCCGGCAGAGCCTTGTTAAGGTTATGTTTTTGTAAGTTTGTAGTGCGCTGATTTTCACAATTCAAGTTCCACGGAAGTTAGCCGTTTCCTACATGTAAAAATTGTCCGGAAAAAAAATAGATCAGAAGTCGTTAAATTTAATTTTGTAAAGATTCCCGTCTGAGTCCAACGTCCGAAGGCCGGCGGGAGGTATTTTTCAAGTAAATAGGACGAAAGAGGAAACAAGCGGCCATGGGCGTGCCGAAGTTCTTCCGATATATATCTGCCAGGTACCCTTGCATAATAGAACACCTGAGAGAGCACGAGGTAATATTTACCAAAGAATGCCAAACTATAATAATAATCGAAGAAAAAAAAAAAAAAAAATTTACTTAATTTCCAGCTGCCCGAATTCGACAATTTCTACCTGGACATGAACGGCATCATCCATACTTGTTCGCACACCGACAAAATCGAATCTTCTCTCCCGGAGGAGGAAATATTCAAAGAGATATTTCGTTATGTGGAGGTAAAACAACAACAACAACAAAAATCTCTCATTGTTAAATCAATCTCGTTTTTAGCTTCTGTTCAACACAATCCAGCCGAAGAAGCTGTTCATGCTCGCTGTCGACGGTGTAGCACCTAGGGCAAAGATAAACCAACAGAGAGGACGGAGGTCAAAATAGTCAAAACCATCTTAATTCGTCCCTTATTTTTCTTCTTGAATGTTTTTCAGGTTCAGGACGGCCAGGTCGGTCGAGGTGGAAAAGAAAAAGCTCATGAAGAAGAACCAGACCGTCCCGGAAGAATTGTTTGACACAAACTGCATAACCCCGGGCACAGAGTTCATGGCGAGGCTTGACGAACAACTTCAGTATTTTATCAACTATAAAATCACGACGGACAAGAAGTGGCAGAAGCCGAAAATAATATTCTCTGGCGTCCATGTACATAAATGATTTTTAGTTTAAGAATGAAAGTAAACTAAATATCCCTGAACATGACATGAATTATTGACGAGTACAATAACCACCTGGGCTAATGAATGACCTTTTTATTGACTGACATGACGGATTGATAAATGACCAACACATTGACCATCGAACTGAATGACTACTGATTGACCGTTACATTGACCCCCCCTTCAGTATTATTCACACTTACAGATAATTGTGAAATCAATAAAATGACTCATTAATTATTGACCATCAGACTAAATAGTAAACTGAACAACTGATAAGTTGCTGATAGATCATTACAGTAAACAGAATAATATACAGACTGACTTATAGATAAATAATCAATTTATCGACCAATACAGTAACCATCTGGCCCAACAAACAATCATTTCAATATAGAATGAACGACTGATACATTTACCGACCTGACAAATTGATAAATGATCAATACATTGACCTGAATGACTACTGATTCAGCATTATATTGTCCTCCCCCAGCGTATTATTAAAACTTACTGTTCTCGATGTAAAGAAAGGCATGTTTTCATTTTCTTACTCATAACGTGATATTGTATGTTCACAATTATTTATAAATTTATGAAATTGTTTTTTGCCTTGAGAAAGACTAAGTATATAATCGAAAGCTTAGCATTAAAACAAACCCTTGCTGTTTATCTTGACCACAAACCCGATAACTGAGAGCATTGAATTAACTGGTTGATAAACTACATCGCTGATTAAAAATTACAGAAAATTGTGTAATTGATAAATTGACTCATTAAATATTGACCATCAGACTAAATAGCCAACTGAACAACTGAGACTGGCTTATAAATAAATAATCAATAAATTACCTGATGAATTATTGACCAATACAGTAACCTTCTGGCCCAATGAACAACCATATTAAAATTAGAATGAATTACCGAAACATTGAACGACCTGACAGATTGATAAATGACCAATACATTGACCATCGGACTGAATAACTACCGATCGATCGTTACATTGACCTCCCCACCCTCTGCAGTATCATTTACATTTAAAGAGAATTGTGTTATCGACAAATTGACTGATTAATCATTGGCCGCCATACTACACTGTCAACTGAGCAACTAATCAGTTGACTGATAACTGCTTGATCATTGCACTGACTAGAATAATTTATGATTAATAAATTAACCGATGACTATTGACCATTTCAGCCATCACATGATTGGTGGATGGAAAGGAATAACCGAATTAAATATAGAATGCCACCTGACCTGATGACAAAGCGTATTAAGATGATTGACTGATGAATAAATGTCCAATGTTTTTACCACCCTGACAGAATGACAAATATTGACTGATAACTTTTTGACCAAAACTTTGGCTACCTGACCTCAACGATCCAACTGAATTTAATTAATGATAAACTGACCACCTTGTCTGATAGTAAATGACTATTGAACCAAATGACTGACAATTTAGATTATGTAGGTTATAGATTATTTAAGTCAAATAATTCCTGTCATACAGGACTCGAACCATTGTTGGTGACACAGACGAAGGTTCCAACCTCTAAATTAATTTTATTTTTTATATTGTTCTCAATTCAAAAGTCAAGAGCCTCAAGTCAGATACCCTGACCATAGTCCCCAAATATAATTTATTTATATTTGTGATTTTATATATATTAATGATTGATAAATCAATCTTACTGATAAATGATTGAACAACCGATCGAATGATGCATCGGCTGAATGGTTGAATGATATGTTGACTACCTGCTTTATGACTTGAGGCTGTTGGCCTAATAGTTCATTGGCTGAATTAAACTATTGAATTACTGTCTGTAAATGATTTTTTGATTCGTATTTTTTCAAGGTACCCGGGGAAGGCGAGCACAAAGTTATGGACTACATAAGGTACCTGAAGGCGCAGGACGACTGGGACCCGGACACGTCGCACTGCCTCCACGGGATGGACGCCGATCTCATAATGCTCGGCCTGTGCACGCACCAGCCGAATTTCTCCATACTCAGGGAAGAGGTGACGTGCGGTTCAATACGTCTGAAAAGGAAATCGATCGAAGTTTTTGATTTCCTCCACCTCTCATTACTCCGCGAATACATTGACCTCGAGTTCAAAAAGTTGAAAGACGTTTTGCCTTTTCCGTACGAATTAGAGAGGATAATCGACGACTGGGTAAAAGGATTTTATTTTATTTATTTTTTAAGCAAGATTTTTATAATTTTTTTTCTCTAAATTTAATACAGATCTTGATGTGTTTTCTTATCGGTAATGACTTCCTGCCCAACATACCAACTTTTTACATAGCAAAGAACATACTTGCCACACTGTTTGAGAAGTACATCGAAATCCTTCCTACACTCGGAGGTTCGTTTTTTTTTTTTTTTTTTTTTTTTTTTTTTTTTTTTTTTTTTTTTTTTTTTTTTTTTTCTTTTCTTCTTCCTCTAAATAATTTGGAGGTTTGTGTTTTAAGTTGTTATTTTTTGAATTTTGACTTTTTTTGTTTTTAAGGCTACATCAACGAATACGGCACGCTCAATTTGGAACGCTTTGAGAAATATTTACAGAAAATGGCCGTCTGGGAGTTTGAAGTGTTCAAAGAGAACTTCGGTTTGTTCCAAGTCAAGGATATGGACCAGGCCAATGAAAATGCCGGTCAGGTTGTAAAGGTAAACTCAACCGTATGTTAAAGCTTCAATTAATACCTGCTAACTATAAAAAAGAATTAGAAACTATTAAAACCTTAGCAAAAAACAACTGGTATCAAAAAATATTTATTGATAGGTTGCTAGTTAAAAGAATAAAAAAATTAACTTTAAACGAATCAATAATAGGACTCAGCCACCCCACCACAAATGAATCATTAGGTTTCCGTTGTTTGCCATACATTGGCGAATTATCGGAAAAAGTTAGTAAAATTTTTAAACAAGAAGTACGGATTCACTTAAAAGCATCCTCTAAAACCTAAAGAAAAAGTAGACAACTTGGCAAAAAGCGGGGTTTACCAACTCAATTGTAATGATTGTGATATTAAATATGTAGGACAAAGCGGTAGAGAAATAAAAACAAGAGTAAAAGAACACTTGCCTAAATTGAGCAAATTTTTTGGAATTTAAGGACCATCTAAAAGGAACAAAACATAATTCAAATCTAAATACAAGAGTTACATAATTTCAACAAAGAGAAAGAACTAGATTGGTTTGAGAAATTTGAAATTAAAAAATGTAAAATTGAACATGGTGATAAATGCATTAATAATATAACAGATTTTGATCTACCACCCATTTTAAATATGTACATAAATAATATCAAACATCCAAATAATTAAACTAATTATTTTAATTGTTATTATTTTTATAGTAATTTAATAATATTAAGTATTTACTATTATAATGTTTATTTGTGTTATAATTTCTGCATTTCGTACGTTCAAATTGAGTGCCATTAAAAAAATCAGCTGCTAATTTGAACGTCGTGTTGGCGGAGGTATCAGCGGGTTCATTTTGGCAATTTATGTCGAGAGATTTGGTTGTAGAAGGAAGTCCTTCAACCTGATGATGAGCTAAAAGGCTCGAAATCGAGATCGTTGCAAAACAACTTACTGAAGTAGGAACTATCTTTTTAAAAAGGATTTAACGTATTTCCTTCAACTTCCTTTATTTTCTGAGGAAATTTTTGACTTATTTAACTTTCACCCCATTCCAGGAAAATTGAAAAATGAATTTGTTACAATAATATCAGATAAAAATTATGCGTTAAAATCGAAAAATAATAAAATTATAACTCTTAATGGAGGCTGTGTTAAGCGCAGGGTATACCAATGTTAATATCCACTCATCAAGATTACTGATCAGAAGAGATCAAGATTCCTGTACGGTAGAACTACTGTTGACTGGAAACACTACACTTTGCAAATTAAGTGAACTCACAATCGAGGATAATCAACTAATCTTTACTTTCTGGCGATATTCACAACCCCTGATAACATCAAGATACAAGATAGTTTCATTGAAACATCAACCTATCAATTTCACCAAAGCAATCTTCAGGGATATCGTGAAACTACGGAACCTAGCCTAAAGAAGATTTCGCCGATTTTAACTCAATAAACATGTCCACCTCCATGCTAACCTATCCAACCATATGGACATGCATACTGTATATTAATTGTAATCATCATATGTTGTACAATTAGCTATAAGAAATTAGAAAGATATGTGAAATTATCTGTTTACAACGCTTAGATACAGGTGTCATTCCTAGTATTATAGTCAACACTTTCTCCCACCCAAGAGATCTAATTATTTATTTCTATATTTTTAATTACGATTCCTTGCCTAGAGCTTGATGAGAGTACATCGTTAAATTAGGTTAAACTTGCTCTTGTAACTTCAAATAAAGTTTATTTTTACAAAGGAATCCGCAGTTCAAGTTATTTAATATTAAATAACATATATTAAATATATAACTTCAACTGCGGATTCTTTTTTAAAAGAAACTTTATTTGAAGTTACAAGAACAAGTTTAACCTAATTTAATGATGTACTCTCCTCAAGGAATCGTAATTAAGTTTTATCTAATTTATTGTTATTTATTATTTATTGTTTATTATTTATATTAGACATTGTTTCTTCTAGAACGAGCTTGACAGTGAAAGGTGGAACATTAACGGTACAGAACTGGCCAAAATAATCCGAGATGCTAAGGATCATGTAAATAAAATGTTTAGTAAACAACATGAATTGTCACCCGATGAAGATGGCAATAGTGATGATGAAGAGGCTTACAGGGCTGAATTCGACTTAAACAAGAAACACTACTATTTAACCAAATTTGAGGACAAACTGTCCAAGTAAGCCATTTATTTATTTACTTTTTCATGAGGTTTTTTTTATTAGTATTATTATTTAATTAGTTATCTGTTTATTTTTATTATTTCAATTTTTTTTTCTCAATCATCTTTGCATAAAAATTGTAAATAATATGGATAATAATAATTTTTTTAAGGGAGGAAGTTTCTCAGACTGTCGAGGAATATGTAAAAGCGATCACGTGGATGCTCACGTATTATTACAAAGGCTGCCAGTCATGGTCATGGTACTACCCTTTTCACTACACGCCGCAGCTGTCCGACATGCACAGCTTCAGTGACAAGGTGTTCACGTTCCCAGACGATGAGCCTTTACAGCCGCTCCAGCAGCTTGTCTCTGTCCTCCCTTCCCAAAGGTGAGCTTTTATTTATTTTATTTTTATTTATTTATTTATTTTTTTAATGAAAAGTTTAACAATTATCCTTACGTTACAACCGGTAGCCCGTGTTACACCTTCCTTTTGTGGCTTCAATATTGGCGGTAGCTCCGTGGGGAAGGGGGATGTGTTGTTGTGACACAGTCGTTTTAACGAGAGACAAGTCGTTTGGGGGGGGGGAATCGATTTACTAATATAACGTCAGGCGCCATGGTACTTTTTGTGAAGGGTCAACCCAAGGAAAAGAAAGAAGAAAGGGGTGGGGAAAAAAAGAGAGAAGGAAGCACAGGTATGGTTCCCATGGTGAAACTTATCCGATGTAGCCCTTCTTGTCCCGGTGAAGTCGCGCTTCCACCCAAATTATGGGAATTAACTTTTTTACTAGATGAGTGGAAATCCATGAAGGTCTAAGTGCTGTTTGGAAATTTTTCAGCAAGTGAGATTTTGTTATTATTTAAATATATTTATTATAAATTAATTTTTTCTGTCCTAATGTTTAGGGATGGTTAGGGACTACTAATACATAAAGAGATTGTAAAGGTTTATTCATTACTATATGTTTAATTATTTTAAAAATGAAATATAGTTTGCAGAAAGTTCTATCTGCATAAGCAATTTTCCTTCAAAACTCTCAACGTCCCCAGTTTAGTGGCTTACAAATGATCTAAGTGCCACAATAAGTTTACTACTCTTTTGAGAGGAGTATTATAAAATGTGTGGTGATTAGTGACTGTTAATTGATAATTATTCAGAAATTGTGAGAGCCCACTCAACACGACACACAAGAATGGCACAACTACTCAGAAGACAAACACTTTGAGCCCTGAAGATGATCTCAATAAAGATCGAAACGTTGGCACGATAAAGAAAATGTTTTTCTGAAACCTACATCACACCAGACCGCATCTCACAATTTCTGAATAATTATAAAATGTGTTTTGTGTGTTTATGAGACTGTGTGTGTATGAAATAGGGAGATGTGCATATACACCAGTAAAATATTGAACTTATACCTACTTACCTTAAAGCTATTATAAAAAAGATGATTAGGGTTTAAACTATGAATAAAAAAGAGAAAAATTACAAGTAACTTATTATATTTAGAACAAAATATACATTTTTTCTTTTACATGAAGCTAATACAAAACAGATACACTTAATAACTAAAGTGTCATATTATCAGGTTTGATAGAGAATTATAAAAAGAAGGGTGTAAGATACTTTTCCGTGTAGATCCTTCAGACTTCAGGTTGCACCATGTGCACCGTGTTCAACTTACCGCATTGTAGATCGTAATTTCTTTCCTATCCGTATGGAGCCCACCGCTACCTGCGATCGCCTCTGGGTCAGGATCATTCAGGCCACGAATTGCTTCTGGCTATTCACTTCTCACCTAGGCTCAATTCAAATATATATTGCCCATTTTCGTAGTTATTCTGATCTGAAGTTGATCCAGATTTTTGAAGGCTTCTGCTCTCAGTGGATGCGGCCTTAAGAAAAGGAACTAATGTGTGTAACGTTTAGTAAAATTTTTGCATTAAACCTGTTAACCGTTTCTGTTGACAATCCACCTGGTCTCTTCTAAATAAACAAAATGCTTTTGCAAAATCGTGTACAATAAAATGAAAGTGCGAACCTCAGCCTGGTCACAGCTCATTCCATCCCTCGCACAGGCAAAATCTCTTCTCAAAACAACATGAAGAAAAGTCCCATAAACAGAGAAAAAGGTCCTTTTTTTTTTTCTTTTATCAACTTGATCGAAATTTGTTGGAAATTTGAACATCACCTGTCCTCTCTCTCCCTCACTCATTCAGGCCACCTCATGCATCTTCAAACTCGTTCAACAATGCCGAGGGCATCCTCATACAAGCTGAATCCTTTGTCGCCCCAGTGCAAAAAATAAAAGCAAACTATTTTTACCCTATTTACCATTTGTAGCAAAACATAACCTATGAAGATGAAACCTTTGGACGGTTCCCCTCACCAGAGCTCTCAACCGAGACCACCAGCTTTTCCTCCGATGGGTTCATAAAACACATTACTTTTTGGTTTTTATCCTCCACGCTCCGCCTTTCATTGTCTGGTGTCAATGCAACTGCCAGCATCTGGGTGTAAAGTTATGTAACATTTTATCATATCCTATGAAAATGAACTTTTTCACTGTTTACTCATTCATGCTGCCGCTGTCAGTCCAGATCACTTCCCCCTGGTGGATTTATACAAGACATGCTTTTCATCTTTTACCCTTTAGGCCTGCTGTACATCATACAGTTTCTATAGTGTCGGGTCCGCCAATTTCAGATATTATTGGGGTTTTAAACAGATTTTTGTCTGCCTGCCTCCAAATTTGGTTATATGTGTGTAAGGTTTTTGCAACATTTTCATAACCTAGAAAGGTGAAACCTACTCATTCCACCACTGTCACCCCACAGTCATTCCCCTCGTGGATTTCTTCGAGGCATAGTTTTTCATCTTTTACCTTGCATGATGATCTGCTTTACATCATCCAGTATCAATGTTACCTTGGTGTGCATTCTACAGAGCTCCAATGTTAAAGAGATTTTAAACAAATTTTAGCCTCCAATGTCAAATTTGGCTATACGCGTGTAAGGTTTTGTAATGATTTCATAACCTACAAAAGTGTAACTTTTTGACTGGTTATCACTCACTTGAACTCTAAACCAAGACCACCTAACTTTCCCCGTTTGACAACTTTGACAGACATCAATGAGATTTCACAGTTATTCTTACTTGTTCTTTATTTTTCAGCCATAAGCTTTTGCCTAAAGCCTTCCAGCATTTGTTGATATCACCGGATTCACCAATTTCCAGCTACTACCCTGTAGACTTTCAGTTGGACTTCAACGGGAAGCTGAACGAATGGGAGGCCATTGTGGTGATTCCTTTTATTGATCAGGTTTGTTCGATCTTTTTTTTTCGATTTTTTAAATTTTTTTTTATTTATGTACCGTAAATTAATGTTATTTTGATACAGGAGAAATTGGTAGATGCCATGGCACCATATTACAAAGATCTGACAGAAGAAGAAGTCCTCCGAAATGGTGAAAGGCCATTGTTAATATATTCATATTCGGCCGAGCCCAGTGGGACGTTCAAATCGCCAGGTTATTTCCCAGATATTGTATCGAACCGGGCAATGTCTGTCTCTTTGTCGAGGAAGGAGCTGATCATCGACGAAGCGAGGCTCATGGCCAGTATGGAGCCACGTGTCAGCAAGGGCCAGCTCTGCCGGCTGAACACGTTTCGCGATGTCAAGCTAACGACGAGGCTCGAATACGGACGAGTGTACTTGTCGAACGTGTCATACCAGACGTTGATGCTCCATATACACAAACGCAACATCAGCATGGTGATGAGCTGGTCGGATGAAAATCAGCCCTCCGACGATTTGGACGCCGAGGTGGAATGTGATACTGACATTGACAAATTGGAAGAAATCGCGGTGTCCCTCATCGCTAAAGAAGTCTTCGTAAATTGGCCTCATCTCTCTCGTGCCTTGTAAGTAACCAGTATGAAAATACAGTTATTACGTTTTTACTTTTCAATTATTGACTTCCTTTCCCAGGGTGGTATCGGTTGTGTCCAAGACGCATAAATTTATGAAAAACGAATCAGGAGAATTGGTGAAAAAAGAACTCAATGCTTTGGAAAGATCAATATTCATATCACAACTTACAGAAATAAAACATAAGTAAGTAGTTTTAATCTTTTTTTTTTCTTTTTTTTAAAAATAAATATTTAATATTATTTATAATTTTAGGTATAAATCAAATCAAGGAATTGTACTTGGCCCGGTCCAAGTCATCATCCAAGTCAGAAAGAACGAGGGCAAAAAGTACGAGTTCAAGTCAGACGGTAAAGTAAACTTGGTCTACAATGTAAGCATAAATATCTTTTATCCAGTTTTTAATTTTATTGAATCATCTACACTTTTTCAGTGGTCAACAACGCTCACGCCCGTACCATATGAGTTGGTTGTACAGTTAGACGGCTACTCGTACGACATCACAAATGCCGAAATGGATCTCAACGAGGTTTTCGCCCCAGGTGACGTCTGTTTCTTCCTTGGTAGCCAGTATTACGGGGCCAAAGCAACCGTCATAAACGGCAACGTCAACGGCAAAGTGAAGGTAAACATTGAAGTGCCTCCTGAGCCCAATTTCAGCGGCCTCGTCACCGATGGTGAGGATTCTCATGTTAAATACTTATCAGGTAAGTTTTACATTCATAACCTTTTCATGTAAAACATACTGCGTAACATTTTATGAACAATAATTTATTTATCATAAATTCAACAGCTTCTCAAATGTCTCAAATTCTACTGACGATGGGAGCCAAGGCGATTGCACATTTCGCCGGTGCTGTGATTGTGAACTCTCCCACCATGGGAAAGATGAATATTGGATTAAATTTGAAATTTAACAAGTTCAAAAAACAGGTGTCTAGTTTTTTCTTATTTTATTTCATTTATTTATTTATTTTTTACAATATTTATCATTGTGTTACAAAAAGATCATTGGGTATTCGAAAAAAGTCGACAATAAATACTGGAAGTATTCAACGGGAGTGATGAACGTGTTGACCGAATACCGAGACGCTTTCCCGAAACTCTTTGAACACGCTGAAATGGTGCATGACAGCAAGCTTAACCTCCAGGAGGTGTACGGTGAAGACGCTGACGAAAAAGTGGAAGAGATATTGGAGTGGGTGAATGAGAAAAAGAAAGAGTTGAACTGGAGCCAACTCAAGAGGATGTTTGGGAGCAAACTCCTGATGCCAGCGACAATCGCGAAAATGGAAAACGTACTCGCGCAAACATCCTCGAGAGGGATCGAACCTCATTTCGTCGAACTCGTTGTCCGTCCGCATGACCTTTACATTGTAAGTTGTTGCTTCTGTTCTGAACCGAATTATCTGAATTATTTTTATTTTTTATTTTTTTTTTTTAAATTATTTCAGCCAGAGCAAAAGGTACCGTTGAAATGCATCGATATGTCCACCTCGGTCGAGCTGCTTGATAGAGTCGTTTTTGTAGTTAAGAACCACAAGATCCCTCTCGGCAGTAAGGGAACAATAGTCGGTAAGTTTAAAAAAATTATCTTTTTTACCGTTCTACCAATGCATGCTACTCCACGAACAAAACATCAGCAGTAACAGAGGGATTGAATAATGTAATTTGTCATCGAACATGTCGGATCTGATAGTCATTACAGATAATCGTATATCAGAAAGCATTCGTGTCTTGTCCAACTGTCAAATCTGGCAATCAGGATGCAGGTTTTTTTTGGGGGGGGGATTTTTTTACCTTTGAAATTTGTTTTATTTATTATATATAATAATAATATAATTTATTATATATAATAATATAATAATTATATATTAAAAATATATAAACTTTTATGTAAATATACTTTATATGTAAATTTTGTTGTGGGATGTTTATGGTTTAGGCATAGCTTTAGGTAAAGGTTGCAGTTCGAATTTTGCAGCCCTGCATACAAAAACACTGGTACTCTGAGGGTTGATATGACCAGGGATAATAGGAAAACCTCAAATTTATGACTTAGAAGCGTTTTCTTCTATCTGCATACCAATCAGCACAGTATCGCATATGGTAACATACTTAAAGTTTATTACAAGTTGGGTCCATTATTGCTTGAGTTAGCGTTCAGGTTCCGTTTGTTACTCGTCTCAATGGACTGATGGTCCCCGACTGAACAATTCTACGATTTTTTCCAAAAGGAAAACAAGAACCGGGAAAAAGGAAATATACAACCACACACATCAAATAAAAAACTATAATTTGACCTTTTGAAATCCGATAAAAGTTATATTTACAAAAAATGTTGTGTGATAGAAACAAACCGAAAAAAATATCTTGTTAACAAAAAATAAAAAATTCCTCTTAAGAACAAAAAAAACAACACAATTTCAACCTTAATCAATTTTTTAAAAAAATTTACAAATGCGATTAATTAAAAGAAGGAGCGGGCACACTCCCTGAAGGAACAAGGATTCAGGAATTTATAGGAAATAAAGTATTTTGGCTCACCGTTGTCAACTTGCTCGTGTCCAGTCACACAATGCCTTCTCCCCGCTTTTCTTATCCTTCTCCCGGGGAAGAAGGTCCCCACCAGGGTTGCTTGTAAATCAATTTTGCACCCTTACACGTTGATGCTTTGTTCCACTATTGAATCGTATTCTATGATTTTGTCTCTCAACTTTTGAGCGAATTGGAAAATTTGTCAAAAATTTTCTATTGTCATTCCTGTTTTTTCGTTCTGTTATTCTTGGTTGAATCTCTAGAACTAAACAAGGGAAGTGGGCATCTGCAGATGAGTGAAAGTGCTTGGCCTACTCCTAGCCAACTCCTGCCCAACTCCTACTGACTCCTGACCAATCTTAGACTAATCCTGGCCTACTCTCAGCCAACTCGTACAGACTCATGACTACTCCTCTCTTAGTCTAATCCTGGCCTACTCCTAGCAAACTCTTGCCTGACTCCTAGCCAATTCCTGGCCTACTCCTGCCTGATTTCTACTGACCCCTAGCCAACTCTTAGCCTACTCCTGGTCAACTCTTAGACAACACCTGGCCTACTCCTGCCCGACTTTTACTGACTCCTGGCCTACTCCTGCGCAACTCCTACTGCCCGCAATGGATGCCCCTGACCATGACCACTCAGCTCTGGCAGCTACCCCACGAGAGCTCTCCAGTTTTTCTTTTGGATTGTAATTAAGCCAATCAGTCAAGGTGAAAGTGGGAAACCAGTCTAGCTTATTAGTCCCACCAGTCTAGTCTAGAAATACTGTTATGATTCCTTGTGACCCGATTGCCTGTTTTTCTTTGCCAGTTTGGTGTCCCTTAATCCAGGCATTAGCTGATCCTGGGGGTCGAACAAAAAGGCGACTTGTTAGCCCGACAGTACATATTTCCTTGGCGATAACCCGAGAACGGTCCACATCTTCCAGTCATAAACACCCGGGCGCTTTTTATTTCGCTTTGTATAGGGTGTGTCTGGGGGTTTTGTGGAAGGAGTAGACTCTCAGGATTTGGGGACACTTCCAATGGCCCAAGTCATAAATACTACACTTTCCTGACAAGTAGCCAAAATATTCTCTTTTGCCCATATGAATATTTAAAATATATTTTAATCCCCATAGAAATTTGTTGAAGATTCTCTTTTTTGCAATCTTAATAGCTTTTTTTTTTTTAATTTAAATCGTCGTTTGTCAATGTAGATAGTGAAATTGTATATAAAACTGTTTAAATTTAATTTTTTTATTTATTATAACGGAAGCCTATGCCGGTTGCCGATTTCAATCTAGAAGGCAGTGGTTTTTTTTGTCCCCTCCCTCCATTCATACTCAAGCGTTGTGTAACCTTCCAGTTTCCAGCGGTTTTCAACTCCGTCGCCCTACCTCTCGACATTTTACGCCCAGAGTTCTCATACAATTTTTTTTTAACAAAAAAGAAAAACATAAAATTATTGTAATTGTATATGAAAATTGTGAAATAAATGATTGTTTTTTATAAAGGAGAAAAATGCGTTGTTCTTTTGAGTAATCAGTAATTCGTCCGCGGGGGAATCGAAACCGTTGTCGGATAACAGGCGGGAAGGTTTGTTTTTCGTTGATCGTCAGTGTGAAACCTTTGTATTATTTTCGTCAGAAAGGCTTTTTTCTTGAGAAAAGTCGACTCGTTTGCATTTTAAATAATCGTTCGGAGGAGATAGTAAAAAACAGAAGTTGAAAATAAAATAAAAAATTCTGTAACAGCTTGAAGAAAAGCGTTTGACAAGGTAATGGAGAAAGATTCGGTAAATTTGCGGGTTATTCGCCGGTGAAGAGGTTTTGAGACATGTTCCTGACCTGTTCCGGCGTGCTGTCGACGTTCTGATCTAGTATGGCGAAAGACATAGCTGAAGAGTTCAACGCGTCACTGTCTGATCTGAGGATCAACAGCAAGCCACACATCAACATGCTGACCATGCTCGCGGAAGACTACATAGAGCACGCCCCGGTGATAGTGAGTGCAGTCGAGACCCACCTCCACAGGGTGAGGGACGACGTCAAACTTCCCGTCCTCTACCTAGTCGACTCTATAGTCAAGAACGTCGGTAAAGACTACATATCACTGTTTACGGAGAACATCGTGACGACATTCTGCACGGTGTTTGCCCGTGTCGATGAGAAGGTCCGATCGCAGATGTTCAAGCTGAGGCAGACTTGGAATACTATATTCCCGGTTAAGGTGATGTATGACTTGGACACGCAGGTTAAAACGCTCGACCCGGCTTGGCCGATCACTGCCACCTCGCCTTCCGTGCGGATCCACGTCAACCCGAAATTCTTCCAGATGCAGAGTGATGGCGATGTGATGCGGGAGGAACTGTTAAAACAACAAAAGGAACTTCTTGAGCTTCAGAAGCGCAAGGTTGAACTCGAGCTACTCCAAACAAAGGCGATACTCGAGGAACAGCAGAAGAAATTGGAAAATAAGACGGACACTCTTGTCAAAGAGGTCCAGGCGAATATGGAGAAGGTTGTACCCAAGGTGTCCAGGGATCCTAGGCTCAAAGCAAAGCCCAAGGGTGAAGAGAAGTCCCCGAGGAAGAGAAAGAGCAAAGACAAGAGAAAAGAGAACCACAAGAAACAACAAAGACAGCTTCCGGCACGTTCCGCCCCTCTCAAACCCCTCGAAGTCGAAACCAATGAGAAAATCGAAGATGAAAAGCACAAGGAAAAAGAACCGATGGAAACCGACCCGGTCAAGATCCCCGACGATCATTGCGACTCGACTCGAGACGGTTTTGCGACTACAAAAAGGAAAATCGAAGATGACAAAAAAGACAAAGAATTAGACTCGATCGAGCAGTTATTCGGTGATGAAGACGTCGATCTCCGTCAGATTGCAATAATACCGGACTACACTGAAGGCAAATGCTGGGCGACTATAAAAAAGAGCCGTCCTGAAGTTAAGAAGTTCAAAAAGTCACGGTCGTTCAATTTCAACAATGAAGACGAAGACTCCGAAGAACCTCAGGAGGACAATTCGAATTTGATAATAAAACAAGCGGAAGAACAGTTGAATGAAGGTAACATAACTTTTTCACAGTATAACCATATGTTGAAAGAAGTCATAACGATGAATGAGGAGAAGAAGTTGAAAGAGGCTGTATTGAAGGATAAAGAGGAACCAAGGAAGAAGTACGAGACGGAAGGTCCGGAGTTCGATGATAAAAGACGCTTCTCACAGAGGGAATGGAGACGACCGATAAAGCGCGTCTTCAACCGGTGGGCACCACAGAAGAACTACAGGTTCAACAATTTCCGCTGCAGGGAAGTTCCACCAGCCGATCCACACGTCCTCGATATAATCGCAAAAGACACGATGCATACCATCGACATCGACAGGATACCACATCAGGTCAGATACTACGGCGAGACTGCAGTGATCCTTCTTTCCTGGGATGATCCGAGAGAGCTGACGTTCCAGCCGGGCAATGGCCGGATACTCATCAACGACAAAGTCCTCGTGCTCCCTTTCAACGCGCCGTACCGTGAGGTCAACATAGAAGGTGTAAGCACTAAAATAAGATTTGGCGCTCCAACCCGTGAGTTATTCATTGATGGTATATTCTATGAGGCGAGCTTCGGTGGTCCGCCCGTGCAAGTCATGATCGGAAATCGTTACCACTCATTTCAGCTTTTAGGGCCTATGCCACAGGTCAGAGTTGGTACGACCCCACGCACTGACCTCGTAGCTGGGAAAGTCAATTTAATAGTCGACGCAAAGCATATTTTTCCGATTTATTTAGACGCCAAGCCGCAGAGGTTCGATATCGGCCATGTACCTTACATACTTCGTTTTGTCGAAGCACTTCGCACCGTTGTAATCAATGGGGTACCTTTCAACATAGAATTCGGTGGTAATTTGCCCGTTCCTATGTATTTCCATGGTGAGAAGCACTTTTTAAGGTTCTCCGTCCTTCCTCCTGGCGTCAAACAGGGTTATGTTAATATAATAAACATGGAAGGTGGCAGGCTGCCGACACCACCACTCGCAATGATGGCGCCTCCTCCCCCTCCCCCTCAGATAACTCCTGTGTTGCAGGAATACTGTACAGCACCGTCTGAAGACTTAGAACTCCTCGTGAGCCGGCTTACGACGACGTCTCAGCCCAGGAGCCAGTATTCGGTAAAGGCGAACGAACCAAAAGAAAATTCTGTGATAAACGTAAGCGAGCTTTTAAAGAAATTGGTCGAAGTCGGAATCGTACCGCCCGTACAGGAGGAAAAGGAGAAGGTGAAGCAAGTGGATTTTTCAAAACCGGACAGCTTGAAGACAAATCAGCCAGGTTTAATCGCAATACTCTATTCGGGGATACAGTGCAGTTCCTGTGGCGTACGATTCCCGCCTGAACAGACGGTCAAATACAGCCAACACCTCGACTGGCACTTCAGGCAGAATAGGCGAGACAGGGATACGCTGCGCCGTGTCCAGTCGCGCAAGTGGAACTACGACATAACCGACTGGATACAATACCAGGAGATCGAGGAGGAGGAAGAACGGCCCGAGAGCTGGTTTGAAATACAAGAACGCGAGACGGCCGCAGCCTCCGAGGTCGAACAGGAATCCTCTGTGCCTGTCATAGATGACAACAACTCCTGCAGCGTATGCGGCGACAGGTTCGACCAGTTCTACAACGGTGATAAAGAAGAATGGCAGTTAAAGAACGCAATGCGCCTCGAAAATTCCCTCTACCATCCTTTATGCTACAAAGAGCACGATTTCAATTCGGACGCAATTGAAATCGAAGTCAAAGAGGATCGAGAAACAAACCAGGATGACGACGACGACGACATCCTCGAGATCAAAGTGTTAGAGAAAACTGTCGAGTTTTATGAGCTTTCTGACGAAGAAGGGCCGACTTCGCCGGCCAAAAAGGAAGATTCGGATGACGAAGTCCATTTCTCGCTCAATAGGGTGAAACAGGAAAAGATCGAGATACAACCTGCGCCTGTCGTAACATCGTCGATTGATGGGAACAACGAGCTAGCTGAATCCACCCCGCTAGTCGTACCTAAGAAGATCAAGATCAACATAACGTCCTCGCTCTCGAAACAGGACAGATCGGCGAAGAAGGTCGAGGAGAAGGAATCGGAGAGCGATGAAGAGATCAATTTCCCTTCTTCAGTCAAACCAGACATCGCTAAGGCGCAGCTTACCGTTTTAGATCCACTGTCCATCGGGACAGAAATATCAGCCCTCTGTAGCATAATGTAAATTGTATATTATATAAATAAAACCTTGTTTTGTTACCTTAAGTCTTACTTATTATTTTTATAAAAAGATCTAGTGTTATTAAATAACTATTGATTTTGTAAATATTAGCTTTAATAATAATAATATAAAAAAAATCAAAAAATTAGAATGAAGATGCTCCAATATATAATAAAAAATAAAATAAAAAGTAAGTATTACTAGTTTATTAATAATATGTTGTATTAATTTAATAATTTTAAATAATAATTATTTTGGTATTTCACTGTGTAAAATTTTTGTTTTTGATTTTTAAGGGTGGAGTTGCGACGAAGACGAGCATGTTATGACGTACGATGTACTATTCGACGACGAGATAAAGGAGCTGTTCACCTCGAAGAAGAGTGACTCGAACGTCTACGTAGTGTCAAAGTACAGCTGCCTCAACATAACGAACTGGATGAAATCAAATCCGGGTGTGTTCACTTATATTTTAAAACAAATTAATAATGATAATTTGATTAAATTTTATTTGATAAACAGTCAACACGGGGAAGATGCAGACGGAGCCCCAGCAGCCGAGCAGGAATGTCAACTTGAACGTGAACAGCCCTGTACAAGAGGAGAACTGGCGAATAAAAGGTTACTAAACTAAATCCGTCTTTTTTTTTTCTTTTTTTAATTGATATTAAAATAAATTATTTTAATTTTTTTCGCAGAAGTCAGCCTTCGTCCTGAAATGCCCCTGGACAATAAAAAGCAAAAAGGTTAGTTCTTCGATTTTTCCCTTTTCTTTTTAACCATTACCGTTTTATTGAAACCACATTAGAAAAACAGTCGCATATATGCTACTGTTATACTCTGTACTATGCCATATTTAGAGACAGAAGTCGCACAATAAGGAAAGCTGCGCTTTTGTCTCTTTTCAAACGGGTACGGGTAATGTCGTGTACACACAAAATACAAGTTCGCTGATGTATTTAGGATATGGGGTCTCCCTTAGTGACAACGGGATAAAGGATGGGGGATGAATACATATAAATACATGTTCTGTTATTACTTAAGTAAAATATTTATTTTTTATCCCCCCCCCCCAATGATTTCTTATCTTTTTTTCAGATGTTAGCCTCAGACCTGAAGCACCACCAACCCTCGACAACAGAAAAAACAGAGGTAATTATTTTCAATATTTAAGTAATATTAAATAAGAAATAATTATGATTTTGTTTTAAAATCTAATTTTAGTACAAATCAATCCGCCTCTGATGAAGAACACACAGGAGAACAACTGGAGGAACAATGGTAACGTTTTTTTATATTCATTTTGTATTGCAGTCAGTCTCAAAAACCACAAATCACTTCTGGCACCTGAGCCGGACAATTTTATTTTCCATTTACTAAACTAAGAAACTAATAATGGACAGTAGAAGAAGAATATAATTTTTTTTATTTAGAAATCGATTAACGGTCACTAATCACCACATAATTTTTTTTTCTTTTCCCCCAGGTGTTCTTCTGGGCAATGAATTTGCAAAGAAAGGTGGTTAGTAAAGCATAAGTTATGAGTCGTTTTATTATTTAATCTTTTTATGTTACTTTAATTTTTTTTCCACAGCCTGCGCTGCTGCCCCTGCGCCGCCGTTCGACAAGTTCATTCCATCAAAAGGTTCGTTTATTTTTATTTTATTTATTTATTTATTTTTTTAAAGAATACCTTTAAAATCTCACCAATGGTTGTGAAATAATGTGGTCTACTGATAGTGGAAATCTTGGAATGGATTATGTCATATATTCTGTTATACACTAGGCTCTCGTTATCCCTGTGGTATACATACCGAGGCATCTTTACTTATGATTTTGCCCTTTTTCAAACCGCCTTTTATGCTTGGTCAAGGTTACTCCATGCAGTTCGCCTTCACCAAAATCACTTGTGATCACACCTTCTCGACTTTTCCAAAGCCTTCGATTCCATTGCCCACTCATCACTCTAATCCTATTCCTTCTCTAATAGTACTCTCCGTTCCAAGGCACTACCTCGCAGAGTGTGATAGGTATGCTAGGTCTAGATTTGAAATCTTTGAAGGACATCACCAAATCACTCCCCCGAGATAAAATGGTCCAAAATCTTGGCGTTTATGAACAAGTCCAAGAGGTTTATGCAGGACACGTGAGCCGACCAAGTCCCGGACCTTTTAGGGATGGGGTACGAGTCTACCCAGGCATTTAACCCCTCGGGTCTTGGTCGCCTACCCTGCATAATATATATACTCTCCGTTCCACTTTTATCTCACCAGTCGTCTCTAAGCCTTCACTATAACCAACTGACGTACGCCCTCCTTCCTTCTATTAAAATCTGACATTCCCCAAGGCTCTAGCATCTCTCATAATTTTTAATATATAAATTAACGACCCCTCCGACTCCATCTAGAACCTTTACCACCATTTTGCAGACGACTCCCAAATTTACCTATCCTTCCAACCCTCAGGCCTACAATCGGCCATCCTAAAGATCCAAAATGACCTTCATTCCATTACATTATATTTAGTGGTTTGATTGACCAAACTACTTCTTTTAATTAATTAATCTTTTTATGTAAGGTTTTGGTTGAAAAGAAAAAGCTAGTATCACGAGCAGGATTTGAACCCAGGTCAAAAAGTTGGTGGGTTTGAATCCCGCTTGTGTCACCAGCTTTTTCTTTTCAACCAAAACCTTACATAAAAAGATTAATTAATTAAAAGACTTAATTCTATCAATGAATTGGCCTATAAAAATTTCCTCACTCTGTCTAAATTGGGCATAATGTCAAATCCCTTCTCTCTCTATAAATAACCGGCCCCCTTTCGTACTTCCGTCAAAACCCTTGTGATTATCCTCGACAAAAAGCTCTCCCTCCTGGCACCCTCAAATTTCTCATCAGTCCTGGCTTGTCACACACTTCTCCACCCGTAAACTCCTATCTTTTCCTTCTTCCATTACAGTTGGCATATGGGGGGGGGGCTGAAGTGCATCATGTGCCATGTCAGATTCGTGTTTGGCACCCCTCTATGGTCCCGGGTGTCTTGTCTGTATTTGGATCTTTCCTGGCTCTCCTCTTCCTTCATTTCTTAGCACTTTCTAGCATCCTTCCTTTTTCATTGTTTTCATACATGTCGTCCTCAGTACCATCATCCAATCCCTCTAATTTAAATCTTTTCACCACTCCTTTGAAACATCCTTCCTGATCCGCACTCCCTAACTCTGGAATGCCCTCCCTCATTCTATTCATCAAGCCAACTCTCCTAATTCCTTCAAATCCCATCTTTACCCAGCTTTACATTCCAGTTTAAGATGTTTTCATCAGCCCCTCGGAAAGTAATTGTCAGGCCTAAGAATTCTTGTCTACGTCTGTGATGAAGGTGGGTTCTGTGCCTATGTTAGCAATGTTTAACCCTTCACCAGTGAGGTAATCTGATAAGGACTTGGCCATTTTCTCACAACTTCCCTTAGCACTCCTCCATGGCCCCGTATCCAACAGAAGGCGGATTCAACATGCCGTTCAATCAGCCTCTGTATGGGTTCCATAATTTTGGACACCATATTAGCGAGCTATTGAAAGATCCGGGATGAAAAAAGTTGTGAAATCGGACAATTCTACGAGATTTTGAACTTTTCTTTCTTTTGAAAAAATTAAATTCTTGCAGTTTACACAAGGAAGGAACCGTGGCAGCCAGACGTCATGTCCAATTTTGTAAACGCTAGAGGTTCGTAGTTTTATTTCTTGTAAATAAAAACAATATTAATAATTTTTACAAAATTCGCTTACATTTTTTTTTTTTTTCGATCAGTTCCTATCCACGGTTTTAACAAATGGAGGACGCAAGAGCCAGGTAAACTGAAATTTTTAACTTTTATGTCAAAACATACTTTTTTAATGAATTATTTAATATTATTAATTATTTGTTTTATTTATCGTATAGCAGGTGTGAATAACGTAACAAAGTTTTTCTCGTCGTACAGGAACAACTCAGGCGTAAGTAGTTTCCTTTCAATTTAATCAACATTGATTTTTTGAATCTGTGCAAGTTGACTAGGCAATTATGTTAATTAATTATTAATTTTTCAGTTAATTAAGGTTTTTAGTTGAGATAAAAAAGTCTGTGTCACGAGCGGGATTAGAATCCACGATCTCCGGCTAGATACGCCGCTGCTCTACCACTTGAGCTATCGCGACCTCGATCCCCTCGGACACTAACTTCCCATCTCAACCCCACCTTTTGAATTTTCCCTCCTTTTTGCCATTTTTCAAATGTCGTGTAATCTTTATTTAGAAATCGTGTGATGCGGTCTGGTGTGATGTAGAAAAACATTTTCTTTATCGTGCCAACGTTTCGATCGTTATTGAGATCATCTTCAGGGCTTGGGATTTACAAACATTGTTTACTTATTACAATTACATTTTGGATGTGGAAAAGTGAATTTATACAATGCAAAATATATTTTATATATTCAATCAAATTGTAATATGTAAACAATGTTTGTAAATCCCAGGCCCTGAAGATGATCTCAATAAAGATCGAAACGTTGACACGATAAAGAAAATGTTTTTCTACATCACACCAGACACCATCTCACGATTTCTAAATAAATATAGATTAACGGTCACTAATCACCACACGTCGTGTAATCTTTTGATTCTCAGCGACAAATTAAATGGCCACAGAGAGATTTAGTGAAAATATACTTCATTTTAACTTATTAAATTCACCAATTTTCGTGGTCCACTTGACCAATTAATATCTCTCAATTGATAAGGTTTTAGTTGAGGTTAAAAAGTCAGTGAATCCCGCTCGTGACACTGACTTTTTAATCTCAACTGAAAACCTTAATGAATTGAAAGATATTAATTGGTCAAGCGGACCACGAAAACTAGTGAATTTAATTATTAATATTTTAAAAACAGAAAGTGGAAATATTTAAAGAATTCTTACAAGAGAGAAAAAAAACATTCGTCGGCACAAACTTAATTGCATTGTGTAGCTACTTTCCAAACTGCCATCAGTGCAGGAGAGCTAGCAAAAGAACAAACCACATATCTGCAGTCTAATAAATTTGATTGTTGTTTTCAAATATTTTTTGACTGTTCGAGCCCAAGCTAAAACCTTAAAAAGAAACAGAAAGCTTAAAAGCAAAAACTGGGGGGAAACATTGGTTTCTTCCCTAATGTCACGTGCGAGATACTTTTTTGTTTGTTTTTTATTTGATTAAAAAAAAAAAAAATTGTATAGTCTTAATAGTATAACTGGGTAACAAATTTACTTTTTTAACGTCACAATCAATATCTACGCTGATTATTATGACATAGCACAGTACAACATTACAATTTGGCAACTTTTGCACAAAACAAAAAACACGAGAATCAATGATAACAAAAATAAACAAATAAAATCATAATAATGCTCAAGCCATTAACGAACTTCATAGCTAAAAATAGAACGCATTTGCCTTAAGCTAAGACACCTCCATACTTTTGATACAGATTTGTTTTATATAACTGCTCTGTCTTGGGACGTCCTCGTTTGGTATATAGCATATATTTAATTTTTTTTTCCTTTGACTACCTAGGTGCCGGAACATGCCAGCAGGATGTTCGCTGATTCGGTACAGCAGCCCAAACAGCAAGAAGTGATGCAGAAAAAGACAGCCGACTCCGAATTCCAGGCGATGTGGAACCACTTGCAAGTAGGTGACATTTTTTCTAAAAGATTTAAAGTTTGAAAGTATATTTTGTTTAAAACGTGTTTTTTGAAATATCAAGCAACAGAAATTGCCTGAGAGCCAGAGACCGCCGTCGTTCCAACCTCCAATTAACATCGTCAACGAGGTAAGTCATCTTATTTTAAAAATATAATAATAATAATAATTTGTCTATTTTATTTAGCAAACGAACGCCCTAAAGAAAGTGCTGAAACTCAGCGATGACGACGATCAATCAAAGATGCCAGCTTCAGTTGAGCAGATGAACTTAAGGCCTGCCCCTACGCTGAATGCTCAGGTCCCATGCGGCCATAGGAACTGTATCGATGATTTCATTAAGATGTGTCAATGTCTTGATATGGCGTATCCGGTGTTCAGCTACGTACACGTGAACCAGACGAAATTTGTCTACTGTATGCTGCACTTTGCCGATGGATCGGAGTTCAAAGGGCCACAGGCACAGGATAAAAGCACGGTATAAAGTTTTCCACTAGCGTTTATTTCTTATTATGCGTGATTTTTTAAACTTTTTTTTTTACAAATGCAAAGGCGGTCAGTCAAGCGGCTTGCCAGGCATTACGGTTCCTTGAAAATAAGCAAACGAGGTTACAAATGAAGCCACCCTTGCTGCCTTCTCCACCTCAGCAATGGTGTCAAAATCGAAGTAATAATTTTATCTTTAAATAAAAAACCTGATAAATTTTATAATTAAACAATTAATATTTTTATTTATTATTAATATTTAAAATCAGTTCCAGATACTAAAATAGAGGAGAAACCAATACCATCAAACAAAGTGAGTGTAATTTTTGTAGAATGTAGGTGAAAATAGTGGCTAAATGTTAATATCGCTCTGTTTGCAGGAGTTGAGTTTCAGTGAGGCGAAATTCGTACCGTTCCAAGTGCAGAAGAGCTTGGCTAGGTCAAAACAGCCAAAAGTCAGCTCCAACGGCCCTAAGAGCCAGCCTCTGCCTCCGCCGCAACCTGACCAGCCAAAGCCGGTCAAAGCGGCCTTCAAGAATGTTGATGTTGTCAAACCTGTCCCTAAATCGGTGAGTGAAACACTATTACGGTTTAGTGTGAAAAGAGAGGGAAGGGTTGATTTTTGAAAGAAGTGAATATTTTGATGGTAACCTCTATAACTGGTTCAGAGGGAGAAAGGAAGTGGGATTGAGTTTGGGGTGAGTGAGTGAGTGAGTGAGTGAGTGTGTGTGTGTGTGTGTGTGTGTGTGTGTGTGTGTGTGTGTGTAAGCGAGGTGAGAGTGAGGGAGAGAGACGCAGGGTATATTTTTCCCCCTTAATAAATATTAATACCATAAAGTAATAGTAAGTAATAAAGTAAATACCATGGTTTGTATGTTGTACACATACACATCCATGTTTATAGAGAAGGAACACACTAATGCATTTTCCTCCCCTCAGCTGTCAAAGCAGGAGGTGTCGATCCGCCCAGCCGGTGTAAACGCAGCAGGCCGGGGAAGACGGCGTCTTGCAGCCAAATTCTCGATGGCATCTGGCAAATAAAGGAGAACGTGGGGTGAAGGCCACAAACTCAAACCACACCGGTTTTTTGTTTTAATTAAAAAAAAAAACTTGTTCTATGTGATGCCGTACTTAAAAATTATTAGACAAAAATTAAGGCATTGATTTTATTTGTGAATATAACTTTTTTAAATACTGTTTTTCTCATTTCTTTTTTTAATTGACAAAGATTTTTAACCGAGAATAAATTAAATCACTTAATTGTAAATGTGTAAAGTTGAACAAATTTGTAATATAAAAGTGATTATTGATTGAATAATAAAGAATTGATGTTTTTTGAGAGAAGACAATTTTAATTACACAATGATTTTTTTATTGTATCGTCTTTAATCCATTGGTCCAAAATGTGTTTTATCGGAGTCTTACCTTGTATCAAATTTTTGTAAGTTGTTAAATATATACGTGAAAAAAATATATTTATTTGATTTATATATTGTTTTTTATTTTAAGGTCCGTCAGTAAATAAATGTCAAGATTATTTCAGGATTTGTTGTCATGGCCTAAACCTTGGGGTAAGGTTGAGATAAGCCTGTTCGTATAAAAACGACCGCAATTTTAAAAACAAAACAAAAAAATGAGGTACATTGCAGTGATCGCGTTGATTGTATGTCATGTGGCGGGCGAGATAGTCGATACGGGGCTCGGCTCTGTGCGCGGTTTCGAGCGCGAGTCCCGTGCCGGTGAGACTTACCACGGATTCCTCGGTGTGCCGTATGCCAAGCCGCCAGTCGGAAAGCTCCGATTCGACGTAAGTTTATTTAAATTTTACTCGGGGAAAGGTCTTAAGACTTACAATTTGTAGGCTCCGGTCCCTCCGAAAAGATGGTCAGGGGTCTTAGACGCTACCCGACAGCCTCCGCACTGCCTCCAGAATCCGATTTACCTCAGGGCGTACAGAAATGAGACAACTGGATCGGAGGATTGCCTTTACCTCAACATATTCACTCCGAAGGCAGGCAAAACCTTTAAATATCACAATAAAATTATATTTTCCATTCAATGTTTTATTATAATATATATTTTATACATCGTATGGAATTAGATTAGATGGATGTTTGTATGTTGATGTTTTTTTGTTTTTTTTTAAATAAATTTTAAAGCTTAAAGGAAAGCTGCCAGTGATGTTTTTTATACATGGTGGTAGCTTCAGGACTGGTTATGCTGGTCCTTCTGAAATGGCTGACTACCTCGTAGATGAGAAAGTCGTACTTGTTGCACCACAATACAGACTCGGAATATTAGGTGATTGCTTTTTTATTTATTCCCCCCCCCCATTTAACCAAGGGTATTTTATAACTGAAGGGTTTTTGAGTACGGAGGACAAAGTGATACCAGGAAATTTCGGCCTGAAGGACCAAGCGTTCGCTTTGAAATGGGTCGTCAACAACATACACTATTTTGGAGGCGATCCTAAGAAGATAACCGTGTTCGGCTATGGCGCAGGCGGTGTCAGCGCCAATCTCATGATGGTCTCGCCCCTTACAAATCGTGCGTTTTAATTTTTTTTTCGATTTTTTTTCTTTTTTAATAAATTTTCGTCAGGACTGATCAAAGGTGCGATATCGGAGAGCGGCGTCGACAACCATATCTGGGGGACGGACAGTAAAAAGGGACGGGCGAAACGCATGGCCGAGAAGACCGGTCGGGTCGTCGGATGTCGTAAAACGGCCAGTAAGGATCTACTCAAGTGCCTCCGCAACGCAGATGGGAAGGAACTCGTACAAAGCGAACTGCAGAATATTGTAAGCTAATTATAAAAAATATTATAAAATAAACCTTTATTTTCTTTTTGATTTTTTAAGTACTGGGACTATGAGACTTCTGCCATGTTCAGACCGGTGATCGAAGGAAAAAGTAAAACGGCCTTCTTAACTGCAGACCCAGCAAAGTCTTCTACAAAGAAGCCCTGGGTCGTTGGTGTAACGACGGGGGAAGGCAATTTCAAAATTGCCTGTAAGGTGTTTTCGTTATTAATTTATATAAGATCAAAACATCCTTTTGACTCAAAATACTCTGATAGGTAAAAAAATTTACATTTTTACATCTCAAAAACAACCGAAGAGTTTTGGATATTCAGCCACTGACCCTCTCACATCGCACATTCATGCTAATAAATACATTCACGGTCACCACAACCTTTACACATATTATACAACTTACCTTTATTAGAAATTTAACAACACTGGCGAAATGCCAAAAAACAACAGACTAATCCTGCAAAAACCTCACCTTATAAAACAGCCTAGAAAAATTATATAGTAAACATAATTCATAATTTAATAAATTAATATGAAAAAGAACAACTCTTTAAAAATAATAATAAATTTTACATCAGCGCTTGTGACGCAAAGCCGTTCGGTGACTGAAGAGTTTGAAGAGCACATTGATGATTACATCGCCAAGATTCTCGGTGAGGAGGACGTGACAGACAAGACGTTGAAGAGTGTCAAGAAGATCAAGAGGAAATATTTCAAAAACACATCGACTGTTGACAGGCTACTTTCAAGCATTAAAAACGTACTGTTTTATATTTAATTTGTTTTTCTTTAAAGTTTAAAAATTAAATTTATTTTAGTTTTACGGGGATGTGAAATATTACTGGCCATTGCAAGAAGCCGTAAAGAGACACGGTGGTAAGGTATATCAGTACGTTTACGACTACAGGGCTGGGCAGTCCATGTCAGACATATTTGGAGTCGATTCCGATCTAGGTAACGATTTTTTAAGTTTTTAAAATGTTAAATAATTAATTAACAAAACTTACAGGAGTGAACCACGCCGACGAGACGTTCATCCTTTTCAACTGCACTTCATCGGGCCATTCGAGCCCGCGTGCCGGAGACAAAAAGGTCTCGAAAGACGTTGTCAAGATGTGGGCGAATTTCGCCAAGACACAGTGAGTCTCATTAAGCTGGAAAATGACATACAAGTCAATTTTTTATTACTTTTACTTTTTCAGGGTGCCGCGCAAGGAGAAACCAAAGTGGATGCCGCTCGAGGCAGATGAGTACCTGCGCATCACTGAGAAGCCCCGTATGGCCAAGGGCTACAGAAAAGGCGTACGTGAGTTCTGGTCGTCCCTACCGTTATACAAAGGCGATGATTAAACCAGTCAATGTAGATTCTACATACATTTAAACTTTCACAATAGATCTATTAACAATTTATTATTAAATTAATGTATAAAAATTGATTTTGTTTCATTATTAATTTATTTTTATAAGTGGTTTCCCCGATTAACAAAAGAATTAATTAAATAGAAAAAAGTGAAGGATTTAAAAAGTAATGATTGGGGATTTCACCTAATTTTGTACACAATTATTTCAATAAAAAGACAAAAATTAATTAATAAATACAAATAAGACATTTTTTTTCTTTCCTTGGAACACATCATTTTTAAGATCAATTATCATCGGTCCATACGAGCAATGGCTTCCTCAAAAACTTGCCCGGTGCAGACTGAACCTCGTTCGATGGTATTAGCATGTGAGGCGGCGTGTTCTCAGGGTCATTAATCCCACGGCGGAGTCTCTCTTCGCGTATCCCCTTCCATGACTTACCATCGTTGAGCCCTTTAAGAGAAAACGGTGAGTTGGTGCATATCTGGCCAAGTGGAGTTCGACCCGTCTATAAAATATTATTTTAAAAAAAAAAATGTATTAGAAACATACTGTAAATTATTTACATGAATATTTAAATATATATATATATATATAAAAAGACTAGTCTGAATCAGACCTGGTGGTTGAACGACTGACCGGTTAATACTTACGACAGTCCAAACCAACTGTCAGATGTTCACAAATTAACGAGTCTGGTTTAATTGTCAGATTTAGGAGATTAACGATTGGACACACATTTACAAGTCCAAATTGATTGTCAGGTCTGGCAGTTGAATGTACGACAGAATTTTGAGTCTGGCTTGATTACCAGATATGGGATTTAAAAGGTTGGTCACACATTTACAATCATCTGAATATATTCTCAGGACTAGCAGTTGAACAACTGACTGATCACAGAATTACAAGCATGAATTTCCAGTTGCTTAACGACTAGACGCAGATTCACGAGCCCAAATTGACTGCAGAGTCAGATAGTTGAACGACCGGTCACTGAATTACAAGTCTGAATCAATGGCAGTTTAAAGATGGCTGACAAATTTATGAGTCCGAATTAACCGTCAGATCTCGCAATAGAACAACAACTGGTGATATATTTACTACCATCCAAATCAATTGCCAGGTCTAGCTTGAACAACTGACTGGACTATTTATGTCAGTTGTAAATAGTCAGGTTTGGTACTTGAACAACCAGTCACAAATAACGAGTCTGAATAAATTTTCATATCTTGCAGTTTAAAAACTGGTCATAGATTTACGGCTATTTAAAATAATTCAATGCCTAGCAGATGAAAGACTGGTTAAGAGACTTATAACAGTCTCAAACAATATTAGGTCTGGTGGTTTAACAACTGGTCATTTCTGACCATCCATCAACAGCCAGGTATATCGGTTGAACAACTGACTGGTCACAGACACATAAATAAATTTCTAGATCTGGTAGTTTAACAACTGGTCACAGATTTAAAATCACCCAAATCCACTGCCTGGTCTAGTAGTTTGACAACTTACTGCTTTTGGACTTATGACAATCACAAATAAGCAGGTTTTGGTAGTTAAACAACTGGCCACACATTTACAACCATCCAACTCATTTGTCGGGTCTAGTGGTTGAACAACTGAATGGTCTCGGACTTATGATAGTCACAAATAATCAGGTTTAATAGTTAAACGACGGGTCACACATTTACGACCATCCCAATCGACCCCCAGGTCAAAAAGTTGAATGGCTGAGTAGACTCAGACTTATGACAGTTGCAAATAGTCAGGTCAAGTAGTTTAATGAGAGGTCACACTTACGAACAAAATAGAACATTTTCAACTTATTCGACATCCGAATAAATCGTCAGATCCCACAACACAATCAAAATAAAATGGCAAAACTCACCTTTTCCAAAATTTTTCCCATCGGCTGGGGGGTGTGGAAAGCGGGCTTCGCGTCACACTGCACGTTTAACTCTTGGGCATCATCCTCGACCCGATCAACCGCAGGATCTTCGCTCTCTTCAGACGTGCCATTAGTAATCTACAAACAGCAACAGTTTAGAGGTTGAATTGAATATTAAAAAACAAAAACAAACCTCGAGGTTTTCGATGCTGATCTCGATTTCCGAGATGCTTGTTTGGTTCGCGCTGTCTTCCTCTTCGCACTCGTCCTCCTGGAAACTGTCCGCGGCATCGAATTGGCTTTTCGAATCGAGTTTCCTGTACTGGAGAACCTAAAATAATAACGCTTAAGTACAAGACACAACTTCCAAGCGTCAGACATACAAATAATAATGCATAAACTTACAGTTATTGGAGTGCGTTTTATCCCGATAGTGGCGGATCTGGGATCTTCGAGGAACGACCTGTGTGCCGAACGGGGCGGCGTTTCCAGATTCTTCTCGTCCTCTTCGAGCCTCAACCTTCCACCCTGGCCCAAATGTCCCAAAACGTTTCCCATGATTTCTACAAACTTACTCGTTTTCTCTTTTCTTTTACAATTATGTAAATAAAAAGAGAGACGATAAATTAAAAAAAAAAAGATTAACTGGCCGTTATCATCCGAAGTGGAACATGAAACAACACGTCCGCTAACTGAACTGAAGTACTGAAACCAAATCGGTTCGAACTTAGAAAACGTAACGGATATTTCAAAAAATAATCGATATCATTATTAATCGATTATAATCGATTCTATTACGGTACTTTTGAAATAAAATCTTATTCCTTCCATTTCTATCTTTTTAAAATAATACTTATAAAATGGAATTAACCATTCAATTATTTAAACAAAAATAATATAAAACAGTTTTTAATAATTTACCAACTAAAATGAAAATGTGCTTCAGTGAATGAACAAGACATACACCATCACACCATCCTTTCTCCAGCACTTATTTTTGCAATATTTAAATACTTGCCAAGTACAGTGAAATAGGAAAGAAAATGAGTTAAAACATTTATTTGTACGATAGACATTAACTGTAAAACCTATTTGGAGAAAACGTAAGATCCAGGGTAGTACTTAATTTAATATTGATTGCCGTTGTGGTTTGTGGCTTAAAAAAGAACCAGTTGTAACGAACTATTCCCGAAAATCACTAACCAAGAATCACTAACCAGTCTTCCTAATGGACTAAAAAAGAACTAGTTCTGTAAAACTTACGGTCTCAAAAGGAAGCAGCTTTGTTAATATTGGGATCTTGCACGAACTAGTTCAATATAACGAATTGTCCTGGAAAAAAATATTCCCAAAAGGAACAACTTTACCCTTGAGGTCTAGATAAGTTGAACGAACTATTCCCGAAAAAGAATTAAAGTCACCGGACTTTTTTCTTTACTGAATTATAGTTCCTTTCCAGTTTTTTCTTCTTTTCTATCCAGTGTTAATATAACTTTTTCAAAAATTATTTGAAACAAAAAAACGCGAACTAGCTAGGTACAAAGTGGTTGATTGAACCAGCTAAAAGAAACTAACTAATCTGAAAAAGAACAACTGCCCAATTCGGATATTTAAAAAAATTGTTTTTCTTATAAGAAACCTATGAATAGATATAAAATTTGAATGTTAGTTTTTTCTTTTTGAAGAAAAATCGCATGCAAAAACACAAAATCAAATTTAAATCGATTAGTGTTACCATTCAATCGATTTTTGACTCGATCGATAATATCGTGTTACCTTTTTATAACCTGAAGTGTATAAGGCCACTTGTACGTTCAATGTTTTTATTTATTAAATAATAAAGTATTTTTTATTAGTTTTACTTGTAATAAAACATAAGTACGGGTCTTGTGGCGGAATGGACTTGAAGAAAGTGAAGAACGATGAAAAGCTGTCGATATGCCGATTTTACTATAGAGGTGAGCGGAACCGAACATTTCCAGATAGGAAAAGGCTATGGTTTTGTACTGTCCTTGTGTTAAATATGCGAAAACTAAAATTAAAAAGGGTTTAAATATTAATTGGCCGTTTTACGATCCTGAGCAGTGAGACCAAAATTGGCATGTTGTGCAATGTTCAATTATTGTCTGGGCTCTTCTGTAGTTTTAAATAACAAAAAACGCCGATTGAAGGAGATTAAATGCATTGAACAATTCAGACGTCATGATCATTTCTGATGTCAATTTTTAAAACAGTTTACTGATTTTTTATCACATATATTTTTTTTTGCAGCTGGATTCTGCCTTTTGCCTTTGGTCTGGCTGGTGAATGCGGCGTGGTTTTTCAAAGAGGGTTTCGTCAAGCCACCTTATGAGGAACAGAAGCAGATAAGAAAATGTAATTGAAAAAAAAATATATTTTTTTTTACTTTTATTTTTAATAACTTTTACTCTTTTTTTTTAGATGTAATACACTCGGCAATAGGCGCGCTCATTTGGGCCGTGGTGGTCGCCACTTGGGTCACAGTGTTCCAGACACATCGAGTTTCCTGGGGCGAGTTAGGTGACGAGCTATCCTGTCTCATACCAACAGGGGAGCCCTGATCATATAACATTTATAATAATAATATAATAAATTTTAAAAAATTATTTAACTTTTTGTTATGTATGTGTAATTTATTCAGTACTGTATTCTAAGTAAATTAATCTTTCTAACCATTGTGGATTTTTAATTTTTATCCTTTTTTAAGGACTTTTTGATACATGCGTCAAATCCTGGCACAACCCTTTAAATTTTAATTACCTAAAAATAATAATAAATAAAGTGGTTTGACCAACCGCAATTCGAACTTTTGGTATGCTTATTTGTAAAAAGAATATCTTCTAAATCATCAGTTTCTTCTCCTTCCTCGACACTGAATAGTTGACTCATTTTGCATAGGGCCCTCTTTAACAGTTCGACTCGTCTCGGCCCTCGACTTTCTCCTCCTTTCCACCGCGTCCTAGACACATCATACACTTACTTGCACTTCGCTGACAGCACACCGTGGCCACTTCATGATGTGCCGAGAATCGAATCAGAATACAAGATATGTGAATATAAAGGAAATTTGAAAAGGTTTTAAGTTGGCATCTAATATTCCAAGTTGGTAAAAGCCTATATTTGTATGTTCCCAAACCAGTGCGAATTTCAGCCCAAGTCGTTCATTGTGATCACCAAATGTCTGAAGTTTTTCATACATGAAACACAATTCTAAAGTTGAGTGTACGATATATAGTAAATTAATACATTTTATAGTTATATTGTCTAGTTTAAAGAATTTTTTTTTTAAAATAAATGTTAGTTTTCCTCAAATTATTGGACTTTATACCATTATACTTGTTAGATCTAAGCATTAGTTTTCCTCTTAAGTTTTGGACTTTAGTTATTACATCTAGTTTCAAGCGTTAGTTTTTTAAAATTGTTTTTATGTTTGACACTGTTCGACTTAGTTCACCTTCAGGCCTATAATAATATTACCTTTATTAGTTAAATCACTCGTAATTAATGGGCTGTATTAAACCTTAAACCCTGTCTATATGTCCACTCCTTTGCTATGGTGAAGGTGGAGGTCTACCCCTGTAATCTTCACAGTGTGACTTTCGTATCAAACATTTAAGAAAAATATAACTAAATAAAAATAGCTACTACAGACAGGGTTTAAGGTTTAATATAGCACATTAATTACAAGTGATTTAACTAATGAAGGTAACAGTAATGAGTTTAGGCTCGAAGGTGAACTAAGACCAACCCTGTCGAACATAAAAACAATAAACAAAATAACGCTTAAAACCAGATTTAGTAACTAAAGTCCAAAACTTCAGAGGAAAACTAATACTTAGATTATTCATAGATCATGAATATCTTGATCTTGAAATGTGATCTTAAATATGTTGAAATATTTTGGTAATTCAAAAATACAGAGGAATAAAATTGAAAACCGTTATTAGAACAATGTTAAAAAATTTAATGATTTATTCATCTTCGTTAGCAAATTAGAGATTAAGTTCCTATTTGGGCCACCTTGTATGCTAACTACTATGCCATTTATTATCCCTACACTCATGAGCTTTATTACACTTTTTTGTACAATTTAAAATTTTTGTATTTATATTACAAATTTTACTACATAAATTATATCGTTGTGACTATAAAAAGCATTAATTTACAATTTATCACACAGCTTTAGAATGGTTTCATTATGAAAAACCTTTGACCTTTAGTCACTGAACAACTCGGGGAGAAAATCTGACTGGTTGGTAATATACAAACAATGAAACTTTTACCAACTTGGTAGATCACGTGTCATATCTGATGTATCGAGCGCGACGACAGGAAGAAGAGATTATTTCGTGTTAGAAAAATTCTTTGAACTTTAGTTATTTCGATCGACCTGAATGTTTCGGGGTGAATCATTCACCGGCGGGTGGTCTACTTCTCCCGCTCATCTGTAAAAAACATAAATTAAAAAAACACCGAAAGCTAAATTAAGAATTAAATTCATTAGAGTTTGTGGTCCTTTTTTCATATAATTAATCTTTATGTAAGGTATTGGTTGAGATAAAGATTAATTAATTGAATTAAGAATCAAGGTAATGTAAAAATCAAAATAATTACCTTTTGCAAATCATGACAATCATCACAGCATACTATTACAATGTATTTTTTATTGTCATTGACATTAACACAGGGATGAGTTTGGGCAAGGTAGAGGGGACCAGGTAGAAAAGAGAGTACGATACTTTTGATAAAATTTAAAATTAATTTTTTTATATATTATATAATCGATAGACCATTTAAAAACTTGTGATAAAATAATAATAAATTAATGGCTACTTTTTTTTTTAATTTTTAGCAGGTGCAATGTTATATTTACACAATTTCTTATTGTAAGTGGCAAAAGGCTTCATTTTTCTTTTCTTTTTTAATAAAGAAATATTTACAACAGAATAAAATAAAATAAGAAAAAATTGAGTATATATTTAGATTTTTTTTTGGTTGATTTTAAATTGTTTATAAGATTTAATTGATTGATACGTCTCATTTATAAAAGAGCATATTTTATATTTTGTTATTTACACTACTTAAAAAATAATTATTATTAGTATTTATACGGTTTCTCCTTTTTCGTCATCTTCGGCGATCGTTTCGTTCAAGTTTTCCTTGTCTGAGACGCTGCCATTTAAGTCTTCTTTCGCACCTTCTTCCTCCTCTTCGTCCTCTTCTGGTGGGGGTACTTCGTCGCAGTCTACGCCCTCTTCGGCAGTTTCGGCCATCTCAACGTCTGGCCTCTCTTCGACGACGAGCCCGTTCTCCTCCTCTTCGGCCTCCTTGGGTCCTTCTGGCTGTGGCTTGTCGGCGGCCGCGGCGAAGCTTGCGATCGCCTTCTCGACTTCGGCCCTCTTCGCCTCGATTGTCTTCGTCACCTTCTGCCGGCTCTGTTCGAGCAGCTTCTCGCTCTTCTCGCAGTGACGCTTCGGCAGGTAGAAGATCTTCGGCGACGCAGATGTCTGGATGAAATTAAGAAGGTGTTTCTTCGTGCTCTCCCACTCTTCCAACTATTTTCATTAATAAAAATAATAATAATTGTTATACAAAATATCCACCAGTCGTTCAAATAATTTAGACAAAGTTCAAAAAATAGGAACAACTCACTTGTTTCAAACGCATCAGTTTATACTCCAACTGTCTGATTTCCATCTGCTGTTGGCGCCGTGTTGAGAAAAGTTCCTGCCTTTTCTTTTTAATCTCTTCTTTCTCGCGAAGTGCAGCCTCTTCTAGCTTCTTTTCCACTTGGGCACGTTTTTCCTCCTGTATTATTGAAAACAATAATTAAAAAATAATAAAAAAATAGAAAATAAAAACTTGCCTTCTCTTTCAGAGCGTCTTCTTCCTGCCTGAATTTCTGCAACGTGCCCAAAAGGGCACCGAACATCCTTCGGTTCCTGTTTTAGAAAGACACAAAGATTTAATTAAAACATATTCAACAAGAGCTTTAAACAAAATAATATATTTTTTAAATTTAATATCTTTAACATAATTTACATGTAATGAGTTAAATTAAACTTGACATGGATCTGTGTTGTGAGGGGAGTTAGTGACCATTGTTTTTCTCTCAGCTTTATAATAAAAAAATGTTCACCTTGCTTTACATTGTTTATCACCGGACTGTGCGGCAAGTATGTCCTTACGGCTGGGCGTGTCCTGAACGATGACCTGCGACGACACTTTCGACTTTGGCGTCTCCTTTTCGATGTCTTCATCCCTAGGCGGACCTGAAAGCCTGCTGAACACGGTCACAGTCTGTTCGCCAAGTCGTTTCTTGGCCGGGACTCTTTCTTCGCCTTTGATATCCCTCCTTCTGCGAGGAGAGAGATTGTTTAAAAAAAAGTAAAAATAAAAAATTTAAAAATAGGCACGGGAGGGTTTCGATTAGGCCCACCTGGCATTTGGATCCGGAGCATTTATTATGCTTCTCCTCTTGAACTGCACCTGCCTTTGTGAATGCAAGTCGTCATTCGTGCCATCACCTCCCTCCAACTGCCTGTTTGTCCTCTTAAACCCAATCCTGTAATTTAAAATAAATAAATAAACAATTAGCCCATACACATTATTTCACTCTCACTGTCTCTGCCAACAATTATATCATTTAATAACAGTCAGTAACATTTTGGTCCTAGAAGTTCGAAGACAATTGTCTTTTGTTGCTTTTTTTAAATTCAAAGTGTGGGGATTCCACTTCCGTCTGCTGTCTAGGCATAGTCCTAACTATTAGTCTTGAAAACCTACTATGGATGGTACCGGTAGATAAAGGGGCCTAACAATGAGCATGTGGCCCTTGGCTCCTCAACAAACTTTCAAGCAGAATCTCAGCTAGACTCAAAACTATCAAACAACTCAAAGGTACAATGATAAGTAATAATGTCAATTATTTATTCATTTTATCTAAAGTTTTAGTTGAGATGAAAAAGCTATTGTCAAAAGAAGGATCCAAACCCACAAATTTTGGCAAAATACGCCACTGCCGTAACCACTTGAGCTATCGTGACTTCAATCCACTCAGGCAACAAATCCTCATTTCAACTTACAAGTATTGGGTTCGAATCCCACTCGTTACACACTAATAATTGTAATAATTAAATAGGAATTAAGACAGCTGAACATATAAGGATAAGTAATAGTAATAATACCATCTAGATAGACAGAGCTAAAGATTACAAAAAGCTTACAAGATTAACTCAAAGCTTGTCTAGAACTGCTCTAAAATACATCTGGGATCTAAACATAGCCTAATGCTAAAGTGTGTCCTGAGAAAATATCAAGTAAGGATGCTCATGGGATAGCTTGGCCTATGTTCTATTGAAGGTTATGCTTAAGCACGCTTCAGGTCGCTGTGTCGTATTGCACTGCAGCTGCAGTCAGCACAAGTGGAGATTTTGTGTGACAAGACTGGCGAGGCGTTCATCATATATCACCCTGCAATTGGCAATAAGGACAGGGGTACATCGCGACACCAGTGCGAATACTCATATCTTCTAGAGCAACAACCTAGAACTGACAGCGAAGTCGCATGACGTATGCGCCTTGAGCCCATCATTCGACGAACACTCGCAAGTCAATGTCAAGTCAACCAAGTCGCAATACCTGGAGCGATTCAAACTACTATGAGAATTAAGCACTTTTGAAACGGATCTCTTGACTGCCTCTAAAATTACCTTTAAGTTGTGCAAATACAGGTTTTCACATTTCCATACTCTGTCTCATATACTCCTGCCCCAAGCTGACCTTAATCAATTGACATTGTTCTTTGACAGGGAGGAAATTGTGAATAACCGCTATCGTTCGGACCGATTGGATGGCATGTCTTGGGGGGTTGAATTTATTAACTTTATTCCCTCATGTCAATCACTGACAGATAGTGATTGATGAGGTTACAAATGTATCAAATTAATAGTTTTTATTTCTTTTATGTATAATGACAAGTTTTAGAAGTTGTGAAAAAGCCGCCATCGTCCGGACCGATTGGTGCGGATCAGTGGTTTAAAAATGAAAGGCAATTCAACAATATTGCTGACTTTGTTTGGCAATTTTTTTCGTGGGGTTAAAAAAAAAAATATAACCGGTTAAAATTAATATTTTTTTGTCTGTTTACCTCTGGTTGCCGATCACATCCCGGCCGATGCTTTTTTTTATGTTTTCCTCGACTCCTTTCAGCCGCTCCCTCGCCGCCTCCAGCTCGCCCTGTATGCTGATCAGAGATGTCTGCATGGCTGATGCCGAGAACGATTCCGCTCCTTTTGTTCTATCTTTTTTTCACTTTTTTTTATTCCGTCCACGTTCTCGTCTTTAGAAATCCGTCTTGGGCATTTTCCCCTTGTATTTAGGTTTTTTGTTGTTTTTTCTATCTGAGATTTTGATCCCAAAAAAGAGGACGCGCGGGTGATAAACAAAAAGAGGCGATCTGACTCGATATATAGCAAAAGCCTGCTGGTGAGCTGCTCTGATTAGGGTTTCCTTCGCCCGCTGGCGACAGTGTTACCACGTAGAGTTACAAATTGAAATGAAATAAAATTCAAACAATTTTTAATTGACAAACAAAATACCATAACAAAACTAAAGAGTAAAAATATTAAAATAACAACGTAATAAATAAGAGTTGTATTATCTGCATAAAATGAAATGTTCATGGGGGCTTCGCTTGAAATAATACCAAAATAAACAATATGAAAACAACTCGATATTCCCTAAAAAATGAATCCACACGATGCGAAATAAGTTTTTTTTTTTAAACAAAGCCGTTTTATTATAAATCTTTAATATTAACAATAGAAAAAACAAGTTTTCCCACATTTATTCTCTTACGAAAACTACACGGTTATATAAAAGTAAGGTTAAGTCTGTTTATAACTTGTACATATTATATTTATCATAGAAAAAGTACAATTTTATCGGAGGCATGTGGTTGTTCCTCATTTAATTAAACATTTTCATCAGGTATATCCGAGTGTTTAATTAATTTATTGGTGTTTTTGAACTGTCGTTTTTCACCCCTGCGGACTGGAGCTCGTCCGGCCGCTACCCGGTATAACGGGTAGGCGCGAACCGGCTTCCCAGAAGGAGCTTATCCACAAAGTTCTAGTTCACACCACTCAACTAAGTTAACTAATAAATAATATTTAATTTCTTAAATGGAACTGTGTACAGTCTGTTTTCTAGGATTTACATGTCTCATGAAGATTTATATGATTAATTTAAGTTTGAAATTCGTTGGCATACCTAGTGATGTCCCGTTAAGCCCTTTCAATCCAAGATCAAAACGATCTGGGGTACATCCATGATGAGCATTGTTTTAGTTTTCTTTAAGGATATCATTTTATATGAATATTTATAATTTATAGTCGGAGAGTCAAAGCGACTCACTGGAGTCAGGAGAGTCCGAGTTGGACATGAACGTCCATCGAGAGTAGTTCTTTCCAGTTCAGTTCAGTTACAAGATGATTATCATGTACGACATTTTCCATGATTAAGATATATTTGTTTTAAGACAAAGATTGTCATGAGACCTGTAAATATCCATGGAATAATGTTAGACATGTAAAACATAATTTTTACGTACGCTGGCAAATACATTTCACTACATTAAACGTCTGCTTATTGGTGTTTTATATTGGAATTTGATGTTTCTAGATTGACCTAGAAAGCCATGTGCACAGAGGTAAAGGTGTTGGAGATGCTGGATTGCATAGATTTTTTCCCAGGACACTTCTTGGCGCCGACTTCTGAGAATGATTTGCCACGAGATAGCCCGTATGAGATGGAGTGTGACCACGAATACGAATCGGAGAAATGGGAAAACCCGTATTCATGCGACTTATGTAACTTCAGATGCGGTCGAGAGGTCTGTTTCAAAAGGCACGTTGTTAATTTTCACAGTAGTTTGAACAAGTGCAAGTACTGCGAATTGGAGTGTTCGTCAAACGATGCGCTCAAGGCGCATATGTCAAAGTCGCACAATTGCTACCTGATGTGCAAGTTGTGCGACTTCACCGCCGAATCGAGGACGTCACTTCAGAAGCACATGAGCGTTCACACCGGCATCAAGATGTACCCGTGCCCATATTGTCAGTATGCGACAAAGCGTTCGAGCGATTTGAAACGTCACATCAGGAAGCACACAGGTGAGAAGCCATACATGTGCGATTTCTGCGATTATAGGTCCAGCGACATCGGACACATGAAGAACCACAGGAGGCTGCACTGCAGGGTGATATACGATGAACGCCTCGCCAGTGTCGACACGCCAAAGCTCTACTCATGCGAAGACTGCAGCTACAGTACAATACGACACAGCGACCTGAAACGCCACAGGCGTAACCATCAATAGGACACGGCAAAGCCAAATCCTCGATTACTTGCCATATGACAAGCTGGTGCAAAGCCATCAAACCACCTGGTTAAAAAACCATAATTTTTTAACAGATAGTAATTAAGAACGAAAATAATGACATTTTATGTTATTTGACTGTTTTCTTGTTTTGTTTTGTTTTTTAATTAATAATATTTAAAAATATATTCCTGTGTAATTTTTTGTTGTTGTTAGTTACCCTTTGTTTCTTAAACCTCACTTTTATTATAACGATGTGAGTCTGTGCACATGTTATTTACACAATAAAATTAATACCTGTCTTAAAATTGTTTATGATGTGATTGTTTATTTCTTTAAACACAATAAATGCATAAACAATTTAATTTAAAAAATATACAACTGAATTGTAAAAAGGATGATGAATGACCTGTAATTTGGTCATTGTTGATCATTTGTTCTGCAAAAGCTCACTGTGTTGGTCTGTCAGACACATTCTGCTATCTTTGGTGTCTTTGCGATCTGTTAAATCATTTATTAGTCCACGGGAGGATGACTTAGCAGAAGGTTATCTGTATTTTTTTTCATTCTTGGTGATTATTGGTCATTTTTCTTTTTTGTGTCTTTATGTTTGTATAGTGTTTTTTATTTGTATATATATATATATAGATATATTTTTTTTATGTCACATAGTGATTTCACGCTTGTCTATATTGAGATTTGTGTGGTTCCTTAAACAAACTTTTATTTTAGTATGTGCCTTTTATTTTAGTCCTGTCTGTCCACATTCTGTTTTGTCTTAGTTTCAATTTGTACTCTGTTAGTAGATTTGTCAGTTTGTACGTTTCTTTCCCTATGTATTTTTTTGTTGTATCTGTTTTTGCAAAGCAGTTTTATTTTTTAATTTTGTCGTGTATTTTGCATCAGTGGGGGTGATTAGTTAGATTGAATGTTATCGGCCACTGTTGGTTTTCTGCATATATAAAATTGTAGTTTGCGTCAGCTTTAGCGCTGCTGTAAATTGTATACTTTTGTGGGAGTTAAAGTGTCAGTGTGTGGTTTATGTTGACATTTACAATGTAGGCAATGATAACCAGTCCAATATGATCAGTAACGATTAAATTACAATTAGATATGAAATAGTTTTAAATTATGTATAAAATAAGAAACGCGTTAAAATAAAACTTAAAATGATCAATTTTCATTGTGGTTCACCACAACATTTTTTACATATTACTACCCCTCAAACAGGAAAAGGCTCAACATATACACTTGTCATTCCTGTTGTGCAACTACACATTTGGGTGTCAAACCACTTTACTTTGACTTTTTTCATGTTTTTGTCAAAAACCCATTGGTTGTGCTGGGATACAACACTTGTTAAAACACACATTTTAAAAATTTTTACAGCATGCAATGCAATAAACAATTACACCATCGGTCTTCAGTTCCAGTTAGATGGTGGACTGGAGTCGAAAACCGTTATTTTAAAATGTCCATGAAAAAAAAATCCTTTCAATTCGTATTTCTGTCTTGGCCCAATTGCATTCAAATTGAAAAAAAAAAAAAAAAAAAAAATACAATTGGTCAGGAATCCAGTCTTGCCGATAGTGACTGTTTCAGTTCGATCAGACATGGACCCCAGCATTGCTCCTGTATGAGGCATCTTTATGTCCTATAAGGAAAAGTTTGTCCTATGAGGAAAACATGGGTACAATAACTTAAAAATTCCAATTTTTTTTGTAATATATATTATATTTACAATTTTACTTATTTAATATCAATTTATATATATATTTATAGTATAAAGAGAAACTTGAAAAAGAAAAACATTTTGTTCTTTTTCGCTCTACTTTTATCGTTTAATTTTTTTTTTTTTTTTTNTTTTTTATTTTAAGTGAAGTTAAATATTTGTTGAATGACAGAGAAAATGTTTAAGAGCAAATATATTAATTATAAAATAATAAAAAAAGATAGTGATAGAACTGAGTGGAGGTCGGGTGTTAAGTCAAAAATTTGATGAAATGAACCAAGCCAAGAGAAAAAGAAAAAACCCAAGTGTCACTTATAAAATTGAATATTATAATTAATATAGTTTTATTTAAACAAATAGTAATTAAATTATATATGATAAAATTAAGGATTTAGATTATTTGAAACTTTTTTTAATCTATTGAGTGGGAGTGTAGGAAGAAAAGTTTTTGCCAAAATTGTATAATAACTCTGTCAAAACAAACACACAAAATAAAAATATTAAAAAATCTTGAACATTATTAGTAGTTTATAGAATAAAGAAGTGTTCTTTGTTGAATTGAATGTCAATTTAATATGTATACTTGATAATTAATTAAACAGCGTACAGACAACAGACAGCGCGTGAAAAACTATCAAAAAACTGTTCAAGTAACTATCACTAACCAATTAAAAGGTGATAATTTGTTAAAAGTAGTAAATGAAAATTAAGTCTAAAATTAAATCAAAATGGATAAGAAGAAACAATCAGGCCAGGCGAGGTAAGAAGGCGAAATCATGTCAGGACATTCTTTTTCTATATTCTATTCACCGGCTTGCTCCCCCGACAAAAAAAAAATTCACATACATTATTAGTAATTGTTTAAATTTAATTGATCATCTACTTACTCGTCCTAAAACACTTGCTCTATACCACTGGCCAGTGGCCAGGTGAACATTAATCAAACGACACGATTATGAAAAAAATAAAAAATAAAAATAAAATAAACAATTATATTTTATTACAAAAAAAGAAAAATATTTTTTAATAATTATCCATATATTAACAACAAAAGTACAATTCTTGGGAGAAAACATTATCACTAATCAACATTGTTTATATAATTATTTATTTATATATATAACTTTTTGTTTTATTTACATTTTTTTAATAATTACATGGGAGGGGATGGCGACAGACGAGAAGTCACAGGGGTCAGGTAAATAAAGGAAAAATTTGTCCTGTCGCCGAATTTTGAGGGTTAATAATCACCGAGACAGTAGAAAAACACATGGGTATCACTAAACTATTAATTGGTTAAGTAGTCAATAAGATAGTTTAAAAAAAAAATTAAATTAAATACATAAAACCATTATAACGATGCAGCTTACATGAATTTTTATTTGCTCGTTGTCTCTCTCTCTTTCTCTTCTAACGTATCAGAACGAGTCCGGGTTTCATTTGTACTTTAATTCCGTCATCACCACATTCCATTTTTTGTTTTTTTAATCTTTTAATTATTAATTAACAAACTTTACCTCCTTTGTACATAAAATATCAACATTAAAAAATAAAATTAGTTTAAAAAAAAATTATAATAATGAACAAAAGTTATTTCTTTTTTCACTGCAGACACGAATATGGCCAGAACACAAAATATATACTAATATGTACAAGTGAAAAAAAATGGTTTTGCATAATTTTTTTTTTCAAACTCACTCGATTTTCCTTATTGCGAACACTCATCCTTCACGATTCACGAGTCATCTTGCATCGTCTTCGTATCTATTTACACGCTGTCCCCCCCACTTTCTTTCACTTGCTTTATCTTGCTTATCTCCTCTTCTTATTAAATATATAAACCGTTTAAATATACAATAATATATAAAATCTTTTTATAAAATATAATCATTATATTAAAACTGTACAAGTATTTTTTTTACTTTTTTTTAAATTAAATTTTTGTTATTTAAATTGAATTTATCTTTCATTTTCTTCACATTTGCACCGATAACAATTATGCGTTTTTCAGTTTTATTATTATTATTATTATTATTATTATTCGTTACTAACAAACATCTCACTCATTACTCAGCAAATTAAAAAAAGACGAAAACATCTAAAAATTAAAATAATTCTTATTTCTATTAGAAATAAAAAATAAATAAAATAAAATAATAATAATAATAGTAACTGACTGGACAAAAGAAGTTGGAGGCGGTAAACTTATTTCCAAACAGGAGTGGGGGACAACAATAACATGTAATAATAAATAATAATAATAAAAATAATAATAATTGAAAAACTGTAAAGATTTGTTTAATTTGTACACATCATCGTCGGTGAGGGTGTTTTACATTATTTACACAATATTTATAATTTTTTTACTCTCCGGCGGCGGCTTTCTAATATATATTCGTTCGTATGATTTTTTTTGTTTATTCATAAGGATAAAATTTAAAAGGAAAAAAAAAAAAGAAAAAAGAGAGAAAAAAGAGGAGGACCTTGAATTGTTAATTACTTCTTCTTCTTCATCATGTTGCACACGCCATACACACGAGAAAAAAAAATCGGTTCTTCTCCCCCCTCTTAATAAATATCATTAAAAAAAGAAGTACGCACACGCGGAAAATAATAAGTGAGAAAATAATATAAGAAAGACGCGGGTCGGAGCAGGGTACGGGTCGTTGTCTTGTCGTCCTCATTTACCAGACACACGGATGCCTACTGGTGGACGTAGGTGCGTGAATGTTCGTCACGCTTCCTCGTTGGCTGTGTCGAGGCTTCTCCTGCAATCTGTTGTTATGCTATGATTTGCCATTACGAACTGGGCTTTTTCCTCCTGGACGTCTTGAAGTTAAGCACTGTAAAAATACATATTAAAATTATGTTTACGAATGTTTTATGTTTTTTATTTATATATTTTTCTCCAGGCACAATACTGAGACTACGGCAAGCATTCCACCAGGAGTGTACTACCTAGGTTAAACCTCAAAATGAAGGATTAAGGTTCATTTAAAGTTCCAAGATGGGAAAGAGTAGATAGGGCTCGGGCAAGTACGGTTAGTACAGTTAGTGATGTAATAAAAATTTCACAATTTCTATGAAGATTTCTGTTGATGGATATGATGGCTTGGCGTAATAGCACAATTCCATTTCGTATGTCGAGAGTGGTCACAGTACGTTTAGAGTCAGTCGAGTTTCAACAGTAAAAACAGTGAGTCCTACGAAGTCTCTTACATATTGAGAGGGCAAGTCAGTCGGCTGTCCTTCGTATAGTCTTAAATATCTGCCTGGAGTGCAGATGAGAGATTCCTTGTTGATGTACAGTTGAGAGACTTAATTAACAAAATTGTTTGTCTTCTAAATAAACTTACTTGCTGTGATGGTAGTGGTGGGCTATGATAGCTGATGGAGGAGGTGGAGGAGGCGGTGGAGGTGGTGGTGGAGGTGGAGGGTAGTACAGCCACGGCTGGCCCAAGTGCGTCACCGGGACCTGGAGCGGCGGAGGCACTCCTGAAGGCAATGGCGGTGGTGGTGGAGGTGGGCCTTTCCTACTCCTCGTTGTCGCCCTCGTCGTCAACTGATTCGGTGGCGGGAGATGCGGCTGTGCCAGATCTGCTACCAAAATTTCTTAATAAATCGCACTACTTACATTCATATTTTATTTGAGACAAAAAATTACTTGAATTCCTTTTGTTCTTTTCTTCTTCGTCGTCACTCAAGAAGAGGCCGAATTCCCTTCTAAGGCGATCGGTGAGTGCTTCCCTCTGCTGTTCGACGAGCGTTGGAGCTGCGCTGAAACCACTTATACTCCCTGTTGGCAGAAAGGTCGCAAATCACAATCATTTTTGTCACGGGCATTGACCAATTTGGTGGTGGCGGCGACAACGAACCTTTTTTAAAAATACCGTCGACCGAAGGTGGCGAAGGGAATAGGCCGAGGGACGTCTTGTCTTCGCCGCTCCCGCCATCTTCCTCTTGGCTGTCATAGTTTGATGGGCCGTTTCTGACTGGAGTCGTCGGCCTCTTACCGCCCGAGTCACCTGAACGGCCGTTTGGGTTGCTCCCAGACTTCACTCGCTCCCTATACTCGGATATAGACAGCTAGTTGGACAAAAATATAATAATAAATACAAAAATGTATTAATCCTAACTTAACAGGAGGAAATAAAGGCTAATCAATTATTCAACAAGCAGAAAAAGTGATGATCTATATCTGAGACTTGCTTATCTAACTAGTGCATGATCAATAATAAAGTGGTCGGTCTGTTGTACCTTTCATAATTGATAGTGTTACTTGGTACTTTCCAAATCTCACCGACCCACAAAACCACGTCACAATCAGGTAAAGTCCACTGAGATCAAGGTGTTGTTTTTGGGATCTCAAACGGATTTCACAGTCAACGTCAATTTTTGTTATCCGTTTGGAACGGTTTTGTAGCATTTTTCACAACCTAACCTACGTAGTTGAAACTTTTTGGCTGTTCGTTTAACCCTCCACCACCACCCCCACCAAAAACAAGTTTTCCAAATGAAGCGATGAGTTCTCCAACCTGCACAAGATGAAAAGTCGGCGAGATTTTCTATGGTATAACCGGATGAGATAGAGATGTTGAAGGTGTCCTAGTTGAATCGAGTCAGGTCTATTTAACTCATTCAATCTCATTAGAATCAATTTACTAATAGTGATTTATTGTTCTGCCTGAGACTTTTCGTCACATTCGTCATCATTCTAGGAATTCAAAAATGTGCTATGATCACCGCAGCCTATTAATCAAAGATTTTCCCTATCATCTCAAATAAATATGTAACGTAGAAAGAGGTAAAGTTCGGCTTAAGAGTGGGGGATTGGTGGAGGGAAAAATCTTGGACGCGCTTTTCAAAAATGGCAAAACGAATTTGAGCTTAATATTTTTTCTTTTTCTTCTAATTTTCGATTTAAGTTTGAATAAATTATTATTTGGTAGAGGTGAGTAAATTCTCTTGAAAATTTACCTTTCTTTTCACCCGCGCCTCTTCTTTGACCCTTGCCCGGTCCTCGTCGTCGTAAGCCTTCTCTTTCTCCTCTTTTACATGAAAATTAATATCCAAGGTCTCTTCTTTAGACGAATCGCGGAAATCTTCGTCCCCGTGCGACGGCACTGGCGGGGTCTTGGGACCGTTCGTTAAAACCTGAGGAAATTTCCCTTAAGACGGTTTGTTCTTTTGTGTTTTACTTTTATTTATTTATTTTTTATTTTTATTTATTTTTTTTTTTTTGGGCGTATTAGCGAGTTTCAAATAAATGCAAACGGCTCACCTGCATTTCGCTCTTGACTTCTTGGAACTCCGTCGGCGAAAGAACAGAACCCTCCTCATCCTCGAACATCTGGAAGAAGGCTATCAGTTTTTTCTCGATGACGGTTTCGTCAAATAGTAGTCGGGGGTCAAAGGCGAATTACCTGGTTGGTTGTATCGCCAGCCTGTGGTGTTGCGGGCGGAGTGAAACTTAACTCCGACGATACACTCTCCCTAGCAAAACGCCTCTTTTTCAAAGGGGCGGCCATTTCGGTTGGGGACACCGCCTCTGTAATACCACACTGGTGAGTTACCGTCGGATATTGGTCGACCGTCGGCAGCGACGTCGACTCACCCAGCTTGGGCGAATCGGAGTCTTCGGATATAGCTTGCCTGAGCCAACGCTTTTTCGCGCAGTCGGGCATGAGGCCTACGACCCTTGGTGGCGACTGGGGACCGTTAGGCTCATTCCCTCCAAACCAACTATTCAGCAGGTTCTTAAAAATACACATATAAATAAATAAAAATATTACTTATAAAATTAATAATATATTTATGGTTAATTACTTTTTTAGGATCCTTAGATTTGGGAAATTTAAATCCAGGTGCCAAAGGACCAACGGCAGCAGCCACAAGTAAACAAGTGTTTGAAACAGCTGGCGGAGTAGACTCAGACCCAGATGAAATCAAAGTCTCTAACTTTAATTAAAATAATAATTATTATAATGAAGGAATTGAATTTTATATTATTATTATCATTTTACCTTTGGAGGAGTTGCGGACGGCTCGTATTTTATGTCTATGGGGTGTTCCTCTGGGCTGAACGATGGCTCCTCGCCTTCAGTGTCAGCATCACCTTCCTCCTCTTTGATAAACCTTTCCTTTTTATCTCTCTTTTTCGGGCTGTCTCCACCTGATGCTTCCTCTTCGGACGACGCCCTCCATAACTTGCTGTTGACATTTGCCGATCTCGCCTTGGCGTTCTTCCTGACCTGGTTGCGGCCTGTGGATGAGGCAACTTTCCTCGAACGGAGAGAGGCCCCTTTCGATGCCCTTGTCTCACGAACGGATCTTGAATTCCTAATAACCCAAATAATTAATAAATAATATTTATTTATTTATGTATTTATTTTTATTTTATTTATTTTCTTAAGTTGCATTAATATGTCATTACTACACTCGCCAAAATTGATTAAAACTTAAATCAAGATCAACTTCATATGTTCGTAACATTGATATACGACATTCCAAAATCACAAGGATGAAAATCATTTTTTCACCGTGAGGAACGAATGTCAAAATTCTAACATACAGTGAAATCAGAAAATTTACACTTACTTCTTTTTTGTGGCTGGTCGTTCATGGCGTTCCCTGACCGGCGATACGGAAACAGAAGGCTTCCTCGTCCGGCTTGAGGTGAACACTGGGCCTGAACCGGACGTCCCGATTACCGCGCCCTGTTTTCTTGCCTCATCCTTCTCGAGCCTTTCAAAAGCTTTCATAATCGCCTCCATCTTCCTTTCCTCCCGTGTCTTTTACAAAACAACAACAAATTAGGTAAGAATCTAACCACACTTATTCTCATTTTTTAACATATAATGTAGAAATTAACTTTTGTAATTATTAACTAATTATTTACCATTTTTCCTGATGTTTCATTTTTCTTTGGCGTCACTTGGTTAACTGGGGTACGTTTTTTCTCCTCTTGCCTTGTCGCCGGCGTTGTTGCACGCCTACTCACGACGACCTGCCCCCTGACTTTGTTCGACGAATCTTTGAGCGGCGACGTCACAAGCGTCTCGCTACTCGCTTTAACAAGCTTGGCCGGTGGAGGGCTTAGGTCGGAGTCGGTGGGTGAACAAGGCAACGGCCTCTTCACCGGTGCCTCTTTCTCCATAGGTACAATGTTATTGTTGTTGTTACTGATGATGTTGTTGTTGTGGTTGCTACTTCCACTTGTCGTGTTGTTGGTTTGCGGTGGCAGTGGCGGTGGCGGAGGCGGTGTTGGTGGTAAACTCACTGGGTTTTGATTTGGTACAGGACCCGTTGGCGTCTCAGGAGCTGCAACTGGGAATGGTGATGGAGGAGGAAGAGCATTCGCCTTCGCTCCCGTACTACTCTCAGACAGCGTCCGTCTCCTTCCTCGCCTCCTCTTATCATGCAAACCAGCACTGCTAACAATGAAAAAAAAAAATCGTTATACAAAAATAAACAATGAATTTGTACTTTATAACATACTTGAGTTGTTGGGATGTCCCGGCTGTACACTTGTCACTCCCACACGAACAAAACTGTCCAGGTTTCACCGGCAGCATTATCTCTGCTTTCGCCTCGATTGGCACCGTCGTGACTATGTACAGATGAAGAGCCCCCTTCTCAATACAATGCCTTATCTACAAATATATTACAAGTTAACAACAGCAAGTTGGAAGTGTTGTAAATTAATTTACCTCAGCGTTGGGATGACAAGACCGCCGCACGAACCTGGCATCATTGCCATACGTCGTCGTGTCAACACATACTTCCGTCTGGTCTGAACCGAAAGGTCCAAGTTTGTGGTAGAACAGGTACGGGCTCCATCGTGGCGTGTTGTTGCTCCCTCCTTGTCCTGTAGGCGTCAGGCCACCACCCTTTGACAGCATATATTTACCTCTCACTTCAATTATCGCCTGGTTAGCCGAAATATTCGCTGTCGCATTTAACGTCTACAAATTAAAAATATGCATATATAAATAATAATTTAAAAAAAATTAAAAATACAAATACAATTTAAAAAATATAATAACCTTAATTCCTGAAGGGAGCATGGCCACTCTACACTTAGGAGTTGCATTGAGATTCGCAGGTAGTCTGAGCTCTGAATGAACGCCATTGACTTTGATTGCAGCAATCCTAGCACGCAGCTCCTGCGAGTAGTGGTTCGTCACCGCCTCTTCGTACGAGTCGATCCACTGCCTCAGCTGTTGTAATGCTGCCGGAGGAGGGCCAAACGGCGGTGAGGGCGAACGATCCAAAGACGACAGAGAATCTTTCTTCTCCTAGAATTTTATTTTATAAATTCGCAATTGTTTTTAAATTATTACCAGACAAATTTACCTTTTTGGCCGTTGTACTGCGCCTTTGTTTCTGCTTCGCTTTGTACTTTGATTTTTTGTTCTGATCCGAGATCGCCTTCCATCCCCGCCCACCTTTGGCCCCTTTTTCATTCTTCTTCCCACCTCCTCCTCTGGGAATCACTCTCGACTGTTTCTGCTTTTGATTTTTAGCAGCTAAAAAAGGAATTCATAAAAGTTTACAGTCAAAATTAAACACTTTTTCAACGATTTACTTACTTGAATCTGGCGAGTCGGAACTGTCATTGAACTGACTCCTTTTAGACACTTGTATCCTTATCGCTCGCGCCTTGTCGACCCTACGTGGTTCGCATTCCTCGCACCTGTACTCTTCAGGTATATTGCCCCTCTCGATACCCATGCAGTCGACATGTTGCCAAACCCTGAAGAAAATCATGTCTTGAATAACATCTCAACATAAATTAATAAATCAATCTTTACTTACAAACACTTATCACAGCATATCATATAACCGTCATCATGTTGGAACTCGCTATATTTATTTTTAAAAAAATATATATATAATAATAATTAACACACTAGCAATTATTCAAAGTAATTACCATATACAACGTGTGACGCTGTCCTCATCCTCTGGTGCAGTTTCGGTCTCTTCGCCATCGTCTTGAACAGGTTGGCCAACTGGTGGTACAGACGGCGTGTTGTTCCTGTCATGGCTCTCACCATCAGAACTGATGTCCGAGTCATCGCCCGCAGTGGGAGGAGGCTGAGGATGCCGAGGATACGGTAATGTAGGAACAGATTGTATCTGAGGCGTTGAATTACTCCGCGAATAACCTGATAGAGAAATACATTAATTTCAATTTTCCTCTAATTAATTTTATAATTACCTCTGTGGAGCTGTTGAGACTGCTGGAGAAGCTGTTGCGGCTGAGCTGCTGGCTGGGCCTGCGGGGAGACCTGGAGGGCATGTGATGGTGCCCTCGCCACTCCATTGTGGGTAGCCCCGATGCCATTGTTCAGCTGAACTTTCGGTGTAGCCAGCTGCGGTGACAGCAGCTGGCTCGGTGAAGGCAAAGGAGCACAATAATTATGGTCTTGCAGTACATACTAAAACAAAACAAAAAACTTTACAATAAAGAAGGCAAAAAAACTTTTTAAAAACCGACCTGATAGCTGAGCGGCAAGTGTTTGTAAAATTTAGGCCTCTTCTCTACAACACCGTCAAGATAGTCCTCTTGAGTATGATGGTCATCGCTAACCTTCTTCGGGCTCATCCTAATGACACAAAAATTATATTATTGCACACCCAAGTAACCTGCCGTTTCTGTAAAATAAAATATAACTTACATCGTTTTTGGTAATGGCCGAGCCACAGCGGATATGTTCCTCGCTGGGAGGAACCTTGGCCCAGTCGGTGACATGGGCAGTTTGTGGCGAGCCTGATTCCTTCCCCCACCACGCCCAGTTCTAATAAAATAATTATTTATTGTTTTAAAAAAAATTAATACAGTGTAGTGTGGTACAATTTATACAAACTAGGTCAAGTTAAGCAAAGATATTGATCGGACTTTTAGATAAACGTATTTACCTTCTCTGTAGGCTGGGACGATAAAAATCTTTGACTTAATCCTAACAAATAAAGAAAACGCCGATATATGCAACCCAAACAGACTTGACTTAATAGAATCACATAGACACACTGAAGATGGTGAAATGATGACAGATCAACCTGGCAAGGAGGATAGGCAAACGAAGATGACCAAAAGTGATCAAATTAAAAATGTTTTAATGCACTTTCAGCAAAGGTGAGGTTCATTCCAGGGTTGGTAATCCAAGAACGTGAGACTGTCAGTTGAGATTATAAAGAAACAGTGAGACATCGTCATCTTAGTCTGGTGGTTAAGTCTACCAGAGTTCATCATCAAAAAAGGGCCTCAGCAATCCACTTTGAGATCTAAGATCCATTCTACCAAAGCCTCCTCATGAACACTGTACGCTGAACAATAAAACTGACTGCCAGATGCTTAAATAAGCATTTTTTCCTCTTATTAAACTGCTATCTCTTGACAGATCCCAGGACCTGAAGAAAGAATTGTCACCATACAGTACAGTCGACCCCATGTAACAAAATATTTCAAAATTCATCACATCTCAATAACCATTACAATTTAGAGACATGCCTGAACTTGCATAAATTGGACTGAAAATGTTTCTCATGCAACTTGATTTTCTCTTATGTGTCGTACAGGAGTCTACTGTAATGTCATAATAACTAGGTTTTGTTGGGCCCGCAGAGGGATCATCCGACAGATTAATCGGCAATGATTATAATGACAATATTGCAATAAAACACTTGATTAAAACAAAAAAATGAACATTTATCAGCATTGATCAAGCAGATTGACAGAGTACCCCGGATAAGGAATGTCGCTCTGTTTACATTGAATTAAACATGTTGCAAAGCCTCTACAGGTGAACAATATCATAATTCATATCATCAATGATCACACTGACGAGCATAGCAGTTTTCTATGAATTAGGACTTTAAAATAAAACAGAGGGGGGGGGAGAAAAACGAAAACAAACTTTCTATCAGGGCATATACAATGTTTATAACAATGTCGTTAACTCCCCCAAAGGGAAGGTTTTTAACCAGCGTCAATTTTTTCCTTTTTTTTTCTAATTTCGAAATTGAACTTAATAAAAACTTTTTTGTGTTTGGATAAATACGAATTTTTTTTAGGTACTTACGCATGATAGCTGTGATGGGCAGACGCAGCAGCATTGTTGACCTGAACAACTAGACTCGCCTGTTCTGGAGAAGCACCTCCCGGCTTCATCTTAAACTTTGAACTCTGGAAAAGAAAAAGATGACGATGAATTTAAATCGTGGTTTTTTTGGAGGGGAGGGCTTTCCAAGAGGGTTGAAAACGGCAAAAGGGGGAGGAAAAAGATGAAAACCTTACTTGCTTGTGATGAATGATCCAGCCCATTTGGGACAGAGGGAAATGGATTTTTTATATAACTTTTTTTAAAATTTATATTCGTCAAATTATTTTTTTGAAAATATTTCAGGGCATTTATTCTTCTTTTACTTCGTAAAGGGACTCCCGGATGAGGCTTTAGGGCGTTTTGGACGTGTGGAAATACCGGTTGAACGACTCAGACTCGGAGGTGTTCTCTTCGACGCTTTTGTCAAACATTTGAAATTGACGACAAGGTTACCCGACTGTTATTAGACAGGTCGGCCAACGGCACACCAGGAAAAAATTAACGACGGAAAACAAAACGGAGATCCGTTAAAAAGAACATTGCGCAAAAAAAATTAAAAACAGAACCAAAACAAAATCGGATTAATTTAAAAAAACAAAAACAAACAGAACTAAACAAAAAGAATACTAAAAAGACGCGTTTGTACGGTCCGAATTGACTATCCACTGCAACTTGCTTCGAAGGGGGAAAACACGAAAGAACCTCTAAACGTCTATTTGAAAAACATTGCCAAAATAATTAAAAACTAAAAAAACACATGGACAAAAAAATTAATCAAAAAATAAAATTTACTAAAAAACCATACATACAAAACTATCCAAAAAATTGAAATTGAATCGCGCCCCCTCCCGGTTTGCATGAGATTTGTAAGTCCCCTGTCATTTGTTTAACAAAACAAAACAATCTGTTTCTAAAAGGAAAAAAGTACCAAGGAACCGGAAAGAAAAATGCACGAAGCCATTCTATCAGCATACAGGGCAGTATTATATTTTCTGTATTTTTTGTACGCTAATTTACTTTCGTACTCAATTCTTAAATCCTTCAATCACACCTAGAATAAATTGGACACGAATCTATTAAAAAAATAAAATTAAAAAATACTGGAAACAACCTGGTTGAAAATCGAACAATTGGTCTATAAAATACTGGGTTCATTTTTAACCGATTAAACCTAGGAGATATTGGGTTGTTTATCCAACAATAGGCATAGAAATAGTCCTTTGAATATTGGCCCACATCAATACCCCATCCATTAAATGATATGGCTCCATATCAATGAACATACATGAAACACATCTCTGTGATTTACAAATTTAGAAATGCAAAACTACTGAACGCTAAAACTAAAACAATAAATCAATAAGCAATGGGTTTGTTTACATTTATAGACCTGGAAATACTAAGCTGTTTGTCATGCAATATACCTTGATACATTTGGTTTAATCTATGGTCCTTGAAATATTTTGGGTTGTTCAACACTCTTCAGACCTAGAAATAGTTTGTTTTTTTCCCATAAACAATAGGTTGGTTTTTTGATTAAAAAATCATCCGAAAAGAAACCTAGAAATATAGGGATTGCTTATTTTTATAGATCTAGAAATATTTGTCTGTTTACCACGTATGCACCGAGAAATACTAGATTTGTTTATTGAACAACAGACCTAGAATCATTGGGTTTGTTTACATTTTTAGACAGAAATATTTGAGGTTGTACAACACCCTTCAAGCCTAGGAATACTAGTTTGTTTATCAAATAAAAGCCTAGAAATACTGGTTGTTGTTTACATTTCTATACCTAGAAATATAATCTTGTTATTAAACCAACAGACCACAAAACATTGGGCTTGTTTACTTTTATGAACCTAGAAATATTTGGGATTGTTCGACACCTATCATACTGGTGTATACTATGCTGTTTATGCAACATTGAACCTAGAATCATTGGACTTGTTAATTCATAGTACAAGAAATATTTTGGGTTGTTCAACACCCTCTGTTTATGAAATTGAATCTAGAGTATTGAGTTAGATTACATTTATAGATCTAGTAATATTAGGGATTGTTCGACACATATTAGGCCAAGAAATACTTTGATTTATTTATCAAATAATAAACCTAGGAACATTGAGTTTATGTACATTTCCAAACCTAGAAACAGCGGTCTTATCAAAACAACATACCATGAAACATTGTATTTGTTTACTTTTATAGAGCAAGATATATTTTTGGTTTTTGAACACGCATCAGACCAAGAAATATTAGGCTGTTTATGAAACATTGAACCTAGTCATTCAGTTTTAATACATTTACACACCTAGAAATATTTGGGGTTGTTCGACACCCATCAGACCAAGAAATACTAGGTTGTTTATGAAGCATTGAAACTAGAATCATTGAGTTTGTTTACATTTATATGCCTAGAAATATTAGACACGTTTACCACTTATACAACTATAAATACTAGACTAGATGTTTAAGAAACATTGAACCTAGAATAATCATTTGATTGTTTACATTTTTAGACATAGAATTATTTGGGGTAGTTCGACACCCATCACACTAGAAATACTAACTATTTATGAAACATTGAACCTAGGAACATTGAATTTGTTTAAATTTATAGAGCTAGAAATATTTGGGGTTGTTCAATGCTATCCACGCCTAGAAAAACTAGATTTGTTTATCAAATAAAACAATTCCAGAAACATTGTTGTTGTTTACTTTTGTACATCTAGAAATATTGGACTTATTTACCACTTATATACCTACAAATATTAGTTTTATTACTCAAATCAAATTTCTTGAATCATTGGTGGTTGTTTACATTTGTAAACATAAAAATACTAGGGTTTGTTTATCTTTTGTACAAAACGTCCGTATTAATGTTGTTCAACTACTACAAAACCTGGAAATATTGGTCGATTATCCAACAATAGACCCAAGAAAATTGTTTGTTAATCTAACGAGAACTTTGAGCAATATAGGGTACAACACGCATCAAAGCTATAAATAGCTTGTATATATGTTGTATATATGTTGTATATATGTTGTATATATGTGAGGGTTAGAGAATATTGTATGGCCCGTACAATAGACTATGGTTGGTTTCCCCTTTCTTCTGTTGTTTGAAATGTTCTTTTTCCTTTCAATATAAAAAAATAGTATAATTTAGCCTAGCGGATTGTTTTATTATACAAAGAACTTAGGGAATTTCTATAAATCAAGGAATACTTCACACTAGCAGGGATTTAATTTTCAACCTTTACCCTTTTTTTCTTTTTATTTTTTGTAAATTGGGGTCAGTATAGGTGTAATCGTAGTATTAAAACGACAAGGGGGAGGGCCGAGAGGGAATGATCGTGAGGCGGGGATGGACGACGGGAAGGGGCGAGGTCCGGCAACGCCGCCCGAACGATTCGGAACGCCTAGCTCAAAGAGTACGACGTGAAATAGTACGACCTCGAGATACAATTTATTTTTTTTTTTATCTTCTTCAATAAAGTAAAAATTTTCGAATAAATCTGAAAAGTCCAAAAAACGTACCATGGGTGACAAAAACTGAGAAAGAGGAATATTAAACGGACGGTTTTGTACTATTTGTCGCTAGGTTTTTTTTGTTTTTGTTTTTTTTTTCTCTCTCCAGCTATTCAATCCGTTCCATACGGCGCCTACGTCCTTGATTTATTCCCGGAAACGTTTCTCTTCCGTTTTATTTTTTTAAATTACTTTTTTATTTTTATTTTGTGTTTACCACCTCCTACACGATTTCCGCGTATTTTTTGTCTTTTGTGTTGCCCCGGCTCTCCACGGCCAACAGTAAAGGGGAGAAAAAGAATAATATATAAACAAAAAAACATGGAACCCTTGCAGGACATTATATTAAAAAAGAAAAACAAACAATTATCAATCCGGTGATGACATTCCACAATTAAACAATCCAAACGACCCATATAACTAAAAAAACAATATTTTCTGAAAATTAAACTAGAAAATAGAACAACAAAAAAATATGGTTGTTTGAACGAGGGGTAGGTTTCATCGTTGTTAACCTGTCAAAACCTATATATGTATAACTCTTCACACATTAAAAAAAAGTACAAAAAAGAAATATAAGATGGTTTAACGAGTAAAAACTATACTCGGACGGACCGCGAATCCTTGAAAACATACTGGGTATATTTTTTAATACAAGTTATAACGGATGCAGAGGTAATTTTGTAAAAATCTGACGACCAAATAAATAGCCAAAACCGAACTTGTAATAAAATACTAAAACATTAATACGTGTTTAAATCGATCTAAGGCGGTAAAATTTAATAAATAAATAATAAATGCTCCAACTGAGCAGGTTACAACGTTCTGGCAGGATAAAGTATCTACAACTAGATAAGAAATACAAACAGAACCAAAAACCAATTTAACGTAAGTCAATATGCGATTGTAATAAAACATTAGTAATTAAATCAATTATTAGCAACATGGATGTTTGACGAGGTACTTTGATAAAAATGATAAGAGATAAGAACATATAACCAGAAACAAACCTATTTGAACTATAACATAAATATATTTTTTGTTTTTTAATTATTTTTTTAAAAGATTGTATAGGGTGAAATTTATTGATTGCCGGTACGTGAAGGTTAATCTTGATTTAACTTATTTTCAAGATGTGTACCCCTAGACCCAATTTTTCCAGCAAAATAAATCTTCTAAATGGTTCCGACGAAACAATGTTGACTCTCAACCGACCTATTGAGATCAACTTGGAATTATTTCCATACCCCAATCATTATTTTTTTTAAAGGACCAAGAAAAAAAATCCAATTTACAACGTTTTATTTAAATGTGTAGAGATTTATTTAAACCAAAATTGGACTTTAAAAAAAGGTTCAATATGGGTCGTGGGTTTATCTATGATCCTAGGACGATGAATCTCGCTAGAAATAGATAAAGAGTTGTTATACTAAAAAACAACATGATAATGAACAGAATAAAGGGAATTTTCTAGAATTTTCAAAACCTTCCCAAAACAACGTTAAACCGTGACGATTCTCAACATTTTATTTATTTATAGTTTTTATAGATTTCAATCTTTAATCTTTTAAATACATTTCATTGATTATAATATAATTAAAAGAAAATTCTGTCCAGAGGTTATATACTGTTTTCCACCAGGGGGTGGAAAAATGTCGGATCACAAAGGTGGGAATGTTAGTGATAAGGATGATTTTACATACTGTTTATGGTTTAAATTGTTAAGTCTAAATGTCAAAAATTGGTTAATATTGGACCAAAACGCGTTTTTTTTATTGATTGAATTGGGTGTTTTTTTGTTTATTTCGCCTACTCTCTCAGGTTACATTATTCCGCGAGTCGTATTGCTTTCTAATGTTTGTAAACAGGAGTGGTACAAGGAAGAAAAAGAAGGGAAAAAAGAAGAGTACCAAATAAGAAGAAATAGGTGGAAGGGGTGTCATTTTTCATTGGAAAGCTGTTTCCAAGGCGACCCGACGTGCCAAACAGACGGCCATCTTGTTACGTCACGATACTGTTAAGAGGGGAGGTGACAGCATCGATCCCACGGCGTTTCGACCGTCGCCGAACCCCCCACCAAGGGAAACAACCGAGGTCACGGAGGAAAGCGATCCGACCAATATCAATAAAAATAATAATAATAATAAAATTCCACCGGATACAAAGGGTGAATAAAACGTTCAAAAAAATTATTTCTCCCGAA